AACAACCCATGCACCCCCTCCGCAAACCATACCCACACGGGATCCACCGCCAACCTGTAATCCACACTCACAGGCGACCAGCCCGGATAGGGCGGGGGGCGCCCGCTCGTGAGATCCTGCACGTAGGCGAACCGCCAGTCGTTGGAGCCCACCCAGATCCGCCGCTCGACCGTCACGGCCACGTAGGTGAGCCAGAGCTAGGCGGTGAAGAGGAGGACGGCGGTGCTGACGAGGGTGGAGGCGGGGGGGATGGGCGGGAAGATGGGGTGCGGTTTGCTGGTGGTTCTGCTGAAGGGGGTGGTGGCGGGGGTGGGCTGTGTGGTGGGGGGTTGGGGGATGGGGATGGGGGTGGGGAGGGGCGATGAGGGTGGTTCTGGTTCGGCCTGTGGAGGGTCTGCTGCGCTCGGGGGTGAGCCCCGTTGGCGGATGCGGGTGTAGGTATGTTTCGAGAGGCGGGAGAGATACACTGGGAGTGCGGTGAGGGACGATAGAAGGAAGGAGATTGTCCTGCGTAGTTCGGACGGCTGGAAGAAGATTAGAAGGAGGAGCCAGGTGATCGAGGTCAGCAAGCGGCAGAGGGAGGACCAGAGGGGATCCGAGGAGATGAGGACGCCATGGCCGTGGTGGTCTTTGGCAGGAGGGAGCGGATGGCGACGAGGTGCTCGTCTTTCCGCCGGCGCAGCAGCGTCTGGTGACGGCCGAGTAGTAGCCGCGCGGGAAGAAGTAGCGGAGAAGAGTGCAGAAGCAGGCGAATTCGCCGTGTCGGCCTTGGCCTCTTGACGTTTGGAGCTGGAGGAGTGCTCTTGTCACAGACTCCCGGGCGCTTTGGCGTTCAACCGCGGCTGCTCGCTCGAGGTAATCGTGCAGTTGCGCTTGATCGGCATCCAGCACGTGAAGGCGTGCACTGCTGAACTGGTATTCTCGGCGCAATCTGGTTTCATGTCTTTTGAGCGCAGCTCTGAGGGTCAGGTCCATCGGTTTAACCTTTGGTGCGTTTGTCCTGAACCCCCTGATTTGTACTCTGTCGAACGCCGCAACCCGTTTCATCAAGTCATCGGCTCGCACCTTGACCTTGGGTATTTCAGTAGCCAACGCCATTAGCCGGCTGTCTTGCTCCATCATGATTTCCTGTATCTCGCGCCTTCGATTGACCAGATGCGCGTCGGCCGTCATCTCGTGGACTTGAGATACTAACTTCTCCAGGGTTGCTTCTCCCTCCTCGCGGGATGTGGCCGGCAAGCTCCATACGTCGCCGTTAGCGTCAAGGAAATTAATGGTAAGAAGTAACACCTCCTCCCACTGACGAGATTCGAGAGAGCGAAGTGACTGTTTTGTCCGATATGCCTCGTGCTCCGTCGCGAGGGTCGCAAGTGTATCCCGATTGGCTTCAAGCTTCTCGATTTTCGAATGGATTCCCCGTAACAGTTCCCGCTCGGCTCTTCGCGGTTGCGTGGTGTATTGTTTGAGCTTTAGGAGGCCCTCGAAGAGCGAGTCGAAATGGGCGAGAATCTCGTCGAAGCCCGTCAAGTCTTTCTCGATTCCGTACACTTGGTACGCCTTGAGAGTCGTTTCGAACTCAATGATGAGGTCTTCGGCCGGAGTATTGGGGTCCACTTCAGCGAGCCTCTGCCACAGCTGATGGAGCATGTCTATACGCGAGTGCACCAGCGTGTCAAACACCATGCCTTTCTTCTTATGCAGGGGCAACCTCAGTTGTAAGATGATCTCCCTGCTAGCCCTCAGACACTGTATCTCCTCGACGCTGGCACCAAAGGATAGATCCTTGGACGGGATTATGTCGCCAGGATACGCGGGCGAGAGCATTCCCGTGTCTCTAGCTTGTTTAGGGACCATCTTGGCTGTTTGGAGTTGGGCATAGTGCTCCTCGACTTGTTGTCCAATCTCCTGAAACGCGTGTTGATTTAATTGGAGCTGCTGCTGGAGCGCGTCGAGTTCGCCATGTATTAATTCCTCGTTTTTCTCAACAGTTCGGTGTTGTTCAATCCATAAATCCGTCGAGACGGCGAGTTTCCGAAGTTCGTCTAGGATCTGTTGGGCTTCGCCGAGATGCGTTGCCTCAGTCTTTACCTGGTTCCTTGATACTCGGTCCACAACGTCCTTGATCGCTGCTTTGATGTCTTCCATGGTAGCCTGACTAGACTGGATGGCCTGGAGCTGAGTTGCCTTGATCTCATAAATAGCCTCCTTGGGCAGGAGAAATGTTTGGGAGCTGCCGGGCGATGAGTGCGCGCCTGGGCTGCCTTCAAGTCCACCAATCCCACTGGTGACCGTGGTCTGTAGGCCTTCTACAGAATTCTTGATCTCCTCCACCTTGCGCTCATATTCCTTCTCTTCGCGGGCCGCCTCCACAGCCTTATCGGCGATCTTCCGCTTGAGTTCGTCAACTGACCGTTGAAGCATCTCACATTTGTCCCGGTACAGAGCGACCTCTTGCTTAACCCTGCCGTCTCCTAACTCTTTCTCGCGGATCAGAGTTTCCTTTTCGCTCATCAAGCGGGCTATTATGTCGGCGTCGTTTCTTTCCCTCTGGGCCGCACGAGCTCGTTCCGTTTCTAGCGCGTATCTGAGTTCCTGGTTCTGTGAACGGTTTCGGCTCAAGCGCGTTAGCACTTCGGCGTGACGTTTCTCCCTCTTAATCGTCTGAGTTCGTTCGGTCTCCATTTGCTTATTGAGCTCCTGGTTCTTCAGTTCGAGTTGTGTTATCCGGAGGTCTGTCACGTCCAAAATCGTTGTGTGTAGCTCTTCGCATTCCTCCTCAGCCGCTCTGAGGCGTTCGTCGGTCGTTTTCATGACCTCGTATGCCACTCCAATTGCCTTGATGATGGAGTCAAACCTGGTCTCAACATCACCTTTATCACTGGGCGATAAATGGATGATCGGCAAGCTGATGTTTTCTCCCCACTGGTCGAGCTTCTTTTCTAGGCGCTGGAGATGTTCCTCTCGAACGGCCAAGATTTTGCGCTGTTCTTCTTCGAGTACCCACCGATCCCTGAACAACCCCTTTTTTTCTTTCTCCAAGGCCTCGATATCCTCTAGTCTTTGCATCTTTTCCGCTTCAAGGAATTCCACAGCCCTGGTGAGAGATTCGTTCTGCTCGTCGGCCTTCCGTAGTCGCAATTCAAGCTTCCCACGTCCCTCTTGTTCAAAAACCTTCTTCAATACGTCTGCGATCACGAGAAAAGCAGCGCTCCTCCCTCTCATGGCGAGGTCGTAGCACGCCAATAAACGTTCCCAGAGCTCGTGAGCTCTCGCGTCCGAGCTTGCAACGAGAGTCTGAAGCACTCCCTCCGGGTCTACCCTTTGGAACATCCCGTTCCGGGGCGGCTCCGTAACATCATCCAGCAGTATCTTGACAGTTGTCGCAATATCCTCGGTCCAGAAACCATACTCCGGGCCATAATCGCCCTCATGCGAGCTAAAAATCTTAGGGTTGGCCAGGTATATGTCCTTCAGTATGTCCGGCTTCCTATGGGGGCGAGCGAAGCTGCTGCGGTCGGAACGGAATTTATTGTTGCTGCTGTTGGTGCTGACAAGGCTTCCGATTGGAGAGCGGCGATCATACGGTTGAGGAGGGAATATCGAGGGCGGCAGTTCGATTGGTGTTACCGGTGAGCCAGATCTTGATCTCTGCGAAGCAGCAACGTCGGCTTGGTCCCCAGGGGACAGTTTTGGTGATGATTTATTTGCGATCCATGGTGCGACAGGTGCTGTTAAAGGAGTGGTGGTGCCCCAAGCCTCAAACACGGGGTACCCCGACGTAGGTGACACTTCACCAGTACCTTCTATATATTCTCCATCAGGGGCCGTTTGACCTGGTGCAAGAGAAGTTTCGAACGGCTTTGAGGAAGCGTCGGTCTCCTTTGAATTGTCTCTCCAACGTCGAACCCCAACCCGCCGATGAACATTTTCGTTCGCCATTGAGGTTGACTCCCGGAGCACATAGAAATGCCTTATTCGTGGGCTACGAACCAGGCGAAGTGGAAACTGGAACTGGAGCTGGAACTGGAACAACCGCGCGCACTGGATGGAGTATCCTCGATTCCAACGGTCGGCGCAAGGGCTGAAATCGCCGTATCGATGAAGGCAGTCTCTGGCCGAGGCACAAGTATTTAATGAATGGAGGTGAAAGTAAAAGCATGCGGAATAGCCATTTGGACAGAAACACCGAGAATATCATGTCTACCAATTCTGTCAATAGCTAGACAAAGAAAGGCGTCCGCCTCCAGCTACCATTTCCGGCAAGGGGGCGTGGCGCACATTTCCGGGACAAAGGACCTCTAGTCCCTGATTTCGACAAAGCATTGCGCCCTAATAACTCCTCGGTGAGCAAAGCAGATTGTTTGGAAAAGGAGGAGCCCTATCCTTCTGCGCAGCATCTAAGACGTAACTGGTTGCCGTACACGACAAATGCTGTGGCTTTATGGGCCGCAGGCAGTTGCAAAGGCAGTACAGTGATAGGGGGTATAGCCACGAGTGGTTAGCTATACCAGCCCCTTGCACCAGGCCCTTGTTGGGCTTCCTCTTGTCTGCTCGGGATCATGGGTTCCTTTATGTCGAATGCGTCAATGATGTCTCTCCAAGTTGCCATGTCAATGGACATGATGGCCTGGTGTCTCATGGCGGCTTTGGAACGAGATGCTTCCGCTGATGAGTTTTTCCGAACGGGTTCTATTCGTCGCGTTAGCCTTGCGCAGCCGGCATTCAACAGCGGTGCTGCATACCTATAGCCGGGAGGCCGTCGTCGTCAAAACCAAGTTTGACACTCCCTTCTCGGATCAAGAAGCTGACGTAAAACATGTTCTCGACCGTCTGCCCAAACGAATGAGGGTTGACAACAAATCGTAAAAGGTCGATGCCTCCATTAGATCGTAACGCGTAGCGGTCCATCAATGCCCTTAGCTCGGCCGGTGAGGGTTCCTCGTCGAGGTTATCAACCGCATCCTCCACCGCGTCCTGGGATTCTTGCTGCGCCGTCTCCAGCTGCACATGGATTTTCTTGCATATGGAGGGAAGGTCATTCTTGTCCGATTTCTTCAAGTCCTCCGCCCTGAGTTCCTCTGGCCTGACCTCCAGGAGGCTATTAACCCTGAACGGTGCCGACCTCTTGGTGATCTTGCGCGCCTTCTTCTCAATCGACAGCGGGCCCAAGAGGAAACCGGGGAGTGCTGGCCGGCGGATGGCGGGCAAGCACGCAAACCGACCAAGGTGGGCCCAGTTCATCATGTCGCCGTCGTCGCCAACATCGCCTTCGTCGTCACTACCTAGGGCGCCGCGATTTGGCTGCCGTCTCCTCCTTTGGGTGCTGGAGAGCTCCACTGCTTCGTCATCCTCAATGCCACGACCTTGCAGCATGTAAGTAATGCATTTAGAGACGAACTCGTCAATATCGATTCCGTTTCCAACATTCCCAGATGTCAACCGCTGCACCCTGCGAGCGGAGAGATCGGCTGCGATCACCAGCCCCCGCGAATCGATGGCGGCCTCGGCAGTTTGCTTGACATTCTTGATGATGCGGTCTGACTGATTAAGGTATTCGAGGAGGGCCTTGGGATCTGATTGCATGAATTCATCTGGGTTCTCGCGCATTTGATTCTGCAACTCTCGCATGCTCCGCTGGATCTCCCGGCGCTGTTGCATAGACTGCGCGGGATCGTACTCCTCGATGTCGCTCTCATCGTCTACCTCGGAAGGCGGATCCTGGGTCCTACGCCGGCTCGTTGACGGTTCGGTTCCAAAATCCGAAGTCCGTTTCCTTGCCGAAGATCCGCTAGGGCCCGGGGTACCGCGGACCGCGAGGCTTCGACGGTTTTCCATTTCTGCTGTGACGGGCGACAGCAGACTTCGCACCGTGTTGACTGAATGATAGGTACGAAGTAGTTGAGATTTTGGTCATGGGTTGCGCTGTTAGGAGTGGACAGACTGAAAGTAGGGGAAATGAAGACGATAACCCTTGTGGCACTTTCGTTTTTCCCAGGATTGTGCTGCCTATAAGGTAGTTACCAAAATAGTTTGTCTTGTCGCGTCAAGGAATTTGGAGACGCGTTCGCGCAATTAAGCACCTGACGCTGCCCCGCGATCCCCTGAGTGAGTCCTGCTTGGCTCACCCAGGCAGCAAAGTGGGTTTTAGTGTTGAATGTGTGAGAGCGACAGGGATGTGTGGACAACCTCAGCACTGTAATCAGTTGTACGTATATTACCACATTACCCGGCTCCCCCACCAGTATTCGTACACCACAAGGTACCTGACCTTCCACCTCCAAGCTATCAACCTCAACCCTCATTCATCAACTGAGCTCTTCCTTCTCCCACCCCACATCGTCTTGGCGCGCTGCGCGCCACGATAACCGCCAGAAAATGCTTTCCGGCATGGAGCCTTTTTCTTTCGCCAGTTCCGATGCGCTGGATTTCCCCGTTAGCATCCGAATGTGGGTTTCCTATCTCGTCCCTCCGTGACGGTGACTTGGAACACAGAGCTGAACGGTCCCCAGCATCAACCTCGAGGGCGCTGAGACGCCGCTTCAATTTTCTAGCCTACTTGAACATCCAGAACTCCGGCATATAGGATCTAATCAGAGGTACGTCCTTGTCCTTCTTCCCATCTGATGTTCCCCGGGCTTATCCACATACCGCGGCCGCTAGTCCCCACTCAGATCTCTATGTTACGGTCCAGGTATGGGCCGGTTCAAAGCCCCTGACTGTGCCGGTACAGACGGCGTATAAGTCTTTCCGCACTGAGAGGCGATGGAACGAATGGCTCACGCTCCCCGTTTCATACTCGAGCCTGCCCCAGAACTCACGCCTCGCCATCACCATCTGGGATCTTTCTCCAACGGGAGGCCAGGGTGCCCAAGGACATGCAATCCCGTTTGGCGGGACCACGCTTCAACTGTTTGATAAAGACAACCAGCTTCACAAGGGCCGTCAAAAGTGTCTCGTCTACCGGCACAAACAAGCCGACGGCAACGATGACTCTAAAACGCCTGCCATCCTTCCTAAGAAGAAGGCCAAGAAAGGGGTGTCTGACGATAAAGAGGTCGACGAGCTAAACCGGATGGAAAAGTTGTTCAAGAAGCACGAGATGGGAGAGATCCCCCGTGTTGACTGGCTGGACCAGCTCGTTTTCAGAGGCTTTGAGAAGCGCGGCCTACAGACCGCTAGATCATCCCCGGGGGCAAACCAACAACGGGAGTCGGCCCAAATCAAGGCCTTAGAGGGCCACGGAGATGCCGATCACCAACCTGAACCGTCTAGCTTTGTTTTGAGCGTCGAACTCCCAAGGTTCGATTTCCCGATCGTCTTCGCCGACCACGAATACCCGCCACCCCCCGTTTCGTCCTATCTACACCCTTCGTCCTCCCAATCGAATATCGTCCTCAAACCCCCACCCGAGGTTCAACTTGGCCCGGGAATCGACGCGATCGACGACGACGAGGGCTATGGCGGCCGCTTGATCCGGGTTTATGACCCAGAAGTTGCGGCGAAAGATAACCCAGCGGAAAGCAAGCACCGGAGGCTTGTTCGGGGCCAGCACCGCAACGGCATTCTGGACAAGGACCTAAAGCCAAACGCCAAGGTCCGGGACGAGTTGAACATGATAATGGCATATTCACCGACCCACACGCTGTCGCCCGAGGAAAAGGATCTCATCTGGAAGTTCCGCCATCACCTGACCCGCAACAAGAAAGCAATCACCAAGTTCGCCAAGTCGGTCAACTGGCACGACCAGTCGGAATCAAGACAGGCCACTCAGATTCTGGGCAAGTGGACGGATATTGATGTCGATGACGCCCTGGAGCTACTCGGGCCCACCTTTGACAACTCGGCAGTGCGAGCCTTTGCCGTCGACCGTCTGCGCAAGGCTGATGATCAAGAGCTGCAGTTGTATCTGCTGCAGCTAGTACAGGCACTAAAGTACGAGCACATTTCTCCACAGCCCGGCCAAGAAGTGGCCCAAGACTCCTCGTTGGCTCTCTTCCTCATCTCGAGGGCCACCAACAGCTTCACCCTCGGAAACTACTTTTGGTGGTACGTCATGGTCGAATGTGACGACAAGTCGCAGGATCAAGGGGCGGACAACCAAGCCATCTATGGCAAAGTTGCCTACGACTTCATGGCGGAGCTTGTCAAACAACCAGAAGGACAGGAGACGCGGGCGACACTGAAGAGACAGGCCGAGTGGATTTCCATCCTCTCCAAAATATCCGGCGAAATAAAGGAGTCTAATGAATCTATTGCCAAAAGGACGGAACGAGTGAAGCACTTCCTGGCTGATCCCAAAAACGAGCTCGTCCACATTGACCCGCCGCTCCCGTTGCCTCTCGACCCATCGGTAGAGATCATCGGCGTCGCCCCGGAAGAAACTGTGGTCTTCAAGTCTTCTCTGCACCCGATCAAGGTTTCGTTCAAGACCACCTCTGGGCGCAAGTACCCAATTATCTTCAAAACGGGCGACGACCTCCGCCAGGATCAGCTAGTCATCCAGATCATTACCCTGATGGACGATCTCCTCCAAAAAGAGAACCTGGACCTCAAGCTATCGCCGTACAAGATCCTTGCCACCAGCACAAGCGCAGGCTTGTCACAATTTGTCCACTCGATGTCCTTCCAGGGCATCACTTCCAAGTACCGCAACAACCCCGCGCTCGCCTTTCTGAAACAAAACAACCCCGACAGCCATGGGCCTATGGGCTTGCGGAAGGAAACCTTAGACACATTTGTCAAATCCTGCGCCGGATACTGCGTCATCACTTACATCCTCGGGGTGGGTGACAGACATCTTGACAACTTGCTCCTGGCTCCCGACGGCCACTTCTTTCACGCCGATTTCGGCTACATTCTGGGCCGCGATCCGAAGCCGTTTGCGCCGGCCATGAAGCTCTCTAAAGAGATGGTGGACTGCATGGGCGGCTCCAACTCGGAACACTACCGCCAGTTCAGGCAGTACTGCTTCCTGGCGTACAGCGCTCTGCGCAAGAACTGCAATCTGCTACTGAACCTGTTCACGCTGATGGCAAACGCCAACATCCCGGATATCAAATTCGAGCCGGACAAGGCGGCGCTCAAGGTTAAGGAGCGCTTTCACCTGGAGATGGACGAGGAGGATGCCATCCGGCACCTGGAGAGGATTATGGATGACAACCTCAACGCGCTGGTGCCCGTCGTTATTGACAAGTTGCACGAGCTGGTACAAGCATTCCGGGCTTGAGCTGTTGTCGGGCGTTCCGGGTTCGGTTGACTAAATGGACTTTCAGGATATGGAGTTTGATCAGTGTGATTTACATCATTTGATTCACGGCGGGTTTGGCGTGTTGTTTCGAGCGTCTTAGCCAAATGTGACAGTCGCAATGCATGGAGTTCTAGAGGTAGAATATCTATACATACATTTGCGACCGTGTTTTTAGCATGTGCAAGCCTGTCTATTATGATGCATCCAACGAAGCCGAAACCTGGTGACGCCTATGTCTCCCCGAACACAAACAAACCCTTACCGCCTCGGAAGCCCTCTAGGGTTCCTTGGATTGCATCCTTGAGCACGTTCTCCTCGGTGTCCCAGTTCCACTCCACCTCCTTGAACGGCGACTCCTTGAACTTGCCTTCACGCATCAGGTCCAGAATCTCGTTGACCGTGTTGCGCCTCTCGGCCGGGTTCTCCTTGTTCCACTCGCTCAGCCAGAAGCCTTCGAACCGCAACCGCTTGAAGATCTGCGGCCCCGTCGGGAACGGGAAGCTCTGCCTCGACATGCCGCCATATGTAACCATGCAGCCCTTGGGGCTCAGCGCCTTCACCATAGCCGAAGCCGATTTGCCACCAACACAGTTCAGCCCCAGCATCACGGGCTCCTTGCCGCCCCGCGTCCACTCCTCCTTCAGCCGCGCCGAGAACGACCGATCGAGGAACTCGGTCTCCGTCACCACCACCGTCGCCCCCAACTCCTTCAGCTCGCTCTTCAACGCTTCCGTCTCCTCTGGCGTCGCCCGCTCCCGCACCACATTAATACTCCTCAGCCCCCACAGTCGCCCCAGCTGGATCACCGACCGTCCAACCCCGCTATTCGCGCCGTTCTGCAAGAACCAGGCGCCCCCCGTCGCCCCCTCCCCCCTCGCAAAGCTCTTGATGCTCAAATCCACCAAATCCACATAATCCTTCAACATCCGATACCCACTACACGGATTCACACTCACCGTGGCCACCTGCTTCGCATTCAGCCCCTCCGCGCCCTTCTCCCCGCCAACCCGAAACAACATCCTCTCCGCATCCTCCACCACAACATGCGTCCTAAACGTCCCGAACCCCCTCCACCGCGGGGATCACCCAATCCCCCCTCTTCAACCCACCGCCACCAACCTTCTCCCCCACGGCCACCACCTCAAAACAGCCCTCATTCCCCGGCACCGCTGCCGGCTCCGGCGTGCCCAGCAGCGGCGAGAACGCCGGCCGGACGCCGTACGTGCCCTGGATGGTGTTGACGTCGGCCGGGTTGACGGGGGCGGCGAGGGTGCGCAGGAGCACGGCGCCGGCGGGGAGTTGGGGGGAGATGGAGTGGCTGTGCAGGTGCAGGACGTCGGACGGCTCGCCGAAGCGCGAGAAGACGAGGGTCTTGGCTTGGGTGTAGCCGTAGGGGCCGGATTTGTGGCGGCGGGTGGAGGGGGTGGGGGAGGTGAGGGGGGATGAGAGGTGGGTGGTGAAGCTTGTGCCAACAAGGGGGCGCGACACCTGGCGACTTAAAGGAGGTTCGGCCGAAGCGCAGGCTGGGGAGAGTGAGGCCGGCCTACTTAGAATTCTTGGGTGGAGGTTTTGCCTGGGGTTTAGAGAATGGGGAGAATTGAAAGTGTTGAGGTTCGATTGCCAATTGATAGAATCGACGCAGCTCAACCCAAAGCAGTGAGAGTGCTCTAATTAGGTCAACACCACTTCCTTATCCGCGGTCGATCTGGCAGCTCGGCTCCGGTGGCCCGATAACAACGCCGATGAATGACGTCTGATGCTCCACTCAAGCTTCGGCCAATCGGGGATTAGAATTAGAGCTCCCTGCCCCCACTGTGAGGAGCTTCAACTTTCAACGCACTCGTTTTTGTCTTCCGTACGAGAAGTATCCTTTGCAGTTAGCGTCAGGGTCCGAGGAAGTCTAAGAGCTTCGCCGTATTAATGCCCCACTGGGTTCATCCGATGTGCCATCAACAAGCAGGCTGCATTATTCCGGCAACTCTCTAGGTTGCACTAAGAGGCCAAAGCGTGGCCCCCTCTTCTGAAACCCCCCGACTCATCACCCATCCAGGTCCAGTGTCTTGAAAGCTCTGCACTGGATGTCGAGCAAAAATGTGATTATTTTTTAGGTATTCTCCACTTCCCTTTTTTCTAGCCACGAGTGTGACCGAACAAGTGCCAAAGGAAAAGAAAAAAAGGAAAAGCCGTAAGCTTGAGGTATGTAGTTGGTCGTAAATGCTGCGTAACAAAACGTCAACAACAGCCTCCCCCTCCATCTCATTAGAACTAGTCTCCCCTCCTGACGCAATATTAGTGTGTGTAAGAAAGCCAAACTGACCACCGTTGTTCCATTCTTGAGGAGGTGCGCCGTATCGCATGAAAGGGGGTGGCGACTACTGTAGTCATAAAGTACCACAAGTATCGTCGAACAGAAAAAAGGAAAAAAGTAAGCGTAGATCAGGCGTCTAGACACGCGGTAAACGGCCAAAGGACATGAAACATCTCGAGTACCACAACAGCTGCAGAACATATAGGGGAATAAGCAGCGATGAAAAAAATATCGTCGTAAAATGAACGTCCCTCGTGAAAATAAGTGAAAACGGAAAGAAAACGAGGTGGGTATCTTGCGTCAGCAACTCAGCAACACTCCTGGAACAGCCGCCTGCTTCTGGGGCAGTCTCCTCTCTGCCTCGCGATGCAGCCTGGCTCATCATCGCCTGTTCATCTGTCGAACCACACAACTAATACCGTGCCGCCCCCTTTATTTTATATTCTTGAAGAAGTCGCCCCCAAAGGTATTGTCGGCTTGGATACCCAATTTCATGTTTAGCTCCTTCAGCTCGGGGATCATGGGCGGGGGCGGGCCCGTCGGCTTCTTCTCATCCGTGGCTGGCGGCGAAAGGGGCGTTACCGGTTTACTGGGAGCAGGTTCGGTGTTGCGTAGCCGGCCGAACCAGCCGCTGGATCGTCTTGCTTTCCGAGAGTCCGCGGCGCTGGCGCCGCTGCGACTTTGGGGCCGTCCGTCCTGGGCGCTTTCGTTTGTGTTGTACGCCGTATTCAAAAGATTCCGGCTGAACAGACGCCGGATGCTCCCCGGTCGGTTCGACAAGGTAGGAGATGCGGGGCCGTCTTCGGCGCGTCGTTTGGTACCCGCCGTTAAGATGCTCGACGGCTGGGAATTCGGTGATACGGTGTTCGACTTTCCATTGGCAGCCGCCTTCGCTCCCAGCTTCGACTGCGCACCATTTGGCGTGTCTGGCGGGGTTGAGGCGGCTTCCTCCTGTATCGGCGATGGCGGCGGTGGGGGGATGTCGGTACCGTCCGTTAGGGAGCCGAACTTGAGATCCAGGGCGGGGAGCTCGAAGCGCTTGGCCTTAGCAGTGGCGGCGGGTGCGGCAGCGCTGTTGATTTGTGACGCCATCGTTCGTTACACTGAGAGAAGACCCGGATTCGAATTGCGAAACGAATGCAAGGCGATAGACAGGCGCGTGCAATTGGCGTCAAAAAGAGGTTGAGAACGAGTGGTGGTAGTAAGACGGAAAGAGGGAACCGTGACCGGCTGCCGAGCGAGTTGGAATCAGGGATAGGTAGTTATTCGACCGTTTGGGGAACCAAGCAGCCAAGCAGACACCAATCGACCGGGATGGGGAGTCTCTGATGACTTGACGACCACACGATCGAAGGCGGATGGAAGAGAGACGGAAGACCAGGGCAAAAAGGCTGGTCCGCAGCTGCGCGAAATCACCGACGTCTTTGGGCGCCGAGTGGCTGGTGCCGAGAGCGTTTGTGTGGAAACGAAACGGCGATCAACTGAGTGAACCTTGTCGAGAGGTTGCAGTCGGGATAGCTGACGACGTCGTTCGGTTCCCTGCCAGAGACTCTCAATGTGTGGGGAGGGCAGAGAGATCTTTCAATTCGTTCCGTTCAACGCGTTGGTCGGTTCTGGCGACCTCACAATGGCATTGCGATGGTATTGAAAAAGAGAGTGTTGCCCAAATCTCCGGTGCTGGAATCCTTGGAGTCCGGCAGGCCCAAGGCAGGGAAGTGTATGGCGGGCCCCGTTGAGCAGAAAAGGGAAGGCGGGTCGGCTGCAATCCAAAAAGAGTAAGACCCTTGCTTTTCTGTTCTGGTTTCCCACCCCCACCAGGGGCGGGATGCGCCTCCCAACTGCTTCGGACCAAAACCGTTGTCTTCGTGATGGCAGCTTTGCTTTTCTCTTCTGTTCTCCGGTTCGAACCTATTTTTTCAGTACAACCTTTTTTGCGCATCACTTGAGCCCGAAACTGGTTTAGCTGCCGTCACATTCGGTTCCTCTGACTTTCATTCCCCGCCCAACCTGGGACCTTGTATGTAGGTACCTACCTAGTTATGTACGGAATGCATACCAACCAGCCATGTTCGCTTACCCATGGCGGTGTTAAGATGCATTCAACTACCGGGTTTCTGCAGGCAATTTGTTAGCCTGCAGTAAAATGCTCAAAATGCCTAACTTGAAACTGGCATCTGGTGTCAGGAACAGGTTGATACTGAAGCATTTCGACAATGTATCCTAAGAACGACAAAATAGTGAGCTTTAAGCTCCCCTCGAAGAGTGCAACGGTGCTGTCCAAGTTTGTTTGTCTGACTCACTCCCTCCCACCTGGATGCTGCGACTTGCTCCGTCGACATGGCCTTCCAGGGTTGACTATGTGAGGCAATATGGAGAGTGGATCTGCCAGCCATGGCACCGCTCGGTGTCTGCGCACTCTCGCCGGGCCCTCCGGCCCTAGCTCACTACGGCACATGGTATCGTAGATCCCTCATCCTGCTACGGGAGTAGCATGCTCCCATCTCTAGACCTCATCAACTCCACCCGAATGTGTTGTCCCCTCAACTCCTCGAATGACGAATGGTTTGCCGAGCACCCTTCCTTCGATGTTTGCTCTTATCTTTTACCAGTTCCTAGCACGGAAACTATTTCGGAACCGCGTATTGCTGCGTCCAGGCCTTCGCTGTGGCAATGGCGCCAGCTTCATCCTCCTTCCAACTCTTGGCGACATCGGCAGCTAGTGGGTCATCTGGGTTCGGAGCGCCGAGCAGGGCTTGAATGGACAGCAGAATGGTCCGAATCTGTAACGCAGGGGACCAGTTGTCTGGTATCCTGTAAGCTTTTGCTACCACGCGCATGCTGAATCCCATTACCCACTTTTTAGAACGTCGAGGCAGATGCGGCCGAGTTTATCAACGTTGGGGTGGAAGATTTTGGTCAGGAAGCGGATTTTGGGAGGCGCCATCGGGTAGTCGTCGGGGAGGAACAGCTCGAGCTTGAAGACACCGCCTAAAACCCCATGTAAGTCAACTGATTGCTAAACAAACCAGGAGTGGGATGCGCACCTTCGTACGGAGAGGACGAAGGACCGTGGATCTCAACGTCAAAGTATCGGAGGTTGTCTTCATGCGGGACGGCGCTAATTCCAGGGACACTGTTGTTGATCGAGTCAGATGGGCGGCCTTTGCAGGTAGGTGGGGTTCCCGTACGGTTCGGCCATGAGCCTCTCGGTCTCCTTGATGATCCTCTTAGGCAAAGCCATGATGAAGAATGCGATTTCGTGAGAGATAACGAGGTAGAGTTGTGAGAAGTCGTGGAATCGTCGGTCAGGCAGCAGACCGGGAGCAGAGACCTGAAGGAGCTAGGGAGGGGTCAAGTTCGCAACCAAACGCCCCATGCGCCGCAAGACGTAGCGGGAGATCGTGCGAAAAGATAACTAATAGCGGCCTAGGAGCGTTAGCGCCGGGTGTAACGTTAGTTAAGTATGAGGTGGGTTCTTGGATGCGGATGGCTGCAGTGGGAGTTTGGTGTTTGACATTCAAACTTCGAAAACCGAAGCCAGGCACGCCAGGGACGTGGGAAGTGGGATGAGACTCCGCCTGACGAAGCCAAGACAGTCGATAAGCGCACGGACCACACTACCGAGTTAAGACCTTGCATCCTGATTCACACGTGGGGCCATGCTTTCTGCTTTGGACCTGAGCTACCACATTACCTAACTAACCGTGGAACTTATCCCCTTAACTAGCTACCAGTTACCCACCCCATCCCCGTCTCGAGATTGGCTCTATCCATCACTCGACCTCGATGACAACACATGCATTGGAATTAAAGCCGGTACTTGCCTGAGAACCTTCTCAATCTTGTTACTCGATAAACTGTAGCCGGAGACTCGGAGCACCCAACAGATGGCGGATTTTGAGCCACTTCTACAGTTTTAATCTCTTCATTTAAAACTCGGAAGGTTCCTTCCATTTGGCCATCACCATCACCGCAACTTGCATGGTTTCACTCACAATGCTTTACACCTCATTTTGTGCCTCAACATGCCACTATCCTTTGTCCGCCTCTCCGATGCGCCCAAAAAAGTGAAATCGATAAAGTCCGCCTTCGAGAGCGAGAGCTTCGATGCCGATGGCACAATCCACGTCGATGGCCTAGTGGGATCCGCAACCATCTCGCCTTCGGGTCGAGATGTTGCTCTAGCATCGTGAGAAACAGCGGCCTCTTCTTTTGTAGTAGGCTCTGAGCCCGATTCTGACACGCCCTTAGTCCTGAAGGTTTGGCCATCATAGACTTAGACTCACCATGGAGCCCACCACGAAGGTTGAGCAGCCACGGCCTTCCATGGCTTGTGGTTGATGTACAGTGGTCACCGTTTGCGGTACGCGACTACTGGGTCGCCTCCACCGCAAACCATCGCTGTCTAATATGGAACCTCAACAAGCGAGACGATTCGTCCTCGGGGGCTATTGAACACTCCCTCCAAGCTCACAGCAGAGCCATTACCGATGCCAATTTCTCCGCCCACCACCCCGATTCTCTCGCAACTTGCGCAGTGGACGGATATGTCTACTGTTGGGACCTTCGGAGGCCCAGACAGCCAGTCCTGGCCTTTTGTGACTGGTTTGCCGGCGCCACCCAGGTCAAATACAACCGCCAGGACCCAAATGTTCTAGCCTCTGCCCATGACCGCTGGCTTCACATCTGGGACGCCAGGAAGGCAGCTGAGCCTCTCAAAACTATTGATGCCCACACATCCAAGATCTACGGCATCGATTGGAACCGCACCATATCCACCGCCCTTGTTACGTGTTCTCTTGACAAGAGCATCAAGTTTTGGGATTACGGCAAAGATGATAAAAAGCCCCAGAGGATAATTCGCACAGAGTTCCCGGTCTGGCGAGCACGGCATACACCTTTTGGCCATGGCCTACTGGCGATGCCGCAGACGGAGCCAGGCAACCTGTTCCTCTACGATCAATACCTTGACCCCGAGACACCCGTGGACGGCACGGTCAAGCCCGCGGCCGTCTTTCCGGGCCATGGGAACCACAAAGCCAAGGAGTTTCTCTGGAGAAGCCGTGGCGGTGTGACCAACGAGGGGGTGGATAACCGCGAATTTCAGCTGGTCTCTTGGGGCGAGGACAACGAGCTGCGTCTTCACAAAGTCGAGCAAGAGCTTTTGGAGTCTGTGGGCCACGTTCGGGGGAAGCCATTGATGAAGAATCTAGGACTCACTCGAAGGGGTGCACCCTACAAAACCTTTCGCACTGTCGACGATGTGGTCCATCGCGACCGCCGGAGCCCGACCATGAGTGACCGCCCCGGCAACGGTGGGCAGCTTCGACACAGTGCTCTCAGCAGCGGCCTGAATGCCAGTATCCGCCGTACCGGGCCCTCTTGGCGGGCCACGTCCATGAAGGCGAAAACAAATACAGGCAAGCACATGGATAAGACCCAACTCCAGATTGGCTGGATGAAGGGCATCACCATGTCAAAAAGGAAGTCTAGTTCTGATGCCCCCAGCCGAGCTGGTCCTGAGGATTCGGGCCTGTTCGGTCATGGTTACGATAGCGGCTGGGGCGAGCCCGAGGCCATCCAGGATGAGTTCCTCCGTATCAGCAACCAGCTTCCCAACGTGAAGTGGGAAAACATCGACATGGATTCTCTCTCACTGAACGCGTCTTTGAAGGGGCCGTGGGGCGTCAACCGCGAAACAATCTTCATTAAGGTCAGAGTGGATATTCCTACCAGCTACCCGAAGAGCAAGGCCCCCAGGTTTGTCGTTGAGAAATCTTCGTTTATGCCAGACGAGACGCATCGGAAGCTTGAGCATGAACTTCACGAGCTTGCAACCCGCTTCCTGCAGCGAAAGCAAAACTGCCTTTATACGGCATTCACATACCTTCTTGGAGAAGCCGACTTGGAGTCCAGCACCGCTTTCTTCCACAACGTCCGAGATCTTGAAGACGACGACGCCCTCGCTGATGAGAGCTCGAGCGAGGAGGACGACAACGACATCCCCGCTGGCGGCTCTGCATCCATGTCGCAGGAGCTCAGTGCCAGTACCGAACTGGACCCTTCGGCAACTCTAGTCTCGGCCCAGCGCCAGGCGGTCACTCCGCTGCCCATGTTTTGCGGGGCCAGATTCTCCAACGACGGGAGGTTGGTGTGTTTCTTTCCGACGAAGGAGGAAAAGGCAAAAGCCCTGTTGCTCCCGCCTCATCTCGGACCCGTATAAGGAGCGGCTGAAAGGGGAGCTCACATTTGCTGGATTTGGGCGTCTTTCCCACGACTCGCCGCAACCAAAGCAGGGGTTTCACGACGAAACATCCGCAACGGATGATCAGTCAGGAGAGTCAGATGACACTGACTCGACGACCTCCACTGATTCTGAGCCAACAACGGTACACAAAATCAATCTGTGGTACCAGCCAGGGCGCCGCTTCCGGAAGACCTGGAGCGCCAACGAGTCTATACGGTCAAGCGGCGGTGGGACTGGTGCTGGGACGGGAACCGGCACGGGGACAAGCCGTAAACGGCCTGGTAAACCTAAAAATATCATCTCTATCCATAACTTACAGAGCGACCTGCCGTCAAAAAAGCAGCTCGCCCAGGAATACGCCATTTTTGGCGATGGGGCCGACGTGTGCACTCACAACGCGGCGGTCGCCGATAAATACGGATATCAAGATCTAGTTCATATCTGGAAGTATGCCGCCCTTCTGCTCCGGAAAGACATCCCGCTAGAGATACACGACCTTCAGCACAGCGGACAACCTGTGCTTGTCATTGCAAAGGACGCCGTTTCTTACGCGGATGAGAGAGGAAGGCGAAGGAAAGGTCACAACCCCGGGGTCTAACTTGGCCGGTCGTGTTCGATGGGGCCATCACCCGCTCGCTCGGGATCTGATCAACGATCTCTTCGACTACTTTGAGCAGATTGCTGACATTCAGATGCTGGCCATGCTGGCGTGTATCTTTGGCGATTACTCTATCGAAGAGGAAGCAGCCATAGCAGCGTCTCATCTTCCTCAGCCAAAGACGCCACTACCTATGAAGGCTCCTTCGTTTTCGCTCGAGTACTTCCCTACCGATCCCGCGCTCTGGAACTTGAATTACAATAAGAGCCAGGCGAGTTCGGGTATAACAACTCCTAGAACAGCCCACACCCCGGCCATGTACTCGGACCCGTCAAGCTCCGATGAAGTCTCGGGCTCTCTCGAACCGCAATCATACTCATGCGGAGAGACCCCCCCTAACCATGCTCGAGACCATCTACGGGGTCCTAGCCAAACCCAAAGTCTGTCCACGTCCCCCAATAACAGGCTATTTCACCGGTCCAACTCAACCGTTGCTGCCGCGATTGCTGCTAGTCTCCCGCGAGCGCTTGCTGGCATGGTATCAGGTTCTCCGCCGGATCCCATTCGGAAGCGGCTAAGCCCTGCTGAGACTATGCTAAGCAACCTTACCCCCAACGCTCTTGCGTGGCCTGGCTCCGCTGTGTCTGGTGGTGGCTTAGATACCCCTGGGACATCGCGGACATCGTTCTCAGAGGACGAATATTGGAAAGATGACCTCTTCTCCATGGTTCCCATCGCGGTGTCTTGCGCCCCGAAAAACCAAGGTCTCTTCGACGATGACGGTTGGATGTCGACGCCGTTGATAGACGGTGCCCGCTCCCAACTATACTCCAGCTACCGCTACGCCTACGCCGAGATGCTTCAGATGTGGGGCCAACCTCTCTCACGGCTCGAGATCATGAAGTTTGATGTCCTCAGGGACGACACGCTCTCTTCCGGACACTATATCGAGGACTCCGCGCCCAACAACACCCCGATTTATGCCACTGGCGCCACCTCTCCAACATCCCCCTTTGCCGATCGCCGCAGCTTTTTCAAAGAACTCCTCACCTCCGCTCGCGGGGTCGACGTAATAGGGTTCTGCGGTGTGCACCCAGGTATCCCGCTCGAGCCGGTGGAATACCTTCGCCCAACACAAATCATCCCCGCCACTATCATCAATGGTGCACCCGGCTCCGCGAGCCACGGCGCCAGCAGCCCTGCGCCCATCATCAACGGCGCGGTCGGCGTCTGCTACCGCTGCACCGCCGAGCGCGAGCACGCCGATCTGGTCCCGCAGACCGAGCTGGTGTGCGTCTACTGCTGGGAGCCTGCGGTGAACCTGTATGTGCCGTGCATCACGTGCGGCTGCGTCCTGCACCAGACCTGCCTCGCCGAGTGGCACGCACTGGGCGCCAGCGAGTGCCCCGCCGGCCACGACTGCCACTGCGCTGAAGAGGCCACCAGCCAGGCTCCCGGCAGCTGGGCCGGCTTGCGCGCCGCGGCGTCGATGCGGAATCCTACGGGCGGTGATGGGGGGAGGGGGCGAGAAAGGGGCGGTAGCAGCGGCGGTGGGGATGACAGTGGTGGTAATACTCGATCGGGCGGCGCGACGCCCAGGTCGGCGCGGTCTAGACGCAAGTCGGCGCCGGCGGATGCCGCCAAGTTCCATATGCTGCGCAGGATGAACGACTCCCCCGTCACCATTGGACCGGAGACCGGGCCCGGCACTGGGACCGCGGTCGCGACCACGCCCGGGGCTGGAAGCGGTACAGAGACTGCCAGCGTCCGGTCCGGAGCGGGCGGTACCGGCAGCGCCGCCGGTAGGATAGGCGCCACCGCACGCAGGCGGGGCCATGATGATAGCGTCATTGATAGGACGGATCGCGAGAGCATGGGTTCGCCCGGCCCGCAGCAACAGGGAGAAGGCATCCCCTCGGTCACGGTCACGGGCGCCGGGGGCTTGCTGGCGGGCGTGAAACCGCCGCCGCGCGGGGAGGAGCCCATCTCAGCGGCGCAGCTGAGCTTGGGGAAGAGGTTGAAGAAACAGCTGGAGGATTCGGGACGGCCGGGAGTGCCGAGGCGGAATTCGGGGGGTTTGGCGATGTGGAAAACGTCGAATGGTGTGTGATATACTGAGTTACGTGGAGACGGGGGGGTTGTCCTGTGATTGTAATTGTGTTAACATGGGCCGGGAGGGGATGTAGGCATATCGTAACGGGCTTTCTTGTCTTCGAGTCCTTTTACATACCAATCGAACAAAAACCTTTCGTTTTTAAGTCGAGAAACTCTGAGCTTAACCGGCATTTTTCAATTCCATATGTACTCTTTCCGGCCAATTCGGCATACACTACACTTACAACCCCTTACCTACAGCCGAGCCAAGCCCGGTACCGATTTGTCCCTTAGATCTCATCTTAGCCTCCTTTCCGCTTCACCGATATAAAAACAATACCATCTTGAACAATCAAACTCACGACCAATTCTTCCCAAAGAAGTCCAACACCGTCTTGTACCCGCGGGCATACTCCTCTTTGACGCGGTCATTAGATAGGTCGGCGCGTGCCGCCATCCAGCCGTGGATCTGGTCCTGGAACGTCTCGACGTGCTTGGCAGCGGCACCCTTCAGGTTCGCCTCGAACTGTTGTACCTTGTCGGCCGGCTCCTCCCCGGACGCCAGCAGGATCAGCGGTACCTTGATGGATTCGGCCTCCTTGGGGTCTACCATCGCCGGGTGGCATTCGGCGGCGGCGGAGAAGGGGTTTGAGGCGCTGGATGTGACGAGGGAGACGATTTTGCTGCTCTAGCAGAACTGGGTGAGGGAGGTAGGGAGTTAGTATTGATGAGGCGGGTGGGTGGCGTTGATTTTCTTAGGGGAGGGGATGGGTGGGTGGCTTACACCCGAAGGATACCCCACGACTTGATCTCGGGGTGCTTGGCGTTGAGGGTGTCGACAAAGCCGGGTAGGGCTTGGGCTACACCTGTGGGAGGGTTCTTGCCGAAGAAGGCACCCAAGTCCTTTTGTTTCTCGGGAGTGTTGGGCGGGTACCTATGGTTTCGGTTTGTGAGTGTTTTGGTTCAATCGTAGAGGTGTAGTTGGCCGAGACATACCACTCAATGGGGCACGGCTCCCCTTTGAACCAGTCTGGGATGAACACCTGGTACTTCTGGGAATCGCTCGTCGCGAGGATATCGGCGCCTTGGACGGTCTGGTCGAAGTAGCCAAAGATGTCGTAGATGACAATAATTCCCTTGGTGGCGTCGGCAGGGCCGGTTGCGTCTAAAACGAGGGTCGAGATGTTAGTCGGGTGGACTAAGATGTTTCGATTCTCTTTTGGGCTAAGGATCTCCCGTACATGTTTTCAGCCCGTCGTACTCCTTGTACGAGCCCTTGGGTTCGTATCCGGTGGTCACCACGGGAGGGATGTTGCAGCAGGCCTCGTTGTGGCCGTGACTCGCAGGCATAGTCGACATCTTGGCGGTTGATGACGGCGTAGGTCTAGCTGAAGAATTGATATAGTATTGCCGGTAGGCGCTGGTGTTTGGATTTGGAGACAAGACGGTGTAGTGTGCGCTGGAGCTGGAGAGAGAGCGAGTGTAAGTACGGGAACCGGGCCGCGATAAGACAGCACCGGCGGGTGCGGGGTAGATTGCCCTGCCAGCAACGAGACGCAATTGATTCAATGCGGGCATACCTCTGGAATTACAAATTGATTCAACACCAAATTCGGGAAGAAAATATCTACTAAGGTAGGCTGAGTGTAAAGCTACCTTATATAACTACTTGCACAACCATGTATGAGATAATTTTCAAGAACCAGGTTCGGCTTCGAGTGCCTTCGGTCCCAAGCTCCCGCGGGAACAACATTGCGGGGTAGCTTCGATCAACCATCTCTCTGATGTCACTGCCCCGAGTTGCCGAAGCCGATGACCCAATCAGAAACCTCTCTTGGCCCCTCCGCCCCTCTTTCGCATTGGATCGCCAAGCTCAGGGCGTTCTTCGTTCTTCGTCTGATCCTCTGCAGGTCCCCCTGTGTGGAACTTATTTCACGGCTCGGCTGTTGCACAATTTCAGGTAAAGATTTCGATCATTCATCATCAAAAGTACATGACAGAAGAAGAAAGAGAGGCGCAAAAAGAGAAAAAGAAAAGAAAATAAAAAAAGAAAAAAAGAAAAAAGAGCGAGCTACTTTTCCAGAACCCCGAACTGGACCAAACCCCAAACCGGAACTCAATTAACATTCATTACCACCGTGACCTATCACCCCTTGGTTTTGCAAACTCCCTGGGGTTCTCTAGCATACCTGAAAATAGACCAGCGCAACGAGAAACCTGCGGTGGGTTGCACCTTCAACAACTTGAAGCGCAAATAAAAAATAAAAAAACCAAAGCGAACCGAGCATCAAATCATCCACCGAGATTATTCCCCGATCTTATATCCCGACTTTTTCATATCTGCCACCGTTTTCGCCACCGCCCGTACCTCTGCCTCGAAGCGAAGAGTGCTCGGCACTTCAGAGAGCGGAATCCATTTGGCGTCCAGCTTCTCCCACTCCTCCTGCGTTCCAGAGTCCCGGGCGGCGCTGCACTCGGCCGTCGCAGCAAAGAAGTAGACGATCTTCAGGGCTTCGGTTTCCGACTGTGGGTCCGGGTATAAGCATGCCCCGATCGACTCGTTGCTCGGGTGGCCTTCGGTGATGTTGGGGGGCTTCTGGGACGTGTCGGCGTGTGCCTTCTTGGGCGGCGTTGCCCGGGTTGCGACGTCGAGCTGGAGGGGTGTGACACGGACGCCAGTCTCCTCGTATGTCTCTCGGAGCGCCGCCGACAGCATGCTCTCGTTGAGGTTTCTTCTGCCCTTCGGGAGCTGGTGAAGTTTCAGCCGGTTGTTCCAAATCACGAGCACCATGGCATGCTGGGGATCGATCGTCACGGTGCCGCACGACATGCCAAGGGCGCTCGCGGGCCGGAAGCTCATGCTCTTATCGACCTCCTCCAGCCAGAGCCTGAGCTCCGCCTCGTCCGCGCCGGGCAATGGCTGAGGTCGGGTCATTATGTGGGAGTGAAGTGGGCGACTTTGTGAAGGGGAACTGCTTGTCAACCAAGCGCAGTGGTTCAGTGAGCCGTGGCAGGACAACTGGGGGGGGGGGGGGGGGGGTCGCAACTCCGCGTCAACCATGGCAGGGACTTGGCTGTCTTTTATATGCGGAGCCTTCCTCCAAGCCGTCCCATGCGACTTTATCAAAGAACGTGGCCAATCAGCGTGGCAGCGACACGAGCTGCGTTCCTTCCATGTGGCCAAATGAAGTGCGCTGGGCAACAGTTGCAACAGACGAGCGACCGGTGAGGATGCAAGGCCGGGAAGCCATGTTCGAGCGCCCACCACATGCAGGTCGACAAAATCCCCGGCGAATCACGGGCTCTTACAGGGCCCAGCCATCGGGCGTATCGACGCTAAACCCCCAGTTTCCGGGGCCCCAACCGCCCTGTGGACCCGGGCAGTTCGGAATGTAACCTGGCGCTGGGCCTCAGAGCAACTGTTATGTGTGGCCTGCAGCATCGGGCACATCGCGGGAGCCTGAGTTTCCAGCAGCCTCCCCTCCCTGCAGCAGAACATAGGGTGTGTATGTACATGCACCTAGGTAGGTCTTCTTGCCGTGGTGGTAGCCAGCCAGAGCCCGCCAGAGCCAGCCGAGCCGGTCCAGGAGGCACCGGAGAGCAGACTGTCCGATTACCCCAGGACAGCGTGAGGCACCAATCATGCATGCACCTCCATCACATCGACCATGCCAATCTGGCAGGGGAACTGCCGAGTCAGAAAATGCCATGACACATTAACACCCTAGCTGACCGGTGAGCCGTCCCCTGGCGAGCCTGCCACCCACACCGGTATTCGGTTCGTCGTCCGATTCAAGACACAAGAGGCTTGCCACCCTTTGGCCGACTTTTACCCCGTCACCGGCATCGCCAGTGTGGTTCGTCACACCCGGATATGGATTAAATCGCATGTTATGGGCGTTCGATGGAAGGGAGTCCCTCCCACACCGACAAAGTGGCCCAATCGTTTGGAGAGACTTTTCCTGTTCTTGTATATGTTGCATTCTCGAAACCCCTTGCTGCATGCGTCGCTGTCCCACGCACCACCATAACTATGTACAGATCTCGGCGGGGCCTTGGGGGAACGACGGCGGGGATAGAAGTCTGCGTTTGGTGAGCGGCAGATGGCAGACAGGCATCACCATCCTTCGTCTCGAGGCGCCCTGAGAGGAATCCTGGCCAGCCAACCCGAAACATTTCTGGCACCACATTGCACTGATCGAGACATGCAGGGTCAGTGATACGGTGCGGTACGCAGCCAACCTCTTTAGGAGCCAATAGCGAAACCAAAAAGCTTGACTGCGCAACCTCGGACATGGCTGTCCAAAGTTTTCTTTTTTCCCCAACCACGTCGTCAGCACTATTCCCGCTACTGTTTCGTTGTCGGCTAGGGGCCATATTGGCTAGACATATAGCAGTCCTGGGTCGCGTTAACCGAGCCAGGGGATCTTCGAGTGATTGACGACGGGAATTTTGTCCGTCTCCCCAGCTTTGGCTTGTGTGAACACCAGGGCCCATTTGGTCATCCCCAAGGGTAAATATCCAAAGGGGGCTTTGTGTTGAGGGTCACGAACTTAGATAGGGCGCTATCTGCCTCGCACTAGAGTTCCGCCACAAGCAGATGGGCCCATATCTCGCAGTTCCCTTCCCAAAGCGTCGCCGCCCCCGTGGGTCTAACCCGGCTGCCGCACCCGACGGTAGGAGGGGGTCGCGAAGGAGGTGGAAAACAACCGTTGCTTTTTTTTCTCCCCCTCTCGTCTCTGAAAATTCAAATCTTGGGTTTTTGCTTGCACGTTGACTCAAAGCCCTCGTTGATCGTTCGTTTTTCACCTCCCCTTCCCCGTCCACTCTCGGGCTCAATCGACTTTCCGAGCAATAGAGGTGGAGGGGGAAAACCCGATCGCGATCGAGCTCTCCTCCCGCATCCTCGCCTGGAAACGGGAAAGGTTCGTGCAGACAGACAAAGCAATGGAAGTCATCAGCCTCTCCCCGGTTCCCCAAACCGGCAACCCGCAGCATGCGTGTCTGTGCCGGGCTCGGCGATCAAACCCTCTCTCTCCCCTTCGAACTGCCTCGGCCACTCACACGACCACGGCTCCCGCACAACTCCCCACTACCACCCACCTAACCTGCCGAACGAACCTCTCTTTTCCCTTCCCCATTTCCATTCCCCTCCAGCAGCGGACCGCGGCCCGCTCGCCATAGTCACGGGTAGACGGATCACCGCTCGCTTGAGCGCTTCCCGCCCCGACTTCTAAACACTTCCCGCCCGAAATCGACCCATATCCCGCTCCGCTCCCTTACCGGTATAGCTACATCCATCCCGGATCTGACTTCGCACCCAAAAGAAGAACAAAACCGGCTCCATCTGCCGAGTTCCTCCGTCTCGCCACCCGTGCCCGGTTGTACAGCAAAGGTAAAGAAGCAAGGCACAATAACGTCTGGGAAAAAGCATGCATGGGATGGGGCGGGATCGAACAGGACATTCTTGCATGCTGCATGGGAAAGGGGAGGGGAGGGCACAGAAGAAGGGATGATTAGAGTACGGCAAAGAAGCGGGAAGGGAAGGGAAAACTCAGTTTATCGTCGGCCGGGCACTTACTTGGTCAAGCGGGCGGGAAGGCTCAAAAAGGGTCAAAAAAGAAAGGCTTCTGCAAGAAGATTGCAATTATTTGTTCCATGCTTCTCTCCCTGCCTCCCTCCCTCCGTCCCTCTTCTCCGGTGAGGTAACGGCGGAAGAGAGGATTCCACAGCGGTGCGTAACGATGCTTGGAGGGGATTTTCCCACACCGACGTTGCACTGGCTATATAAATGTGTATATGCGGCCGCGGGCGGCTCGTGGGGGTCAGGGTTGTGCGACAAAGAGATCACAAGTATACGACACAGCATAGCACATATACTACGGTACTCCAAGCGGCGTCCCGTCCTTTTGTCGGACCGAGGCGGAAATCTTGGTGTGGTGGTGGTGGCAGTGGCGGTGGCATGCAATGCAGGTTGGAAAAAAAAAAAAGGGGGGGGGGGAGACAAGATACGGCCGCGGTTTCGGGATGGGATTGCGCAAAAGATAACGCTGCCGATGACAGAGCGGGCATTGAATGTAACGGCGGGGAAAACAGGGCAACAAGCCGGTCTTGCTCTTCATGCACCACGCAGACGGGGGAAACGGGACGGGGAATGGGCTCCACGGCGGCTTTAACCGTTGTTGTGCAATATTGATCGCTGTATATAGGCTGACCCTCATGTGCCCATGTACGTATGTCCACGTGCACCACCTACCTTTGGTGGTGCGGTATCAGCAGGGAGAAAAAAGGGGAAGCATGTCCTTAAGCAATCCCATCCGATTCGTCTCGCGGCTATCCAAAACTGTGCCCGGTCGACGTCCGGTTTAACTCCCGTATCATTATATCTTTCTATAATCTAGCCCGACAAATGGCCGTACTCCTTGTTAAAGGCGCGCCCAATGACCATGCGCCGGACCTCGGACGTGCCGGCGCCAATCTCGTACAGCTTCGCATCGCGCATGATCCTCGACGCCGGCATCTCCTCGACGTAGCCCATCCCACCCAGGACCTGGATCGCATCGAGGGCGCACTCGGTCGCGCGCTCGGCGGCGTACAGGATGGCGCCGGCGCAGTCCTGCGTGCGAATCAGGCCCTGCTCGTCGACCGCGCGAGCCGTGGCGTAGGTGTAGGCGCGTGATGCTTGCAGCTTGGTGTACATGTCGGCTAGTTTTCCTTGGACGAGTTGGAATTGCGCAACCGGCGTGCCGAACTGCTTCCGCGTGTGGGCGTACGGCAGCGCCACGTCGAGCGCCGCCTGCATCAAACCCAACGGCCCAGCCGAGAGCACGAGCCGCTCGAGGTCGAGGCCCTCCATCAGGACGCGCACGCCGCCGTTGACGGCGCCAAGGACGTTCTCGGCGGGGACGAACAAATTCTCGAAGACGAGCTCGCCCGTGTTGCTGCCGCGCATGCCCATCTTGTCGAGCTTGCGCAGGCACGTGAACCCTGGGGAAGCGGTATCGACGATGAAGGCCGTGATGCCCTTGGAGCCGCCGTCGGGGACGGTCTTGGCGTAGACAACGACCACATCGGCGTCGGGGCCGTTGGTGATCCACATCTTGGAGCCATTGAGGATGTAGCCGCCGTCAACTTCCTTAGCTCGCGTGCGCATGCTAACCACGTCACTGCCCGAGCCTGACTCGGACATGGCCAGCGCGCCGACCTTCTCGCCCGAGATGAGGCCCGGCAGGTACTTTTGTTTCTGCTCCGGCGAACCGTTGAGCTGTAGCTGGTTGACGCAGAGTTGCGAGTGAGCGGCGTAGCTGAGCGCGATAGACCCGCTCGCACGCGACAATTCCTCCATGACCACGCAGTGCGCCTGGTAGCCCATCGCCAACCCGCCCACGTCCTCGTCGGCTGTGATGCCTAGGAAGCCCGCCTCTCCTAGCTTGCCCCACATATCGGCCGGAAATTTGTTGTTCTTGTCGGTGGCCGAGGCGACTTCCTCGGTCAGCTCGCGTCGTGTGAATTCTTGTACACGCTCACGCAGCTCGGCGAGGTCACTGGGTGATGGCGGCTCGAAGTCCTTTGGGTGCTTGGAAGAGGCATTTCGTCGTTGCTGCTGACAGATGATTGCTGGTGTTACCGCTCTCCCGGACGAGGTTATTGATGAGCCGAGGCCGAATTGGCGGCGGGTGATGGCGGCGTTTATCCTCGTTGCGCGCGGCAGCGCCCGTGATAATGTTGAGCTGGACATGCTGAATGTGAGTGATTGACTGATTGAGCGACGGCTTACGGGAAAGAAAAAGATAATCAGGAGGAATTGGTTTCTCTTGCTCTTTCTGTGGCTGTTGACCGGCAACTGGATGGGGAAGGTTCGTCCCTTAAGCCGACGCTTCCCCTTCTCGGGCCCTGAAAGCCATGTGCCAGGCCCTCATGACATCGGTTGCCAGGGGTTCGGCTTGCACCGGTTTGCCTCGGGCCGTCCCCCATGATTTACCCCGGGTTTCTGGGGTTCGGACGTCAGCGAGTCCATCCGTTTCCTTGGGACTCTTGCTCGCGATTGCACATTTTTGATATCTTTCTGTCTGTGTATTGTCGTGCTTGCTGTTTCGAGCCAATTGAACCTTCAATATGTCTCTCTCAGCACCATCAAGGGAAATGTTGCTTCTATCTCGGCAATTGGGCCGCCAATGCCTCCGCGCACGATCACAGCGGCCCCGCAGTCGCAACCCGCTTCTCTCTGGTTCCGGGCCTTCGACGAGACGAACTGTTGCAACTTTCAACACGCCGCACCACGCCGGTGCGATATCCGTAATCAAGAGCAACGTCGATACGAGCTCGGATGAATACAAGGAGAACGAGAGGCTCATGGGCGAGGCCATGGCCCGGCTAGATGCGCTCACCAAGAAGGTACAGCAGGGCGGCTCGGCAAAGGCGAGGGAGAAGCACCTCGCGCGCAAGAAGATGCTGCCAAGGGATCGAGTCACGGCGCTCATTGATCCCGGCACTACTTTTCTCGAGCTGTCACCTCTAGCCGGGCACGAGCTGTATCCCGAGGCCGAGGTGCCAGCAGGGGGTGTCGTCGCAGGTGTTGGTGTCGTTGAGGGCGTCACTTGCATGATTGTCGCCAACGATAGCACGGTCAAGGGCGGGACTTACTACCCGATTACGGTGAAGAAGCATCTCCGGGCGCAGGCCGTTGCTCAGGAAAACAAGCTCCCGTACGTTGTCCCGAAAGGAGGGTGCCTCCCCTGTTGCTGACCTGGCCCGCTATCCAGCTGCATCTACCTCGTCGACTCCGGCGGCGCAAACCTGCCTCACCAGGCGGACGTCTTCCCCGACCGCGAACACTTTGGGCGCATCTTCTTCAATCAGGCGCGCATGTCGGCCGCTGGGATACCCCAGATCGCGGTTGTCATGGGTCCCTGCACGGCCGGCGGCGCCTACGTCCCGGCCATGAGTGATGAGAGCATCATCGTGCAAGAGCAGGGCCATATTTTCCTCGCCGGGCCGCCACTTGTTAAGGCGGCTACGGGCGAGGTCGTCAGCCCGGAGGACCTTGGGGGTGGCAAAATGCACTCGTCGGTCTCGGGCGTGACAGACTACCTAGCCGTGGACGACGCGCACGCCATTGTGCTCGCGCGGCGCTCTATCAGCAACCTCAATTGGCCGACCAAGTCCGCTTCGACGACACCGAGCTTCACGGAGCCCCTCTACGACCCCTCAGAACTCCTCGGCATCGCCTCCACCAACCTGCGCAAGCCCCTGCCCATCCACGAGGTCATCGCACGCATCGTCGACGGGTCTGCCTTCGCCGAGTTCAAGCGCGACTACGGCACGACGCTGGTGACAGGGTTTGCCAACATCTACGGCCACCGCGTGGGCATCGTGGCCAACAACGGCATCCTCTTCAGCAGCTCGTCGCTCAAGGGCGCGCATTTCATTGAGCTGTGCGCGCAGCGAGGCATTCCGCTCGTCTTTCTCCAAAACATCAGCGGCTTCATGGTCGGCAAGGACGCCGAGCGCGAGGGCATCGCCAAGAACGGCGCCAAGCTGGTCACCGCCGTCGCCTGCGCCGACGTGCCCAAGTTTACCGTCGTCGTTGGTGGCAGTTATGGTGCGGGCAACTATGGCATGTGCGGCCGCGCCTACTCGCCCCGCTTCCTGTGGATGTGGCCCAATGCGAAGATTGGTGTCATGGGCGGCGAACAGCTGGCTAGTGTCATGGAGACTGTCGGTCAGAAGGCTGATACCGGGCTGAAGGACCGCATTGATCGGGAGAGCGATTGCGTGTTTTCGTCGGCGCGGTTGTGGGTGAGTGGTTTCTTCTTCCTTTCCTTTCCCCCTTTCCCTATGCTTTCGTAGTAAACGGTCAAGCTAACATGGTTGGTTAGGATGACGGTGTTATTCCTCCGGCGCATACACGGCAGTATCTAGGTCTGGGTTTGAACGCGGCGATGGGAGGCCGGAATGTTGTTGCCCCGGGGCAGACTAAGTTTGGTGTTTTCAGGATGTAAACCATGGCGAGCGAGCACTTGCATATGAATACCACCCGATTATCCGCAATGGCTATGCATGATGAATCCAACAAAGCATCAACGTGGCAGCTATCAGGTCCATCACTGGTCGAGATGACTCGTGTGTTGTCTCCAGACCGACCAGCGAACAATCGCGGTGTCGGACATACCGATCGGCCAGCTCCTGTCTCACGGCATATCGGGACTTCCGTCCGGGTTACCGGGAGGGGCCGAGCAGACGGCGCAGCCAGCGAGTGGAGGCGAAGGTTTGACATGCAGGTCTTTGGATGGAGTGTGGTGTGGTTGCATTGGCATGCAGGCCGAGAGTCCAGGCTCTACACCCTACATCGTCGATTTGTCTCGTATGGCCTCCTGTGGCCTCGTCTCTGATGACTGCGATTTCGTCCGCTCTTCTCAACTGGCCTGTTCCGGGATTTTCTTACCTTTTTTTTTTTTTTTTTTTTTTTTGTTGGTCAGATGATGGGGTGATGGGATTCATCCACATCTGCATTTGGCAGCAATGGGGTTTCTCAGCTTTCTCAGTCGAACATGTCATTTCCGATCCCGGTGCCAACCTTCTCCCATCCAGCTTCAAAGCCCCTGTGGCGGTCGGGGTCTGCTCTCTCAGCTGACAAAAGATGTAAAGTTCGAGGGTCCTCGTGACCTCCATGGCGGGGGTGTTGGGAGGGTTTATCGACCAGAAGGGAAAGCCGAAATCGTCGTGTCTTCGGTCCACTTAACCTTCGCTGGGTTTTACCATCCCACCGCATCAGAAATTCAAAGTCTGGGCTCCAAGAAAATGCAGATCTAGCCTATCTCCATCCCTACAAGCCCCACCTGTTACTGGGTCTAGATTTCGAAAACGACCAGCATCATGGTGAGGAAGAGGAAGCTTGAGGGAGCGTATAACTACCCCTCCCTCAAGATGAGGGATTGCCTGTGCCATTGATCATTCATCAGACGATAAAGCCAAAGCCAATTCAAATTGCGCCTTTCAATAACGAAACTTGCAACTCGCAATTTTTCCCGTTGATCGCCTTCACCCGCCACCTTTTAACAAATTTGTGATCGCTTCAAACAATCGCAAACTCAACCAACCACCATCAATCATGTCTTTCCCGGTTAGCCGGGTCCTGCGCAATGCAGCGGGGCGCACCCCTGCATCCCGAATTCTCGGAAACCTCCCCGCGCGCACATCCACACTACCGAGCCGGCTCCGTGTCCAACGAGCCATCTCGGCAACGGCCGGGTTCCACACTGTCCCGGCTGCCCGTCAAGCGGAGAAGAAGCCGACCGAAGAGGAACTCGCCTCCACAGCAGGCCAATTTGCTAGAACCGACGAATCCATCACGGTCGAGTACCCTCCCGAGGCACAACTTCCTACCGAAGAGACGGTGGCTGGCACAGACCGAGCAGGCGCTCATGTTTTCCCTACACTGGCGACTTTCTCCTTGCAGGGGAAGGTGGGTGTTGTTACTGGAGGTGCAAGAGGGTTGGGCTTGGTGATGGGGCGTGAGTGATCGCTTTGAAATCTAAAAGCCTAAAAAAGAGTGCTAACAATTCTTAGAGGGCATGGTCACCAGCGGTTCGGACCTTGCCATTGTTGATCTTAACAGTATGTCCCAGCCTCCCAGCCCTCTCTAATTTCGTCACTAACACCCCGCAGAGGAGGAGGCCACCCGCCAGGCGCAGAGCATCATCGAGACCTTCCGGGCAGACCACCCCGACAAGAAGTCCGTTTCTCCTTTGCTCCCCAAACAGCCCTTAATAAAGCCTCAAACTAACCTGTGTCTGGCCAGACCTCCCAAGGTGACAGCCCACTACGCCGATGTCTCAGACCCCGCCAGCGTCGAGGCCTGCATCGCCGAGATCGTCGCCGAGCACGGCAGGATCGACAACCTGGTGACTTCGGCCGGCTTCACAGAGAACTTTGAGGCTGTCGCCTACCCGATCGAGCGCATGCGCAAGTTGTGGGGCGTCAATGTCGACGGCACTTACCTGTTTTGCTACGTCCCGTGGCGAGACATCTGGTACGTTTGGCTCTCCTGGGTTGGGGGTTTTCGCGAGGAACCCTGAGGGGCGAGAGGATCAGAAAACATGGCGCCATCTACTTAACGGCATGAACCCCCAGGATGGGGGCGCCACCGCCAAGGGCAAGCATGGGTCTTACTCGGGCCACATTGAGCGGCGCTATCGTGAACGTCCTCCAACCGCAAGCGTACGTCACATCTCACCTCTCATATCTCACTTTACCACACCACAGAGACTGAGAAGTTTAAGCTGACACAGCCCCGCGATAACCACAGTCCCTACAACGCCGCCAAGGCCGCCGTCCGCCACCTGTGCGCCTCGCTCAGCGTTGAGTGGGCCGGCGCCGGCATCCGCGTGAACTGCATCTCGCCGGGCTACATGCTCACAGCCCTGTAAGCCACAAACCACCCCTCTCATACACACCCATCCAACAGCCTCCATGCACACGCACACATGCATACACAAGAGACAACCTCGAAACCGGCCAGCTGGACAATGACCAACTAACCATCTCCTCTTTTCCACAGCACGCAAAAGATCCTCGACGACAAGCCGGACCTCAAGCGGCAGTGGACGTCGCTGATCCCGCAGGGCCGCATGGGCGCGCCCGAGGACCTGATGGGCCCCGTCACATTCTTGCTGTCGGACGCGTCGAGCTATGTCACGGGGGCGGATCTCCGTGTGGACGGCGGGTATACCGTCACATAAAACACAACGGTTTTCCGTATGGCGGGGATGGGAAATGGGAGACGAACCGGGGACCAGTCGGCCAGTCCCCGGATGTGATACATAGATGGCATCGGTGTAATAATACGCCTGATTTAATTGGGAAATGGCTGCAGTTTGAGAAGTACCTAGGGAAATCGGCTTTCCCTAGTCAAATGCATATATCTGTTCAGTAATCAAGCCCATCTGGTTGCTTTTGGGAGAATCATGAAAATCTAATACCCAATGATCTAGTCCCTGAGCTAAGTACTCGCCCGCCATAAAACCACCCCCCTTCCAAGCCTTTGCGTCGTGTAACGGCGGGGAAAAGGTTAAACTCAATTAGAAAAAGGGTACCGCTTCCGCATCCCTGGCGGCGGGAGGGAGAGGAGATGGGTGACCATCTCATTTCCGCCCTGCCCTTTCCGGCTACTACCACCACCATCACTTGTCGGTGTGTCACCTATCACATCTCACATTTACGTTTCACATCTCAGATGCCAGATCACACCTATGTACGTTGTATGCACTCCCTCTTCCGAGCCCTGTCGGTACCATTCCATTCCCAGCCCTCCACCCACACACTACATAATCACATACCACACCTGCCCATGCAATGCAGCATAGCACAGCACAGCACATCTCAGCTTAGCTTCTCAGCTCAGCTGCTGGCACGCATCAGGGCAAGCCACATCGGATACCAGATCCGGGACGGGGATTCGCTGCTTTCCCGCGATTCCAGGCCCGCCCCGCTCCCCGTCCTTTTTTAGATCCGGAATTCCCACTGGCTGACCACGGTGAGCGCCGACCTACCTCTTTTTGTGAGACACGCATTATTGCGGTCGTACCTCAGCTGGCCGGGCTGGGAAGTCACTACCAGTTTAGTCACGGGCGGTGAAGCCCCCGGAAACACGGCTGCTCCCTGTTCTCTTACTTCCCACCGCTCGTTATTCTGTCAGGACTTTTTTTAAGGGCCGAGTTGCTTTCGTCGCTAGCCGTTGCCCGGATATAATATCCAGAGTAAGCGAGTCTGCGCGCGGATGCCCGCCATGTCCCGCCCAGGTACAGTACCCTAGGGATGGTGCGTAATGGAACAGCATGCCTTGTGGGCGCGGCGGTATGGGGCTACCACGCAGGTGTCCGTCCCGCACTGTCGGGGCACTCCGGGGACGGAATTACACGCACCGCCTTAACCCTCGGGACGCAACGCGGGGTGGTTCCTGTAGGCTTCCATCGGTGTTCTTTTCCGATCAGATGATGCAGGGGTGGGGGCTCGGTGGAACGTCGATATAAACCGCAGCTGAGTGGTTTCGTCGTTTAGTACGTCTTGTACGCACAGATGTACAACGATCAAGGAAATTACAAGGGATGGACAAATCAGACGACCACTGATCTGGATCCCCTAAAAAGCATTGGATATCTTCCGCCGCCGTCCCGCTCAGGCTCCCCGCACGGAACGCGGAGAGTGGAATTGGTCCCGCCCAATGTTAATTGCGAGGCTGAGGGGATCCCCGTGGAAGAACTGTCGTCATTGGTGTATCTTTCTGGGCTGTCGTCTGGGGAAAGTCCTTGGTTCTTGGGGTTTTTCCATTCCATTGTGCGGGGCCCCAGGTCGGACCCTGAATTTGCGTCTCGGCGACGGAACATTGGTAATCTGAACGAATATGGGTAAGTTGCCGAAGGACGAACTCGTCACCGAGGGAATTCCGCCATTGTCGTGCAGAGAGCTCTTCCTCACGAACCAATATTCTGACGAGATTGGAACTGGGCGTTGACCGGTCTCGAATCCTCCCTTCACCGCTAAGAAGGCCCGTTCCGATCCGTTGGCCGGCAATGCCAGCCAGGGTTGTTTGTTGTCCAGTGACAAGCAACATCCATTGTGCACATCTTATTTGGCTGGGCAATGGGCAGCCCAGGCTAGCCCTGAAATCGACCTTGCAGCCGAACCTCATGTGCGAGAATAGCTTGAACGTGGGGGTCTGGTCTGCTTGTTACAGCCGAGCCTCCCTGGTGTTTGGTGGGAAATGGACAATAGGTCTTTCCGGAGGCTTGGCATTGACAATGCGAGACGTGGCCACATTCTTGCGCGCGCGGTTGAAAGCAGCTAGTTTAACTCGGGATTTGAAGCAGATGGTGCGCAGATTTCGAACAAGCTGAGGTGAGTCGCACAGGCGCGGTCGAGGCCGAAAGAAAACGGACGGGGCGGGCGGGATGTATGAGGCTTGGCCCCGGTGTCACCCTAAATCCACGTGCCTCACCATCCCTTGTCAGGTGATGGCCACCATTGTATCGCCTTGCGGAGATAGAGCAGGTCCCGTGGTGGTCTCACTGAGGGGAAGTGAGCCGTGGGAAGAGGCGAGAAAGATCACGTTCCTTGCCCTTTTCAGATCCCACAAAAACTGTGGCTGCCCGGGCGATGAATGAGTGGCAGGTGGTTCTTTCCTTGTCGGTCCCTGGCATTGCAGTGGTTTTTTCGCTCCTTCCGTCTCGCCCGAGTTCCTGGGGCTGCACAGACTTCGATATTCATAATAAGCACCTGCCTGATTCCGCAACGGCTACTGGGAAAGGCTGAGAACAAGAAGGCACGGTATCCGGAGGCCGAGTCGGGAGAATGGAGAATGGAGGAAGTTGATGGGCATTTTATCACAATATCCTGGCCCGCCGCGTGACAAGCATCTGAGACACCCCACAGAGACCACCGCCCAGGATCCCCCCAACAACGCTGGGTTCCTCTTTCCAAGAGCTTTTGCAACCCCCCCCCTTCCCCTGGTCCCTGTAGGCATCGCCGGTCAGCAGGGGAAGAGGAAGGTACGTTGCCTTGTGGGTTTTGACAAATTGCGCCGGGCTAAACCTGACCCGGGACTGTCTCTCCCTTCACGCCTTCCTGGCGACGGGCCATACTGCACTGGACGGCCAGCCATTCTTTTTTTTTATTTTCTCCCGCAGCTTTTCTTTACCCAAGGGAGGGCTGAATCACTCGTTTTATAGACCTGTCCAGGGGGGGTTGTGTTTCTTTTTGCCAGGCCCCTGTGCCTCTCTCAACACCAACAATAAAACTTGTGAACCCGGCCCAGTCCCGGTTCTCCTCGGTACCAGGTTTCCTCGCAAAACTCGAGTCTGCCGGACACAACTCCTTTGACGGCGGTGGTCAACCGGGAACGTTATTTTCGTCATACCAGACCCGGCATCGTGGATCGGATCTGGGGCCGACTGCTTAGGGTTAGAAGGACAGCGGTGAGAGACGGTTCTCCACTCGTCCCAGCCGCACAGCCTGGGTTCTTGCAACTGAGTGTAAGTGTTTGGTGGTCCCTCCCCCCCTTTTCCCGCCCTTGTTATTAGCCACGCGACACAGAGGGTGCCCGTCCAAGGCGAATGGTGTGTGCCGTTGTCACAGCGCAGGAAAGAAGCAAATCACAAGTGGCGTGGCCGATAGGAGCTTCATGGGCTTGCAACCTTCTGTCTAAGTCGTCCTTCTGGGATCCCGGCTTCTCCTCTTCCCAAGGGGGCCTCCTCCATGACACAACGAAATCTCTCAGCCGTCAACTCGAGTGCCCCTGCCACTCTGCCGAAACGTCTACTTCAGTGACGTGGTCTGGCCTGCCGGGCTCTCCCTCACCCTCCACCCCACCCCTCCCGCAGAATTGAAGGCCCCATGCCCTACCTCACACACATCGAATCTGTCCCGTTCCATTGGTGGGGCATCCCGCCAACCAGTGTTGCTCTTGGTTGAAAAGTCTCTAATGCCAGCAAGGTTCAGTGCTACACCAAGCTACATCCGCCTTTTCAGGCCCTTTTGAGGGGTTCTCAGTAGGCTAAGGCCTCGCCCTGTGTCCGCTTTGCGGTCAGGTCGGGAGACGGATCTGGCCGAACTATCAAGCAACCCGTGCAAGCTATGGTCTCTCGAAATCCACCAAGCGCCAAACCTCTGCTAGCCCGTCACGAGCCACCAGCCCAGGGCTGACGAACATCGTAAGGATGGACGCGATGATGCCCATGGGGTTCTTTGAGAACACCCGGGAGATATACGCTGAAGTAGCAAGCTATCCTGTGGTCCCCCCTGAGAAGATCAAGCAGTACTGGAACGGTATTTGGAATAGCTCGCTGGATAAAAACTTGCCCAGACTAACCAGCGCTCAGCCTATACCACCACCTTCCGAAGGCTTTTCGACCCGAGTGCGTTTCGTCTGGAGAACTTCTGGTGGCACGTCTGGGGAAGCGACAGGCTACGGAACCTCAGCGGGCAAGAACTTGCAAGGCTCTTTGAGGAAATCTCAAGCGGGCCGACGTTCGTGCCGCTCCCTTCACCCGCCGACCAGTTCAAGCGCTCCAGGGTAGGCCGCTCCCGCTGCGTCTAGGGGCAGGTTGATACTGATTCCATCTTCAGAAGCCTGATTCAAATCAACGTGCCGCCAATAACCAAAGCAAAGACCCGGCGCGTCCACAAGAGACTTCAGACCAAGGATATTCCCTCTCCAGCGGTAAAAGGGGGTTGACGCCTTCGTCCTCAAGACCACCACCACCCCACCCTATCTTGAAGAAGTCTAGGGGGCCCTCTTCATCAGGCCCTCGGCCCACTGCGCGCTTTGCATCGCCGCCGACCTTTAGCGAAGAGGCTATCCATGACAGCGAGGCTACACCAACTAACACGGCGACAGTAGCTGCCACAGAGATGCCCCCTCCCCCACTACCTATAACGGTGAAGAAAAGGCAGGGCACTGCCACTACAAATCAGTTGCCAACACCGAATGTCCCCAGACCGACACGAGCGAAAGAGGCCACTGAGTCCCCAACATCAGCCGCGCCCGTGGTGGAGATGCCACCCCCTCCACCAGTACCATCAACCACAACCAAAATTGCGATCAACACTGGCAGAAAGGTTGTGGCGGCCACTGCAGCATCGAGGAGAAAACCCGTAATGGTCCGCAGACAAAGTTCGCAATCATCAACGGGATCGGATTCTGGTCAGCGTGTAGTAGGATTTGTTGCCGCTTCAAAACGATCTGGGTCGAAACGGCCAACGCCGACCGCTTCACAGTTACTCGGACACAGCTCATCATCTTCCCAAATGAGTGATCACGGCCTAAGTGCTAAAGCTGCTGGGAAGCGTAAAGCGAAACCGACAGTCGCCAAACGATCTACTACTCAAGGTGTCCCTAATCAGGCCAACGGCCAGCCTGAAGAGGCCGTGGGGGGGCAGCACTCGCGACCCGGTAGTCCACAACGAAGGTCGACATGGGATGTCCGGGACAGTGTGGTATACCATGAGGCTGCCGAAGGGCAGCAGGAAACCGCTCAGCATCCCCCTGCGGCCCCCTCGAAGGCCGTCCCCCCCCCGGTTGCGGGATTTGTGATGGACCAGACATTTGGACAAGGGGCGCCCCCGATGGTGCGGTCTCGCTCTAACAACTCAGATCGTCCGCAGCGGCTCCGCGAACCTGGCGTAGCGCTCCTCCCGTCACAAGCCACTAGCAGTGTTGCCATGGCCAGCACAATAGCTCGCGGCCAGTTTGACTCAGAAACAGTGACATCGGAGCCCGTGGTTCCCGAGGCGAGGGACATCCCCGACCGCGTCTTGTTTGGCTCTCAACCATCATCTTCTCTCCTCGATCAACAACTCAAGCCAACGCCTCCAAACCCTGCTCCACCAATTCCCTTTGGACGATCAAAAAGTGAACTCACTTTGCTCTTGGCGCGTGACCGCAAGCCGAAGAAAGGCGAGGATGCTTAAATCGACAGCTCATTTCCCAAACGTGGTTCGTGGCATTATGGTTCATGGCGCGATATCGGAAAAAACAGGCATTTCTCTCCATGGAGATTGCCTCACTCGGCGACACTTGGGGCACGGAGCATTCTAGTGCGTAACGCAGCGTCTTGTGTTCGTCCACTTGCATACATTGGGGAGTCAGGGGGGCATACGAATAGCTGGGGGTTATATCTTTGAACGCATACATAGGCAATATCTGATGGCAACCTCTATAGGAGAGATAAAACTGTTCTAGCGGCAATGTTTAACTTTATTACGCCGACCCATCACAAGAGATACCGCCACTCAACTGTAAGACTCTCTCTAACCCCAGCCCTAATGGGTAAATCCTGCCTTACCTTGCAAAATAGCCACATGCGTTTTCTGAGAGTTACTGTTTCTAAGAGGATGCTCATGCGCTCCCATCACCCTGGAACGTGTGACGAGCGGAATTGCGTCATACGCGGCGTATAACTCACCACTCTACAGCCATACGGAGATGACCGCCCAAAACAGAGCAGACCACGATTGTATGTGCATGTGCACGCATCTACCTATAAACCCCCACGCCTATCTTTCCAGCCATCTATCAAAGGGGTTATGTAAGTGTAACAACCACGCCGGCTTCTTTTGTGAATCAAGCTCGTGTCTGAGAACTGAAAGCACATGAAATGTACAAGGTTCGCATGGGATGATACATGTACATTCATTCATCCACAATATTGACACTGAGTCCTAAAATTGCTGGCGTCGCTTCGTTCGTCAGTCGCGCGGCCCTTCGCTACGCTACGGGGCGCTTCCTTCCTCTCTCCCGCTCCGGGCAATTTTCCTGTCCCTCTCCGGAGGACAATCGGGGTTAGGGTTGATTACGGGAGAGACGAAGCGCCAATATCTGTCCGTCGGCCAACAACTCCATTCACTCGAGCTTCTTATCCCACCTATACCAATCATTTCTATTATCGTTCCAAGCGCTGGTGCATCTACACTCTCGTCGTCGCTACTTATATACCTATTGACTCCTCTGAGCCTCTGAGGGATCCTTCCCCGCCACAGCATCTAACGCCTGCCGTTGCCTGATAGCGTGATTGGACAATTTCAACCCCATAGCTCGTGATGGTGTCTCGCGATAGATCCTGTTGCGGTCGAAGGGCTTCTCAAACATTAGCCCACCCAGTGTCTTCACCCGGGAAACGGCCACGTAGGAGAGACCAGAAGCGAACTCCGGCGCAGAGATATCGCAGACAACCTTGTCGAGAGTGATGCCCTGTGACTTGTGGACGGTGATCGCATAGCTGACCAACAGCGGGAACTGCTCTCTTGAACATGAGTTGGCGCCGACCATGAAGTCCTGCCGCACTCGGAGGATGGGAACAACCAGCTTCTCTCCACTGCGGAGCGGCTCTTCGTTCGGCATCGTGAAGGCGGGGCCGTCGTAGTCGTCGAAGGCCACCATGATGACCTCGGGCGGGTCTCGCAGCACGTCAGCACCTTCTTTCCAGGATATGTCGTAGACTGTGCCTTGCGCACCGTTGACGAGCCCGACGTCCGCCCACAAGTTCCGCGTTAGCATCACCCTGCAATCAACACACAAAGGGCAAGCGCTTGGCCAAGTTGCCGGCATTTGAGGATTCAACCTTCTCCGCACCAACACCCTCGTGCTTTGCCTCGACCTGAATGGCGGGGCTGTCCAGGCCAAGCATGTGTTGGTGGCTGTACTCGACGACCTGGGTCTTGGTGGGATAGATGCGAAGCGCATCAGCAAAGCTGTCAACCTCCTCGGGAGAGAGCTTGACAGAACACCTCGAAGCGAGGAGCTCCCAGGAGGGTACTGACACATCAGCTTTCCGCAGTTCTTCCAAGGCCCGCCGAAACGGGGCCTGGTCTTCGCCCTGCTGCCGCTGTATTGTGGTCAGAAACACCGACTTGTCGAATGAGAGGTACGCATTACGCCCGACAATCTCGATGTCCTTTAGGTCGTCGCGCGCATCGTTGCATCTCCTCTGCGGCAAGCGCTTCGTCGAACTCCCTCTTGATCGCAATGTCTTCGGCCAACAGCGGCGTCTCCTGGTCGTCGTCTGTGAACCGCGGACCGGGTCCGTTAAATTCGCGCGGAAGGTTTCCTTCGGGGAGGTTGTGCGTGCGTGGGCGGCCGACGGGATTGCGTGCTAGTCGAGGACGTCCGCGAGGGCGTCCGCGAGACGGAGCCGCGGGTTCGTCGAATTCGCGCGGAGGGTTGTCTTCGGAGAAGTTTTGCGTGCGTGGGCGGCCGACGGGATTGCGTGCTAGCCGAGGACGTCCGCGAGGGCGTCCGCGAGACCGAGCCGAAGACGTAGACGGAGAACGGCGTTTGGGAGGGCGTCCACGGCGTGGCAGTGTGCGTCGCAAGTCATCCGCGTTACCACCCAAATCGTCTCCCTCAGCGGCTTGCACGGGTAGCAAATCGCATCGGCTGGTCGTAGGCGCCTCGTCCTCAGCATTGAGCTGCTGTTCTCGTCCAATCAAGCTGCTTAACGACGGGGTTTGCGAAGGCTGCACGCCATGGCGTCGTTCCACGCCGTGGCGTCGCTGGATTGTCAATCGTTGATCCCGAGCGGCTGCCGTTTCCGGGGTATCCGTAGAAACACGGCCCCTTTCGTGATACATTTCAGCAAGGACGCCGTGCGTAAGGTTCCGTCGAGGCCCAGGTGCAAGCGCCGGTGCGAAAGCAAGGGAAGAATCATCTCCGCGGGCGATTGCGCGAGAAATCTCAATGCTCGCTCGCGACGCTTCAACCTGCGATAGGTTAGCTGAGGAAAACAAGATCGTAACCAGAATTATCACATGAAGCTTGCTCTTGTGCCGGCAACTTAGACAGTTGACGACAATCCTTCCGTTCCTGCGGGCATGGAGAAACTGATCAATGTTTTGCTCGGTATTGCATCTGCTACATGTCTTTCGTGCCACAGCTGCCTCTGCAGCCGCCTCGACGGTTCCGGCCAGAACGCCTATCACGTCTTCCATAGAACGACTGGAATTGAAAAGCGGCAGATGTGCAAACGGCGGGAGTCGCGATGGTCGCGATGGTCGAGCGGATTGCGAGGGCATGGATGGATGGATTGAATAAACAGGAGCTTCCAGCTGGAGCATGCTTACGTACCAATCGAAACTCGCAATAACGAGCATTTCCATATCAATTTCGCGTAGTAATTTCCTTATCAATTTTGCATAATAATTTCCTTATCAATTTCGTATAGTAATTTCCAAAGGTTTGAACGCAATATTGTCCTCCGGAGAGGATAAACTGCCCCAAAATAGTCATCCCCGCGTCTAGAATACAAGACGACGTTCTCCGCTCGGCTAGTGACAAAAGAAATCCAAAAAATGTGCCTCTCCAACATTGGGTATATACGCGCGCCCTCTAAAAAGGTAAATAAAACGATTGCCCCATTTCGTGTTCCAAAAGCAACCAACCACCACCGACGGAACTCGGATCACCTTCCCTGTCCAATGTTTTTGTCCCGATTCTTTACCATGCCAGCTCATCGGGCCACCCTCCATCATTATCCATCCTTCCACCTATCGTTAGCCATATATTCACTCATACCCGCCTCAATTACTTAGGCAAATGACGAGGATATATAAACCCCTCATTCATTCAACCCGAACATCTTCCTCAACGTCCCAAACCTCTTCCGCCTCGTCGTCGACGACGCCCCCGCCAGGCTCCCTTCCGCCACGGAGCCCCCATCAACACTACCCACATCCCCCCCAACCCCGCCACCACTACCGCCAGCTGCAGTAGAAGGCATGCCATTCACAGCCGACATCCGCCGGTGCAAGAACCCACCGCCACCATCGCCGCTGCTACTCCTACGGCCGAGCGTGCGAGTGCCGAGGTTCCCCGATGCCGTCGTGCGCCTGGTCAGCGTCGCCGCTGGGTTGAAGTGGCCATCGCCATCCTCTTCGGCGACGCTCATGAGCATGTTGTTGATGTCGGGCGCGGCGGCGGTGAGGGTTGTGGTCAAAGCAGCAGTAGTAGTAGTAGTGGTAAGAGGAAAGGTGGGAGACGAAGAAGCGCGATGATGGCTGTTATTACTGCCACGTTTCTGCAACCGTGGACTCCTCCCGGGCGACTGCGGCGACTGCGGCGATGGCAGCGCCTCCTCCCCCTCCTCATCCTCTTCATTCGGCTCCCCCGCGCCTCCCCTGCGGCTGCGAATACGCTCGAGCTGGCCCACGGAGCGCTCTAGGCGGGTATCGCGGCGCGCGGCGCTCTCGCTGACCTCGGCACGACCGATCTTGCCGACGGCTCCGCCGCCGCCGCCGCCGCTGCTGTTTTTCTTGCGGTGGCGCAGAACCGATAGGATGCTGTGGCGTCTTGAGGGGCGGCCTTCGGTGACAGTTGTGATGTTGTCGACGGTGGTGGCGGGTTGAAAACGGGAGAGGGAGGGCGCCGTTTGCGAGGGGGGCAGTTGGCCTTTTCCTGAGCGGGTGCGGCGGAGGGTTGAGTTGATGGGGGAGGGGTTGGGTTGGGTTTGTGGCGTCGGTCCGTGATGGTTGGGGTGGTCTTGGGAGGCTTCGCTTTCTTCGAGTTCTTCGGGCAGGGCCGTGCTCGCGACCGAGCTCGCTTTCGTTAGGGAGTGCGCCGGCAAGCCGGTACTTGCGGACGGTGCGGAGGCGGATTTGGGGAGGGAGGCTGGGATCGGCATGACGGGCTCGTCGTCGCTCGAGTCTTCGAATCGGCTTTGGAAACCGGATTCGACTTCCTTGTCCTTTTCTTCGTCGCTCGAGTCAGCGAGTCGGCTCGAGAACCGGGAGCCGCGCGCCTTGTTTGATGAAATATTGGAGCCGCTCTTCTTCCCCCCGCCATACGAGAGGCCGAAGCTCGGCATCCGGATTCCGGTGGGTGCCTTTTTTCCAGCGGATGAGTCGCGTAGTGTTGTGCGCATCTGAGCACGCGAAGGTGAGACAGAACCCGCGGGAGAAAGCGTTCTCAGCGAGAATCTTTTGGAGGAATGATTCTCGTTTCGGGTTCGCGGGGGAGATGCCGATCTCATCGAATGGCGGAAGCTGAGGCCTTGGGCTTTCGTAGGCCGGGCCCGTTTGAAGCTGCTCTCGCTGCCCGTTGAACCGCGTCTCCTTGGGGTAGGCCGGGCGCGCTCTTCCACCTGCGTTGCTGACCTGTGGGGTCCGGTTTTGGTAGGGGTAATGGCCACTGCGGTTGACTCCGGCCGCTGGGATGCCGATCGGGTTTCCGCTGCACGGGGAACATGGCCATTGCTCGGCCCCGAACCGTTTGCCCGCATTGACTTCCTCAGCCGAGACCCAGCGATAGGGGCAACCGGGGCTGGCTGTTGCGGTTCGCTGCGCATAGTCTTTCGCATGGGCGATATGGCTAGCTCTTCTTCCCCAGTCCACTTCTCTCCCGGCTTAATCATGTAGCTGCGGTCTGGATGCATTACCCTGTCCTGTACCTGTGGTGCGGCCGTCTGCTGCGGCATGTGGTCGGCCAACGTTTTCCGTTCGGAATTCCTCCGTTCAACGGTCTTCTTCTTCTTGGGTTTAATCTCGGGATGCGCTTCGTCCTTGTCCCCTTCAATGCCCGCCTCCTCCCTGGTCTCTTTCTCGAGTTGGGCTCGCTTCTCCGCCGTGAGGCTCCTCCAGTAAGCTTTCGCCTGCTCCCAGTCGTCCCGAGTGAGCTCGACTGGTTGTGGTTCGACGGCGGTTGTGGCGGACGATATCTCTGTTTGGGATCTCGGGGTTTCTTCACTGGTTGTCTGGCCCATAAGTTCTCGAAAAGGCGTTTCGGATTGGGTAGCTGGACGGGGGCTTTGCTGTACCGGGCTTTCTACGACGGCGTTAAGTGACTGGAAACCATCACCTTCAAACTCTGAGAGATCTTCGTAGGCATCGCTGTAAATATCGCTATCGGAATTGCTCGAGCTTTCTGTGGCAGTGGGCTGGGCGGCTGGCTGGTGAGGAAGGTCATTGTCCGAGGTGCCCTTGGTAACCTCGACCGGTTTGGCGATTGTTGTCGCCTGTTCGAGCCTTTCGGCCTCCGGCGCGGTAGACTGGTCTGACTCGTCATCTGGAAATGCGCCAGGGACATCGGTGAAATATTGTCCAGACGCCTTGCCCTCTGCAACAATGGGTGTCGGCTGTGAAACGGATATCTCTGGAATGTGCGGCTCCGAAGCCGTGCTATGCTCGACAGCGACTTCGGGGGAAACGGTCTCAGTGCGTGGGCTTGTAACCGAGCTATCGACAGGCTCTTTGGGCAGCGCCGCTTGTGGCTCTACGACCGGCCTTGGGCGTGGTTCCACAACTGGTGCTGGCGATGGCGGCTGGGTCGGCTCGAACTCGGAACTGAGCATGGAGCTGCTATCGGAACCGTCACTGAAGTAGCCGGAGCCTTCGACAGTGGTGACAATTGGGGGCAACGGTTCCCTCTGTTCCGATGCATCTTCCGAACTCACGGCTATTTCTTTTAAGCGGTCATGCTCGTTCAACAGAACTGCGCCAACGGTGTGGTCGTTACTTGAGCCTAGTGGAGGGCTAGGCAACAATGACGATGGCGAGACCTGTTTTGTCTCTCCTCGAGGCCGAACAAGTGGCCGCTCAAGCTCGCTTGGGCTGTTCTCCCGCGGTTTCCTATCTCTAACGCTACCAAAACTTGGCAGGGCTGGCCGTGGTTTCATTACCGCATCCTCATCGAACGACGACACTTCTCGGCTGCGACCAAGGCTAGGCAGCCAACTGTGGCGGTTCGTGTGTAGCGGGCTGGCGGCCGACGGGGAGTCATTTTGTTTGGTAGAGGCCGGCTCTTCCACCACCCCATCACCGTTGTCCTCGAAACTGACGCGCACAGACTTCTTGCGTGCTACGGGGGCCTCCTGGGTGGCACTCCCGGAAGCTTCCGATGTGTCGCCGGAGGGCGATGCACTGCAGGGTGGACTGGTCCGCTTCATGGCTGACTTCCGCGGCGAGATGGACCGAGGCGGCGGGGAGTGTTTGACCGTTAAACTATCTAGAATAGGGCCAAAATGAGCTTGCCGAGCAGGGCTGCTCGAATGGGTTCGCTCCCGCGAGATATGCGCAGCTCTCCCATGCTCCGCGGCGCTCGGATTTAGTTTCCAGTATTCTGATATATCGATTGGGTCCATTTCAGGCCTCTGATCGACGGTAGCCGGTGTAGGATCCTTCGAGGAAGGGTTTGATGGGAGGGTTATGTTCTGTGGTGGCGTTGCGGGTGTGCGAGTATCAGGGGATACACCGGGCTGCAATTTCCGTCGCGCCACTGCCGGGTCTACAGCATCATCTGAGACGGCGGCTTGGGTCTTTTTCTCGTCCTGAGCATCCTCCGGCTCTGGCCCTTCTCGAATCACAGAGGGTTGTCTTCTCACCTTAAACTGCGCCGCGTCAGATGCAGTAGAGGTCGGGGTGCGATCTGTCAGGTGGTTGGTCCGGGGGAGATCCACGGTTGCTTGGGCGCTGTGTTGCCCGATTTCTTTTGCTTCTTTTCCCAGCGAAGCCATGATTGCCTTGGCCCCAGGTTCTTCCACATCCAGTCGAGTCTCATGGGGCGGCGCTGGCGACATCAGGACTACTGGCTGAACAGGGTGTGATTGACTTGGAACCGGGTTTGGTGGTTGAGTCTTAGCCAGCGGATCTGTATTTAGGGCTTCACTCCTGGGGCGACCCATTGTACCCGCAGCCAGATGCGACCCAGCTCTTTGTGGAGTTCTCTTCTTTCTCTTGGGCCCTGCTAGTGGTTGCGAGGCGTCGAGGACTGCTTGTTGAACTTGCTGGATCGATCGTAAATCCGCTTGTCGCACCATCCGTCTGGAATTCGGGTCATACACCAAGGCTTGGTCGGATGAACTGGAGGCGGATTGTCTTCTCGCGGGTGGTACCGCAACTTGCCCCCTCGGGTACTGCTTTGCGCGTGTTGTGGGATGATGGTCCGCAGTTGATGGTCGCGTCTGGCTTGTTTTGGTTGATGTTTGAGGCGCTGAGGAGGAATCGATGGGCGGAAGGGCACTTGCGGCGGAGCTGCACCTCGCCCGCGTCGGGTAAGAGAAGTTAATGGACGAAGCCTGGCTACCTGGCCTTGCTCCGTCCGGCGGATCCTCCTGTCCTGCTACTGACTGCAGCGGACTTGACGGGGGGCTAGCCATTGCCGGATCCGTTCTCCGGACGCTTCCCAGATCTCCCAATTTCGCGGCGCCGAACCAGGTTGGTGTCTCACCCGAAGCGAGTTTCTGCGACGCGAGGCGCACAGGGCTGCCTACCAAACTTAGGCTGTTGGTTTTCCGATGCTGAACGTCTTGTTGGGCGCCTCGGCCGGTCTGTCGAGAGGTCGCATCCAGATTCTGAGGCAATGCAGGAACAGGCGGCAAATCTTTCGTTGGCAAATTGGTTTTCGTTGTTGGCTAGAGATGCCAGTCTTCGGTCGATTTGGGCTTGGGGTTCGAAAGGTCCGCTCGGTCATCGACCCATTACTCCCGCGCCTCCGCAACCCCGACTGGTCGCGAGCCTGTTCTGATGCCGTACCTGTTGAGGCGACAGACGCGCTCCGGCGCACTGTCCGTTTTGTCTGCACGTCGGCTACCCGGGTCGGCGTCGTTGGTCGTGCGCGGAGGGCGGCGGCGGCGGCGGCAGCCGGGAGGGAAGGATTCGACTCATGGCGTTTGAAGACTGCTGCGGCAGCGGTCGCAGCATTGGGATTCGCGGTTGCTGCTGTCAGGGGCTGTCCAAAACGTGGCATCGCAAGTTAGTACCTGTAATTAACTATCCTGTTTCGCGACAGCATGGTGACGGGAAATGAGGGCCTAGACAACAGCAATAAAAAAAATCCGAGTCCCCAATTCCACTCTGAACCCAGCTGATGGGCACAACGTCCTACGATACGGTAGGAAGCGACTTCAAAGGAACGCGCAAAGGTGCAAGCAATAATGACGACATACCGGATTCGGTGGACGGTGCCTTCGGGAGCCAAACATCCTTGCAGATATCTCGGCCGGCCCGGGCGTAAAGTGGCTACCTCGAAAGGGCCCTCATAGGCATGGGAATGAAAACTAGGGGTGGCTTTTCTTCCTCAGTAACAATAAATAGTCAGCCGACGCGAGATGTCGTTTGTGAGATGGAATTTCTCCAGAGAGAGTGTTGGGCGAAGGATCCGGGGACACTCGACACGGCACAGCCAAGCTCTCCCGGTTCTTTTATTTATGAACCAGGGGCCTAATCCATTGTAACTTAGTTACGGTAACTGAGTGACAGAGCGACTTTTTCAACTGTATAATTAGCGCACTTGGCACTTGGCGATTTCAATGTATCTGTGGAACCTCGAAAATAGGGGCTGTATGTCACCGAACGTGTTGTTAACCGTCGAAACCGCGTTCGCAACGGCCCACAGCCACTTCCAGAAAAGGAGGATGGGCGTATGGATACAAGCACTCGACGCGTGCCATCGCATGACGAACCCGCGCGCCCTCGCAAGAAGGCTAAGAGGCCTACAGTAGCCCAGCTCAACGCTCAACACAAACGCAAATAGAGAGACTACAAGAGCAACTGGCTGGGATGACCCAGGCGTTAACAACCCTCTCGCAGGCGCAGGAGGCCCAGCGGTTACCATCGTTGTCCCAGATGCCCGCGCCAACGCCGTATGCAAGCCCGCAACAGCTTCCTATGCAGGGCCAGTACGGTTATCCGGGGGGGGAGGGCGCGCGCGCAACCACCAAGCCAACCCCCCCTATTACGTGGCGCCGCCAACTAAAGTATCAACGGCTTCAATTCGATGCCACCACAGGGCGCGCAAGCGCCGGCGCAGGTACAGGGCTGGCCTACAGGGCAGGGCTGGCCTACAGGGCAGGGCTGGCATACAGGGCAGGGCTGGCATACAGGGAAGGGGAGGTAGGCGGTCTCGGCTGGCAGTAAACCAACTTTATTTCAGTTTGTTGAATCTGAATTTTATTGCGTTTCCGAGCGTTTCAGCGAGAGCTAATTTGATTCGCACCGCGTTGCAATTGAACGAAGTTTGCAAGATGGATTGATTGACTATTGAATATAATAGGGGCCAGGCCGGCTCAGGTGCGTTGCTGCAAATTTTGGTGCGCTTTGCCTAGTCCGGCCTAGTCAGTCCGTTCGATTAGTGAAGTGGTCAGTACGATTAGTAGCCCCGTATCACTCAGTTACCGTAACTAAGTTACAATGGATCAGGCCCTTAGTTCGTCCGGTATGCCTCTTCCAACTAGCCGCGTTTTCGCGACTTGCCTTGATAAAGAAATAGGCATGTATTCACTATTTCCGGACTGTATGTCCATAGCATTTCATATCAGCACCATCTATTTACTTTTGTCCCAACTCTGAGCCAAGCTTGAGGCCGTTTGTACTCCCATGTTAGTTCCATCAACACGTTGTGTCATCGGGATGTGGCAGCTAAAGATGACGCAACGGCCTCACGCTATCGGGTCTCTCCGTTTGTCTGGGTCCAGAACATCAGCTCCACTCTAACGCAGTTCGTCCACGAACCACGCAGCAACTCGCACGCTAATTTTAAACAAAACTGCAGTTGTCTGCAAAGTTGGACGTGGGGCGCTGTAATTGTTCATGACATTCGCTCTTAATATCCACCAGCTAGAACGGTAAAAATGCTCTTGCCGGGGAACTTGACAGAGGCCCATGGCCTCAGTTGACTAACGACTCTAGGTATTTCGTTTTTTTGAGGGGAGTTGTGTATGGGGTGGGGTAACCAACGCCGAGAGAACGACCCTCTCAAACGGTATGCTGGATCTTGACAATCGTGAGGCCGGAAAACAGCCAGTATCTAGGGTTATGCCTCCCTGGTCCTGGCGCAACGTTGTTTCCACCAGCCCAAGCCAGGCTCCCGGGATCTGTCCCCTCAATTTGCCATCTCACTTGAGCTGGCTTCACCGTAGATAATCTTACTAGAAGGTCTGCCCATCAACGAGACCTTTTCAGCGCATCCTCCTCCTGCTCATGGCCCTGCGCGGTCGTGCCCGAGCTAACGCGCTGTTGCTGAAACGCACAGCACACAGCACCCCAAAACAGAAACGGATGTCGTCTGGACAAGCCTCATCTATGTCCCCCCTCCATCGTGGACCGCGAAACTATCACCTAGATGAGCTGGAACATCGGCATGCCGTCCGAGGCTTCCTGGGCTAGGTTCAATGACCCCTTCTTCTTCAGCGTCATACTCCTCGTCCTCGTAATACTCGTCGTCATAATATTCCTCCCCTTGATCGCCGTGGTCGTAATGATCGCCTGCCACTCCACGGTTGTCTGCGTGGTGGTGTACATCTTGCACAGCGTGGCCGTTCTTGGCCGGGAGCTTGCTGTTTTTTTTCCCCTTGTGTTTCCCCTTCTTCATCCTCTCCCATTGGGCTCTCCGCTGTTCTTCCAACTGCCGCTGTTTCCGTTCCTTGATCTCGTACGACCGAACCAAAGCCTCCGGTGGGTGACCGAAAATCCACTCATACTCGCAGAAATGACAGACCCACATGTCTTCGGGTTTCGGCGGGTGACGCTTGTTGTAGAGCTGTGTTTCCCGGCGACGCGCCTTGGCCGCAGCTAGGTACTCCTTCGTAGCGCTTCGACGGGAGGTCTTCTGAGGCAGCGTTGCATGGTGGGTGCCTCTTGATGAGGACTCTTTGGTGCCCGCGTCCGCAGCGTGGGGTATTGCCGACGCGGGATGCCCGGTCTGCACAGGTTGGGCGACGCGAGGCCAGTTTTCTTTACCCTGGCCCACCACAGCGTGCTGCGGCATGGCAATCCGACGATCAGAACCAGGCCAAGCGAGTGACCCTGGGACCTGTGAGTCGCATGTGAATGTGAACTGCGTCGAAGCTGGGTTGCGTTTCACGGACGAGGGCTGGTGCAAGAGACTGATGTTCTCTTGGCCATGGTGCGGCGGAAACTTCTCCGCTTTGGCAATGGCATTGGATATAATGCCAGTGCTCTCGCCTTTGGTAACTGTCAGCCATTTGCCTTCATGCTCGGGGTCAAGCCCACATACTGCTTCCGCCGACCCAGTGACCGGAACGCGGTTTAATGGTCCTCCCGGCCCAACTATTAGTTGAATCGTAGAGGGGCCGCAACGCGCTTTTGCCGCTCCGAGGCCGACCGTATCGCCCTCTGCCCGGGCCAGGGACGTTGTGAATACTCGACTCGAAACCGGAACCATAATAGGTGGTTGACGGGGTCAGTGTTTCACCTTCGCCGTCTGCAAATTGAGCACCGGATGTACTCGGACCCGTTCCAGTGGCGGAATCGCTGACAACGTGCGCTCCGCCCGGTACTGAATCTCCGGCGGTGGGGATCTTCCTTTTCTTATTGTTAGTGTTCTCAAAAAGATCGTAACCGTCCGCCGAAGACGCTGTCGAGGGAAGCGGAAGCGAATCTGCGTAACGGCCATGTTCTTGTTTCTGCCGCGTCACGAGTTCGGCGTGTTGCAGCGCTGCTCGGCTCACTGCACCTTGGCCGAGTGTACCGTCCCCCGTCTTCCGGTCGCCCTCCACCCCATTGTTTTGCGGCTTGCCTTCCTCATGATGCGACGCTACCTCGCGCACAGGTGCCGAGCTAGATTCTGGTTGCTCCTCTAATAATGAGTATGGGTACGAAAACAATGATGTAGAGCTCCGCGGGGCGGGAGGGTACTGGATCGAGTCGGCTGCCTCGGGGGTGAGCCGCTCTCTAAGCCGCCGTTTCGGCAGGGGCCGTATGGGTCGGTCGGGGAAAAGCGATGATATCGGCTTAGCGGTCATCTTGAGAGCCTGGTCGTGTCCTATTTGGGGTGCTGAATGAAGAGGTATTAGTTTGCAAGTGACCACGACAGTCGAAAGCAAAACGAGTAGGATGATAAGTGTCGCCGGAAAACTGATAGCGGGGGACGAGGCAAGTAAGTCCCACAGAGCGTTCGCCAGGAATGCCCTGCCGAGCGGGTAGGTATATCCCCCCATTGCTCTAGATGGGAAGAAGGGCTTTGTGTTGTGGGGTAATGAAAGGGCAGGCACCCTGAGTTGGTAGTTGCGGGACGAAGGAATCGGTTGGTGCGTGGGTAGAGAAGAAGAAGGCGCGAGTCTGTTGACATACCCATCGAGACTGCATAGTACCCAAAATCATCAAGACAGCAAACGGCTGGGCAACTCTGGATTGTGCCGCGGGGCCCCTCCTCCCACAAGCTACGTCAAGCGTTGTTTAATTACTGCACCGAGCCGAATGTAAACGTGCAGGCTTCCGTACTTGGCCGGCAAACACTCGGCTGGTCGTCAACGGGCTTGATAAACTCGAAGTAGGCGAATCACTTTCGAGGCGTGGGGTCGGTCGATGTCCGGCGCCTTTTTTTCCCAAGAACGACGTTAGCCTTCTATTTAAGATTTGAGAGAGTTTGAGAATAGCGGTCCGCAAGGGACGCGGTAGGCCGAAATGTGAGATCATCACATCGGGAAAATAGCCTCCCGGCCTGCCGGTGCTGTGAGGTGGCCGAAACGGCCAGCTGAGCCTCCGCGGGCTAGGACGCAGTGGAGGGCCCGGTTTGGTTCGGTCGGTCAGCGGAGAAGCACCCACCTTTTCGCTCAAAGTGAGATTTCGCAAAAACTCTTGTTCGTTTTGTACGATAACGAACACTGAGGGCTGGTCGGGCGTTCTGCGATAAATTACGAGCAAGTCGGATGCTGCGAGTCGAGGAAAGGGCCGTCTGTGACTGACACAGCAGTTTCTGTGGTGGAGGAACACTGTTCAGCGCTGCCCGCTGAGGGTCGACGCACCGAACGACTTCGGTCAGGTAGTTACATAAGCCGCCCTGACCAACCCCTCGTTCAGCGACGGCCCGTTGCTTGGTCCGAGGTTTTTCCGGATGCCCCTGAGGGGTTGGGGCTTGGAACAGAACATCCACTGTGCTAAGCCCTCCGCTCAGAGCGTTCGCTCTGCTCCCTGAATTCTTCGAAGTCGTCTCCAACCTCGAGAACACAATAACATTCAAGGATAAAACCTGAGGTTTTCGGTCCCATTGCCATTTCAGAACCACTATACCAATTGCACGCCCCGTCTCTCATACCTACTTCTTCAAATCCGATTTAACCTTGCCCCTGTCGGGCGTGATGTCATGCTCATTGTTCAGTCCGAAAATACCGTCCCTGTCGAATTGAAGAATTCACACTGTGTCGGCAAGCCGGCCCAGCATGGAGCTCGCCGGGCCCACAACCTGGAAGCCCCGCACGAGCCGGCCCCCAGCGCAGTCTGCCAAAAATTGCTGCAAGCTGGGAGCACTCGGGAAAAGGGCGTGTGGGACTGGATCCAAAGCGCTCCCGCTCGTCACCCTCTGTCCTGGTCCGTTTCTCCGTCCTCCACCATCCCACCACTCCTCCGAGTTCCCGCCCGTTCGGACAAATATTGTTTCTGCAACGGCTTCAGTCATGACCACGAGTCTTATTTTTCGAAGATACGCTGTGGATTTCATCCAAGAGTCCAAGCTTTGACGACACGGCGCTCGTTCGGGGCAGCCTGCTCAACGCCCTCCTTCATCCCGTCACCCCCTTGGGTGCAGTGTCGGAACCGGTCTTCTCCCGTCGCGGGCGTTTATCCTCAGTTACTATCTTCCGATTCATACAGCGATTGACCCCCGAGCGTCACTCCCGTAGCCCACAAATTTCATAGGCGTTACCACCGCGTTACGACTAGCCAAGCGCTCCCGCCGTCACGTTTCCGAACCAACTCGTCTCGAACTCCCCCGACCCAACTCTCAACGGCGCGCAAGCCCGAACGTCGAGACGCCCTATCCTATCGAACAAATACACCAGAAAAATACATTGTTTAGCCATTGGTACGAAACTACTTGGCTGCGCGCCACCTCACCCAACGCGCGGTTCCGCTCGGTCGTCGCCTCGGGGCAACACTCGGGACCCTCAGCCCGATAAACCACCACAAGATCAGACGACCTTTCCATACGAACTTCAGCTTCTGTGGCATCAATAACCCCGCCGACCATCCCCACTCAAAAAATACCATCACGATCGCTCGCTCTTCCGTGTGCCGTTGTTACACCAACCGATCGCGCAAATTCGCCGCGTCCTCCGATCGTTTCTCTTCCTACCGAGCTGATTTTGGCGATCGTCCCTGTGACATCTGCTGCAAAGAATGGCAGCAACTGACCCTCGGCGGTCTTCGAGGGCGCGCACAACTCAATCGCAGTCGCAAATATCTTCTACTGCCTCGAGCATCTCGGGGCGCCCTGAGCGCAGTTCCAGGTACTTCAACAAGGCCAGTTCGCCGCAAAAGTCCGCTTCAACTGGGTCGTTGTCGTCTGAACCGCCAGAGGACACAATTACGGCCGAGGACCCATTCGGGTCCCGACGTCGCACACGAGGACAAGTCGAGGAGAGAGAGAGAGCAGGAGTCAAGGCTGAGACTGTCGACATGGCTAACGGCGACGGAAATCTCCAGGAAGAGGATGAGGCCGTGCGCTGCGTCTGCGGGAACGAGGAATACCAAGGCCCGCCGCCGCTGGACGAAGACTCAAAGCACGGCTTCAAACATGGCTTCGGCCTTGAGTCATTCTTCTCAGCTGAAGTTACAGACGACACCGCCGGGTTTTTTGTGCAGTGCGATGTCTGCAAAGTTTGGCAACACGGCGGCTGTGTCGGGATCATGACAGAGGAAGCGAGTCCCGACGAATATTTCTGCGAAAAGTGCCGCGATGATTTACACAAACTTTGGACGGCGAGCAATGGGTAAGTTCTTTCCCTTTATCAATTGCAGGCTTGGGGTTCTGTCCGGTTTGAGATTGAGGGGTTCGGCTGCATGGCTCGCGCGGGCAGTGCACCGACGATTACGTCTCATGCAGGTTTCCTTGCTACTCAAACCCCATAAAACCGTGTGGACCGAGTTAGCATGCTAACGATATGGGTCGCAGAAACGTGTATTCTCATTATCTTCCCCTTAAGCGAAATGCTAGAGCCACTTCACGAGCGGCGTCACTGAACAAGGACATGACCCGCTCGCCTACCAAAGAGAAAGAAACCCGGAACGGGCGAGGGTCGTCCGCAAACCACGCCTCGAAGAGGCGGTCTACGTTGAATAGCAGAGAAGCCGGGTATGACGAAGCGGAGGCTCTTAGGAGGGCAATTGAGGCCAGCAAAGAAGAGACGCAGTCTGATCCGCCTGAGGGCGGGAATAGACGGCCGAAACGTGGGCGAAGCGACAGCCAAGAGTATGCCCAAACCTACCTTAACCCGCAGCACATCGCTAACATGTTTGTAGGAAATCGGAGAACACAAAACGGCAAAAGACGAGCTCCCGATCTGCGTCACCGTTATCCGACAACGCCGAAGACTCGGACGAGCCCGGAGTCGCCGGCCGGAATGGTGTATCGAAATCGAAGGCGCGGGGTGCGGCAGCCGCGCGGAATCTGCGCGCTGAGAAGGTATCCGAAAAAGAGGAAAAGGAGCGGCAACGTACTGAAACTGCGAACAAGCGGAAGGGCAGAGTCGACCGTCGACGAGCTGATGGTTTGCCACCCCCAAGCTCGCCTAAACTTACTCGACACTCACACGGATACAGACTCGGATCCTTCGGAAGAATTGCCTCTGGCAACTCGGGCGGCGACGCAGAAAGCGACACAGGCCTCAGGCGGTTCGAATATGGCCAATCCCTCTGCATTAGAGGTCGCGCGACCACCCATGGCGGTGGAACCACCCCTGGCTTCAAATCCGGCGCCAGATACGCCGCCCACGATCACGGTCCACGCCAAGGCCGACAAGAAGAGGTCACACAAGAAGAAGGGCCGCAACCAGTACACGCGCGACCGCGATGCTCACGATGACGAGTCACCCGCACGGTCGCAGTCGCGCGACATCCAAAAGGACGACCACGGGGCGCCCGGCGTCGGAAAAGCAGGCGGAGAGGGCAGTGGCAAGGCAACCATCAAGTCCAAGGGCGGGATGAGCAGCAAGATAACCATGAACGACATGAAGAAGAGAGCAACTGCGCTGCTGGAATACATCTCACGGACCCAAGTAGAGTTGGCGGGCGAGTCACTCGTGGAAACACCGCCCTCGACTGAAAGTCTTACCAATGGTAGTAGCTTATCAGCTGCTCCGGAGAAAGCCGAGAACGGAACCAACCAGACCCCGATGTTGGTACTCGGGGAAACCGGGAACGCTGGCCCAGGGAAGGAGTTTAGGGAGCTCGGTTGCGTGGAGATGATGGACACCTTGACCCGGCGGCTTGTCAAGTGGCAACAACAGTACGCTGTGTAAGACGACCGCAGGGTTGCTTGTCGTGGTATTGTATAAACTGGTACCGGCATTCTTTCTTTGCATCTGACGGAGTTGATGGACTTTTCGTTTGTTTTCTTTTCTGGTTTTTTTTTTTTTCTTTTCCGCATGGAACAGGCGTCTAGGTTGGGAAAGGCGCTCTCGTACACAACTTGCTTCGTGGCTCATACAGCGAGCGGCACATTGGTTAAGCCCAGCTCAGCCCAGCTATGGCTTTTTCGGTAGGGATAGGAATGGGTGGTACTAATGTACGAGAGGGTGGTTTTCACGGACTCGGTGGTCGGCTAATACCCCTTGTGGGAGGCGCTTGGTCGGGATGCAAAGACCGAAAGCTCTCTACTGATTCATTTTGTTCGACGATTGTATTCTTAGACACTTGACACTTGATACACCCCAATGATACTGAGTATTGATTGGATGATGGCTCTTTTGTATGATGCGCCTAGATTTGATTTTGGGATCTCGTTCTGTTATTTACCCAGATTATTGTCCCTGTCTAACGTCTACTACGCTATACACTATCTCACAATTCACTATACACCATGCTCTTGCATCCTCCTATTTCACGTTGACCCATCTCCTTCTCCGCCACCCGCTATCCTCGACCGCTTAGCCTCGTTCCTTGCCTTCCTCTCCTCCTTGCCCTTCTTCCTCGCCTGGTTCATGCTCAACGCCGTCACCTTGGCCTCTTCCAGGGCCGTCTCTAGCGTCTCAGGCGTGACATCGTCCAGCAGCACCTTGCCAAACCCGCCGCCCCTCCACGCCTGCACCGCCCACTCGGCCGCCGTATCATAGTTGGCCCCGCCGCCCTTAGCCAGCTTCCCCACGCGCTTCGCAACCGCCTCCAGAAACTCCGTCACATCGTTCGTCGGCCCCGCCATCCCCAGCCTCTCCACATACCCCCGCCCCGCCTCACCATCCAAATTCAACCGAAACAGCAAATAATCCGCCAGCGTCTCCCTCGGCAGTATCCCATCCCTCACGCACCCCACCAACGCCAACTTCAGCATCTTCTCCGGGTCCGACACGTACGGGATAAACACCCCCGGCGTATCCACCACAAACACCCCCTCCCCGACCCCCGCCAACGACGCATCCTGCCCCTCGGCAGGCACAATCCTCACGGGCGAGCTCAGCTTGCGCGTCACGCCGGGGTTAGCTCCCGTGCGCGCGACCTTGGCGCCGCTCGCGCGCACCGCGGCTCCCGTGCCCTTGACGCTGCGCCGGCGGAGCGCGTTGAGGAGGGTCGATTTGCCGGCGTTGGGCATGCCGACTACGAGGGCGCGCAGGCCGGTGAGGCTGTCGCGGTCGCGGGCGACGCGGGTGATGGCGGAGAGGAGGGCGGCCGTGGGGGTGTTGGTGGGGGATTTGGAAGAGGGGGTCCCGGTGCTGGTGAAGAGGACTTCGGTGGCGTGGTTGTGCTGGAGGTGGAAGTTGCGGAGGTGGTGGGCGGCGGACTCGGAGAGGGAGGGGGTGGAAGGGTCGTCGGAGGGGTGGCTGTCCGGGCCGAGGTCGCGGTGGGTGTAGACGATGATGCGGGCGCGCTCGGCTGGGGAAGAGCCCGCGAGGGATTGTTCGAGGAGGGGGTTCCAGGAGGTGATGGGCACGCGGAAGTCGCGGCACTCAATGATTAGGCCGACGGTGGCGAGGCTCTGGCGCATGCGGGCGAGGCCGGCGTGGTGGTGGCCGAGGAAGAAGGACCGTGGGATGTTGGGCGACACGTCGTAGGTCTGGCGCGGCTGGAAGGCGGCACGACCTGCTGTGAAGGTGACGGCGTTCTTTGCGGCCGCCTTGGCGGTTGTGGATATTGGTATTGAGGCCATGGTGTGGTGTATAAGTGGTGTAAGTGAGGTGAGGGAGAGGAGTGAGAGAATGAGATGGCGGAAGAGAGGATGGCAGTAGTGGGACTTTGTGAGTAACAATTCGTCGCTTCACATTTTTCTTGGAAATAAGCCGTCGTTATATTATCCCAAACGTCGTCAACCCCTTAAATCGACCTAGTTTTGTAGGTTTTGGTTTAGTTGTAAGTTTCGCTTCATGAAACTCGGATGCCAAGATCGAACAATTTCTGATGTTGAGACGCAAGCAACTATCGGGGTTAAGCTTCCGATACTAGCATACTGGTCGGGTACTACACCCGGGAGGGTGGTGGCCCAGAACAAACGTTGTTATAAACGAGGCAGTCATTATTTCTCTAGTATCATGACGTGCCACATACATATCTATCTCGGGTCTCCGAGCTTGAAAGCGAATCATGTCATAGTAGCTAAGAGCCATCACGTATTGCGAAGAGAGCCAAGGATTTACTACTCATTGTATGTATTAACAAAAAAAACTGCCATGAACCAACGGTAACCAACCCTTCTTAGGTTCTGTTTATGCCCATTCTAACCCTTCCTCCTTCAGCACACACCAACCAACCGTGCAGTTCAACGGATACCCCCAACAAAAGTACAGTCTACTCCTACACCGATCGTATACAGGGAACTCTACCACACCACCTCCTGGACGCCTCTGACCTTTCACTTCTTCACCGAACCCCGCCGTTTCCGCCCCTCTGTCTGGACCTTCTTTCCAGACCCAGACCCAGTACCAGCCTCAGCTTTACCACTTCCACTTTTCGACCCGCCAACCTCACTTCTCGGACCAGGAGTCCCAGCTCCCTCAGTCCCAACCTCAGCTTTACCGCTTCCACTTTTTGACCCTCCAACCTCACTCCCCAGGCCGGTAGTCACAAGCCCCTTGGCTTTGGCTTTACCTTTACCTGTGGCCATCCAAAAGATTAGTACCACTCCGACCCAGAAGCCAGAAGCCAGAAGCCAGAAGCCAAAACCGAAGCCAAAGCCAAAGCCAAAAAGTCAAAAAGCCAAAAAGCCAAAAAGCCAAGAACCAAAGCCAGCCGCAATCACGTACGAGCTGTCACCGGGCCATCTTCCTTCCCAGCCTGAAGGGTCGAATCTGCCTTCCCAACCTTCGGCGCTGGCTCCTCCTGCCCGCCACCCACCACATTCTTCTTCTCTCTCGGAGGACGAGGCGAATTCGAACGGGGAGGAGCCGCCGCCATTGCCGCCACGACATGTGCGCCGGTATCTACCACCTCGGCATCCCCAAGCTTCGGCACGCGCGGCGCCGGGGGTGCCACTGGTGACTCCGGGGTGGGCGGGGCGGTAGCAGCGGTGGCATGGGGTTGATCCTGGGGCTGGGGTTGCGGCGGCGGAGGTTGGGTGTGGATGCGTAGTTGTCGCCGGCGACGCGCTTCGGTGTCTTCTCCTTTCTCCTCCTCTTGCCCGGCACCGCCTACCTCACTGCTCTCATCCTCCTCCTCGTCATCGCCATGGTTGCTGCCCCCGCCCACGGCGGTGCTAACATCGCTGTCTACCACATCACTCCCCCTTGCCAAATGCGTCATGGCTTTCTTCTTCTTTCCCCCCGCGACCGCGGTAGGCGGCACACCCAGCAGACTCGAGCTCTGGCGCTTGATCTGGTAGCGGGCGTACTCCTCGCGGGTGTGCTCCGCGCCGGTGAAACTCTCGAGGGCATCAAAGACATGGGGGAAAACCAGCTCGTGCACGTCGCGGGCCCACAAGAAGTCGAGGTGCTCGTAGTGGGGGATCTCGTTAGCGAGGGTCTGGGCGGGCAGCTCGCGCAGCATGGCGCGGATGTCGACGAGGGAGTCGCTGCCGCCGTAGACGAGCACGATGGGGGTTTTGATGTTGCGCGTCGGGTACTTGGCGACCTTGGTGTACCGGCTAGCGGAAGGTGAGAGGCCGAGTGGCGGGTGCACGTCGTCATCGTACATCTGGAAGGACTTGGTGCGAATGATTTGGAACCAGTGGACGACGGATTTGGTGCTGGTGAAAGAGTACAGATGCGGGTAGGCGGCGAGCTTCTGCGAGGTGCTGATGTTTTGGGTGCGCCAGGCGAAGAGAAACGACAGGCCCATGTCGATCACCTTGGTAAAGAGTGGCGGGTAGAGGATCGACTCCCACATAGTCGCTGAGCTGAGGATGGAGCGGCGGCCGAAGAGGAGGTAGAGAACCTGCGGAGAGGCTTTGACGAGGGCGTCGACAATACCGTTGGAGAGGCCCGCCGGCGACATAGCGGGCGCGAGGGCGATGAATACGTTGACTTGGTCGTTGAGCTTCGGGTGGACGGCCAAGCTGGCGAAGGCCTGGGCGGTGCCCTGGGAGAAGCCGATGTAGGAAAGCGACTGCTGACCGGTGGTCTCGAGGATGTAGCTGATGCTGTCGGGAATATCGTGGAACGCGAACTCGTCGATGGAAAAGTTCCAGAATTTGAGCGACGTGGGCGACGAGTGGATCGATTTCTTGGAGTACTTGTTGCCGCGGTTGTTTCCGAACTACAATTGTCAGTACTGCGTCCGCGGTCTCCTTTTCCCCGGAGATTTGCGAACATACCCAGACATCAAATCCCTTCTCTACCAAGGTAAACGGCAGGGCGCGCTGCTCATCGGTCAGACACACCCACACCTCGCTGTTCATCAACAGGCCGTGATGCAGGTAGACCACCCGCTTCTTGACGCTATTCGGGCCACGATTGACTCGGACCTCCTCTTCCCCCTTTTTCCACGCTAGCCGATGCAGGCCGAGCAAGTACCCATCCTTGGTCTGCACGACATGTTCCTCGGCGGTGTACCCGAACGCAGCGCAGAGGTCGACGAAATCGGAGGCGTTTCGGATCGAGGTCGAGATGGCTAAGTCGGTCCCTCAGTCAGCATCCAGCACTCGTCGTAACCCGGGCGTAACACATACACTTCCTCCTCCGCTCAGCTCTCTTTTGCGCCGGACTGGCTAGCCTATTAAACAACCGCCGGGATACGCCGTAGCACAGCTCGAGGAGTGATGACGCTATGGTCGGGTGTTAGATCAACGGGCCCAGTTCGTAAAACAGCTGTAACGGTAAAACCGCGACACGCAAAGGGCGCGTGGTGGTGGATGCTCACGTAGGGCGAGGGTGAAGATGCGGATAAAGGCTTCGAGGCCGACTAGGAGAAACGATCCGACGAGAGCGACATATTCGGTGCTATTCGATCATGTCCAGACTGGATTAGCGCTGCGTTGGACAACAAAACATGCAGGTGTATGGCGTATGCCGTATGCAGTGTGTCTCACTACTCACATGTTAAGGCGCCCCAGAAAGGGGACAGGCATCTTGGGATTCTTGGCGGGCTCCCGAAGGATGCTGTCCCGTCGTGAGCTCTGTGTATGTGCTGTGTTTTTGGTGGAATTATGTAAGGTGAATTAGGAACCGAATTCTAGGCTCGAAGTTGCGAAATTCGTAAAATGTCATGTTATGATGTTTGGGAGACAATTCTGGGATGGCACAGGTCTGGAACGCAACCCATGTCAAGGCCATGCTCGACTGTGGGGGGAATTGCCCTCAGGGTGTTGAAACCGACCCTTGTGACATCATTCGTCACATGCGAATTCCGTTGGTTTTGCTGTGCCTGCCTCATGACCCCCTGTTGCGACCGAGAGTGCTTATCCTTTTCCGGAAGCAGAGAATCCCATGGTGGGCAGGTCGTGCCTCCTGCGCCAATTGGCACTTCTCTTGTCTCTCTTTCATTCGATCATTGCGGCGCTAGTAAGACCAATGCTAGGAAGGGAGGAGGTTTCCTGGGAAACTTTAAAAGGCGTAATTACCGCCTGTAAACATTACGATTCCGTGATCGAATCGGGATCATCCCAAAGCTCAAGCCACCACGCGCCCCATGCTTGCAGCCAATTGGTTCGTCCCAAACCTTCGGTTCCAGCTGGGATCGCTCGACACGTTGTTGAATCCGGTTCCGTCGCCAACCGCAGCGCAACAGTCGACCACAACCAAGATGCCGAGCTCATGTAAAGATATACGTGCGCGGTTATCCGCCGTTCCCTCTACCAACATTACGCATGCTAACGTCTTCTCAAGGAGCCGCGCTGGCGGAATGCCTGCAGGAATCCGAGTGCGTGATGGTGCAGCGGCACTCGGCCGCCGAATGCATGCGCGAGCCCCTGCTCAGCACCCTCCCCACCAAGTGCCAGCAGCTCAAGAAGGGTTTCGGCGAGTGCCGTCGCGGCATGGTCGACATGCGCAAGCGCTTCCGCGGTAACCAGCCCGTCGCCTTCCGCAAGCTCGAGCAGAACGAGAAAACGGGCGAGGGATACCAGCTGTACGCCGGCAAGTCGGCCTTTGCGGGCACCCGCGGAGAGACAGACGGCAACGAGAAGGAGCCGCAGGATTGGAGGGAGGCCGAGAATGAAAAATACAGGGCTGCCGCTGCTGCTGCGGCCGCGGCGAACAAGTCATCCAAGTCATGACGAGCAGCACAACGATGCGCCGGGCGAGTGGGACGAGCAGGAGGGCGTTTCGATACCCAGCGCGGCAATCCGCGTCATCTGATGAGCTGTACGATACTGTGCCATCTTCTGAGGGCTGGGGTTGGATATTTGACCATAGCAGGCGTTCAAGGACACGGAAGCCGGTTCTGGGTTCATGCCTTGCCTAAAGTTACCTACACTGGGTTTAAGGTCCACTGGGGCCACCTTAGGGGACACACATACATCTCAAGCTGGCCGAACACCAATTCATCTTTCGGGCCTGAGAGGACGCAGGTGGAGACCATGAGGGATCAGTATCAAATATGAATCTCCCAACGCCGGAAGTTGGAAACAACAATAATGCGCCTTTAATCCCGTTTTGGCGCCACTTTGCCAACCTAGAATTGACCAGTGCCGACTCGCAACGCAACAGAGGCATAATATTCGCTTAACTCCCAAATTTGGGTGTTTCTCGCAGCGGTAACTTGTTTGTTAACCGCCCATAGCTTGGTTATTACCCTAAAACTCTCGTAGGTGTTAGAAAAGACCGTGACAATTTGAGAAGAGATATTCCGGAAAGCGTCGAGATGGGAAGTGGTTGCTCGATGATACCTTCGATAAACACCGCTATCGGCCAACGTATCTTGGAACTTGAGTTGAGTCGCGGATATGCGGCCAGCGTCTTGTGTGGATCCCAACGTATCGACAATAGAAGATGCCGCAACGGTTGAAGGCCTTTGAGAGTCGGGGATTAAGACACCCCGCTTCGCCTCAAAAATTCGAAAATACGCTCCATTCGTTCTAGATGGTGCCGAATGTCGAGGTTGCTTTTAAGGACTTTGCTGAGTTTATTCTCAAGGTCCAAACCAGATTGCATGGCCACGATAGCAGAATGGCTGCCCGGGGGAGGGGATCAGAACGTTTTTATCCAACTATATGCGAATGATGAAAACTTACCATTGAAAGATATTCAGCATTAGAATAAGAGAACTCTTGCGAACTTGGATCCTCTCGATAACCTTCACGACATCATCCTGCGCCTGAGCCCATCTAACATTATCCCAGGTCCTCATAAGCGATGGGCTCGTCAGCGATGAATTCGTCAAAGTATTCGTCAAAAATGGGTTCGTTAACGACGAGTTCGTCAACGATGAGTTGGTCAAAGATGGCTTCGTCAAAAATGGGTTCGTCAACGATGTGTTCGTAAACGATGAGTTCGTCAACCCAAGCGGCTTGAGGGTGTCAACAAGTTCGTCAAACGACGTGGCCAGCGCAGGCACGGTGACAGCTGCGTCCTGAACTGCTACCAATGCCCGGGAATCTTTGGGGAGCGAATCAATGCGTGCAAAAAGGGCATGTAACCTCGTAATAACCGAATGTATGTCGTTGACTTCGGCGAGTGCCTAAGAGATCGTCTTAGGAGCGTCTCGGATGGTGGATTTGACCGTGTCGAGGAACTTGACCACCGTCGTGACCGTCCCAAGAAGACCAAGGACACCGGCCGCAATGGTTAACGGATCCATGATGAGTTGAGATACGTCGCGTCAGAACGAGCATGGAGAGCTATGAGATGTTAAGCATCATCATTGGCGTAAGGAAGCCTTTACGAAAAGGGGTTCTGGAATCTCGATGCCGAGCATCAACGGTTTCGACCTCTCCCTCCCCTCCCCTCCCCTCCCCTGGCGTGGTCTATCAAGGAAACAAGAGCGAGGTTTGATGGAGGAGTGGTCGTCTGTCACAAACAGGAGTATTAGAGTGTCTCCTGCGTGAGAGGAATACCAGGAGAAAGTAAGGGCATCCTGGCAACGAAGGGACAAATCCGGAAAGTATAGAGATTTGAGAACCCGCCAATCCAAATAGGTTCCGTGGGGATCGGCTCTTCGATCAATTGCCGTCGGAGTTGAACAGAGCCTGGATGTTCCGCTGCTCTCCGGCCTTCACCGGAATTCAGCCAATCGAGCATCGCCAAGCAGCATCGAAGCGGTCCCGTAAGTTTGGTATCACTTGAGGCACCTCAGTCAAGAGGGCAGCAAGCAGGAAGGAACGGAGGAAACGACGGCAACTGGCGGACGGGTTTTATTGCAGAATATGTTTATTTAGGTACTTATTTATGTGTTAATTGCAGCCTTACGACCTCGCCTCTTGCCTTACCTGAAATACCATTAATACCCAACTGCATTCCTCATTAGCCAATGGAATTGTAGATCCGCGACGCAGCGAACGAGGCGTCTCACGAGGCACAACCCGGGCCATGGACCATGGCTGCACGGGCACAGGATTGGTCTGGTGGAGAATCTGAAAAACAGTCCAGTACGAGTTTCTTTCCCATCCCTCCTCAATCGCTTTAACCCTCTTATTATGTACCTGGGCGGTGACCTCGATCTCCCCGAGCTTCTGCTCAACTCGCACCAGGCATAGTCGAGGGCCAAAATCCAGTTTCAGCTAGTTGTAGCCGACTCCGGTCAGAACGCTGGACCAAAAAAGTGCATTGAGACTGGAACACCCTTCAGTTGTTGGCACTAGCACTTCCGGACAACCTACTCCATTCTCCACATGTACAGCATAATCCCAGATCCCCAGCTATAGCAAAAGCGATCCAACCTTGATCAGTCCGAGTCCTGACCCGAGTCGGACGGAGAAGGGTAGTAGCAACGTTCGCAATAGCCCGGCCTGCTCCGTCTTTCGCGTCTAATGCCCCACGTGTTACGGACACATTGAGCATTCTCGCCCTCGGGGATCCTCTCGGGCACTGGTCCCAGCCATCAGACCACCAATGCCCGCACTCCGCGTAGTGGTATTGAATGTGACTGCACATGGTCTGCTAGTGGGGCTCGATGGCCTGGGGCTCGAAAATAGTTTGTTAGTGACGGGGTGAGCTTTCGGACTGATGCCATAAGTTACGTGATCAGGGCGGCTTCCTAGGGGGGTGCGTACCGCCTGGTATAAGTCGTAGAACTTGGAATCCTTCGCGAAGAGAGCGTCTGGGAGAATAAACAGGCAGGAAGAAAAGATGCGAGTAAATGGGAAGAGGACTCCGAAACTTGGCGGGGATTGTTAATGGTGAGATAACAACGAGAATCAACGGGACTAGGCGTGAAGAAGCCGGTAGAAGGGAAAGAAAGTGTGGGACTTGGAAAACCACCAGAGGACGAGAATGAGAATGGTTTCTTCCAAGAATTCTGAACACAGTCTCAGTTGGTGAATATATGCAAACTAGAACACATTTACTCGGCGCCTTTTTCATCCCCAGGTTTCCCGTTCAGATCATCTGTTGGGACCTTTTTTTTTCCTTTTCGAGGTCAGTTCAGCCTCACGAGGCCGAGGAGCAGGTCGTCGCAAACGCAATAAGCGCTAGATCCTGCAGCTATGCCCTGGCAAGGACCGACAGTGCCACTAAGTTCGGAGGGTGTGTTTGGACTTAAGAGGGCTGCTGGCCAATTGACCAGAAGATTCCGGGCAATCCAGAAACCGGCGGCCGTCGGCATCAGTCACAGAAGGCGCACAAAATCTGACGCTTGCACTGTCGAAGCCGCACCTCGAACGCGGTTCCTAGCCCAATCATAACAAAGCTATCTGGCGCTTGTGCTTGGGGTCCACGTGACATTGCGCCCTGTTAGAGCAACTGTATGCCATTGCGTTCGCCGGGTAAACGCCCTTATCGTCGCAACTCCCAAACCCCTTCTTCAACTCGGACAACGAGTTGCGACGAAATCAGACATCGGGCAATGTAGCAGAGACTCAAGAGTAGACCATAATGGATCCGTTCAGCATTCCTATAACACCGGTTGCCGCCCCCCACATCGAGGTCGATCCGTCCCTACGTACCGTCACACAGGGTGATGCTATCGATGCCCCGGTTCCAGAGGTCCGCGCCCTAACAGAAGAGCGCTTCAATAATTTTGACTTGGATGGCATCACCCATGTTGTGATTGAGCAAGTCATCTCGTCAACTATGGCACATTGGGAAGAATACGAACTGCGAGGCTAACAAAGCACTCTAGAATCACGTATTCCCGACAGACGCAGGTTTTCCGATCCATCGGTTTTCAGTACGACTGGAATCTTCCGCTTCCTTTTTGGAATTACCTCGGGAGAATTGTCGCCAAGGGTGTCTTTAACGACCAACTCGAGCTTGAGAATCTCAACTGTTCTGCGGTGGGCCGACGAGAGTTCGTTGCTTACACGACGTCTGCGTGGAAGGCCGCTGTAGAAGCACGGAAAGCGGCGGGCGAGGCCGAGCGACCACCACTTAACGTCATCGAGGTGAAGTTTAAGAAGCCGCAGCCGGGACAACCAATCGAGATGACTTGGACCCCTGCGAGAGCGCTAATTTCCACTAGAGTCGCGAGGATGAAGCGATGTGGGTTGAAGACTTGGCCATCTTCCCGAAGACGAAACTAATCCGGAACAAACAGGGAATGATCATTCTGATAAGCCACCAGAGTGGTTCGTCGCCAAGGAAGCAAACGTTGATGAAGCGGGCGTTAAAGATCTAGGCGTTAGTGATGGAGGAACAGAGGGTCAATGATACATGGAAATTTTCTAGTGAGTGTACAAGACTGAGTTGAAAGCCACCGACTGGATGCAGGTGTGATGGGAATGAGGGTCGTTTCCTTATCCATACGGATAACGAAGTTCTTGAAGCGATCTTTCCCTGAAACGACATGAAGTTAAATCGCGCCAAGAATGCATCTCGAATGGGCGCTATGGTCTGCAAGTGGCCCGAGCGATGCTGAGGGCAACATGGTTCAATACCCGTCAACCCATGACTGACGAAGGATCCTCTAAAATGAATGTCCTTGTCGTTGCGTTCTAGATTACACTCAATCGTCGTGATGAACGTTGCTGGTCACCCGCATTAAGTTGACTGGAACGAATTGGATTTGTACAAAGTATCGCCAGGCAAAAGCCACCGACTCACGCGCCCCAAGGCACTCTGCTGTCGAGTGCAGCAGGCATCAGGTGAGCTCGAGCACTCGCTGCGCCTTCGGTCCAATTCTTCTATCAACCTACCTAACCCAACGAACGCTCCTTCCTACCTGGAAATTCCCGAACTTTTCTTCGACAATCCCATCTACACCAACATTTGAGTGATCGCGTTCTTCATGAATCCAACAAAGCACCCACACAGTAACAAGGACGCGCATAAGGAATTGCTTGTTACACAACGCCTCGGCTAGAGCCCCGTTCCCACCCACACCTAAGTGGTAGGTACCTTATTCAACCAAGGTACCTAACCACACCCCGATGGCTGCGCAATCAGTTGTACAGCTTCGCCCTGGCCATCGCCCGGGTCATCGCCGGGGTCTGAATCGATCACCGCTCTTCCTACTATTAGGAGGGCTCACATTGCTGTCACTATGCTTTTTCGTATCCCACTTGCCGACCCTACCACTACTCACTGGCTTTCGTCCGTTTGGCGGCAATGCAGGTGAACCCCAGATGACGTCGTCAGGAGCTGTGGCGCCCCACCATGTTGGTGCATCAACAGCCGAGTTGATCCTCGAATTGGTTGAGTTGGCCAAAGCAAATAAACTCGAGACTAACACGATGGAATACGGAACCAACAAACACCCACCCTTCAAAGACGACCCGCCACTTCTTGTCAAGGACCTTCCGCAAGAGCACATTCCGTCGTATACGCCCCCGTCACTCGGAGTGGAGAGAATCAATGGAAAGAGACTGGTTGTCGTCGGTGACGTGCACGGCCAGACCGCCGCTCTCAAGGCCCTTCTCGAGAAGATAGGCTTCGACCACAAGCATGGCGACCACCTGGTTCTTGCCGGCGACATGATCACGAAGGGGCCCGACAGCAAGGGTGTCGTCAAGCTAGCCATGGCCGTCGGGGCGAGCGCCGTGAGGGGCAACCAGGAAGACAGGGTGCTGGCAGCCGCCAGGGAGCTCCACCGCTGGTCGGCCATCGACGAGTTTAAGTCAGACCGTGCTAGCGAAGCCGAGAAGGCAGATGGCGAAGTGGGAATAGAGACCCGGAGGAAGAACCACGCCCACCGCGTCGCCGAGTCCCTCACCCGTGCCCAGCTCGCCTGGCTCAGGTCCCTCCCCATCATCCTCCGCATCGGACACCTCCCCGACGCGGCCTCACCTCCATGGAACGCCAGCACGCTGGCGGTCGTCCACGGCGGTCTAGTCCCTGGTGTACATCTGGAGAAGCAGGACCCGTGGGCCGTGATGAACATGCGGAGTCTAAAGTACCCTCGCAAGGGCAAAGGAGGAAAGAAGGGAAAACACCACAGTGAAAGCCAGCCAGAGTCCCCCGTCGACCACGACGAAGACCAAACAGACCCCACAACAACAACAGACGGCCTCACCCTCACCCCAGACGCCGTCGCCGTCCCCGTTGACACCCACGGCGGCGAACCCTGGAGCCACGTCCTGGTAAGCCCGCCCTTCCTTAAACCCCAACCCTAACCTAGACAAATCAACCCAACCTAACACCCCCTTTCCAGGAACCGCTACCAAAACCGCCTCCCCCCTCACTCCCCACATATCACGCTCGCCATATACGGCCACGACGCCAAAGTTGGCCTACAAGTCGACCCCGAAGCCGACATCTCCCCTTATTCCCCACCCCCATCGGGCCCCGACAACAGCGACACCGACACCCAAACCAAAAACAAAAACAAACACAACAAGAAGAAAAAGAAACAAAAAGGCCACCGCTACGCCTACGGCCTCGACTCGGGCTGTGGTCACGGCAAGCAGCTCACGGCGCTGGTTATCGAGGCAGTGGGGGATCCGGCGGGACGGGGCGCCATACGGCACCACATTGAGCAGGTGGATTGTGCAGATCCTGGGGTGGTGGTTCAGACGGTTGAGGGGCTTGGGGGGGTGGAAGAGGGGGAGGAGGGGAGTCAGCGGGTTATGGAGTGATGTTTTGGTCGGGGGTAGTCAGGGGTCTGGTCTGAACTGGTCTGGTCTGAACTGGCCTCGTCTGAACTGGTGTTGGTCTGAACTGGTTCAGTCCGATCTAGTTTAGTGTCGGTATGGCCAAGTGGCAGGCAGTACCAAGGATTGGCTCGGTGGACGACATCTGCGGCCCGCTGACTGACTGTCCGGCCAGGTATGGGAGACCTGAGATTGAGTGGGGTAGGGTAGTGGTGGTTACACAGCATGCGGTCGGCCGAACTGTTTCTTGGGTGGCATTGACTACCGGCGGGAGTGGGTGGGCAGCCTTAGTTTTGGATGGGAGGCCGGTGTCTTGCATATGATGAGCTTTCGACAGTTGGGTTGCATACTTTTCGTCGGGGCAGCGTTGTCTCTGAGGCATGGCGTTTGGGATCAGGTTTGGCGGGTCACGTTGATGGCACAAGTTTGCATCTATGAAAGCATTGGCAGTGAGTAATGATAATGTTCTTCAAGAGCTAAATTAGTAGTCTCGAGAATGCAAGGCAGGCCATTGAGATTGATTGGCAAATTTGATTTATTTGCATCTTGTATAGCAGTGCTGGCTTGCTCGCATGCTCCGTAACCCAGTCAAAGCAGTACGTCACTTTTGCTAACGATAACCCATTTTTTGTTGGTGCGCGCCGCAAGAAGTCCGTCTCAGTCTAGAGTCGTCATAACGTCCATTACCCCATCCTCCTCCTCCCAGTGACAATTTACTGCAGCTTGGCCTTGATGATGCCCTTGAGGGTGACGGCGTCGGCCGCGAACTTGCTGATGCCCTCACGGAGCTTCTCGACGGCCATCTGGTCCTCGTTGAAGTCGAAGCGGAAGTTGGCCTCCTCGTTGAGGTACGTCTTCTTCTCGATGTCGAGCGAGCTGGCGGCCGAGGCGTCGAGCTTCTTGGGGACGGCCTCGCTGGAGTTCATGAGCTCCTCGAGCAGGTTGGGCTGTTGACGGGAAATTAGCACGATAAAACTCTGACCAGTTCAAGGCATTGAACTTACGGAGATGGTCAGGTAGTCGCAGCCAGCGAGCTCAGTGATCTCGCCGGTGTTGCGGAAAGAGGCGCCCATGACGATGGTCTTGTAGCCGTACTTCTTGTAGTAGTTGAAGATGCTCTTGACGCTGGCGACACCCGGGTCCTCCTCCTTGGCGTACTCCTTCTTGTTGGCCGCCTTGAACCAGTCGAGGATACGGCCGACGAAAGGAGAGATGAGGAAGGCACCGGCCTCAGCGGCGGCAATAGCCTGGGGAAGCGAGAACATGAGGGTCAGGTTGCAGTTGATGCCGTGGTCCCGCTGCAGGATCTCGGCGGCCTTGATACCCTCCCATGTCGAGGCAATCTTGATCAGGACACGGTCCTTGCTGATGCCCTCCTTCTCGTAGAGCTGTCCAGAAGGTCAGCAATATCAAATGGCGGCGATTGGAGAGAGGAATCATACCTTGATGATGTGGAGTGCCTTGTCGACCGAAGCCTTTGTGCTAAAAGAGAAAGCGGCATCGACCTCAGTGGAGACCTTGCCGGGGATGATCTCAAGGATCTTCTTGCCAAACTGGACAAGGAGGTTGTCAAGAGCGGAGTCGACCTGCTCGGTGATGGAGCCGCCCTCAGACTTGGCCTGGGCAACCGCAGCGTCCAGGAGCGCGGCGTACTCGGGCTTCTTCGTCGCGGCGAGGATCAGGGACGGGTTGGTGGTGGCATCCTGAGGCTTGTACTTGCCGATGGCTGTGAGATTGTGAGTATACTGTCGTCGATAAAAATACGGCTCGCAGAAAAGCGCGGTGGCGCCGGGTTGAGGGTCACTAACAGACGAAGTCACCTAAACGTGTTGGGTTAGCGAGGGGTTTTCAACCACGGCTGGTCCAAGGGATGGACTTACCAGAGTCACTGACAACAACCTATGGTCAGGCAGCACAGTCAGCAAAGTATTCTCGCAACGTAAATTAAACAAACCGCGACTTCGGGCTCAAACCGCCATGTCGCCCCGCTGATAGTGCCTTGGGAATCAAGAGCTTTCTCCCCAACGAGGGGTTTGGTGGGGTAACTGTAACTGAACTTACAGTGCCAGTGGCCTTGAGCTGCTCGAGAGAGTTGGACATGATGGGCAATGTGAATCAAAGCAATTGGGTATAAAAAAGAGGAAGCTTTGGTGATAGGTATCGAAACGCAACGACCAAAGGGAATTTTTCGAGGTTGCAAGTTTGCTATTGTAGGTTGCTGGGAAGAGTGGGATGTTTGGGGACTGGCGGATAATATCTCTCTCGCCTTCCCTGAGACGTGGGGCAGGCTCGTCATAGGTTCCTCCCCCCCATTTGCCCATTTGTTCCCTCAACTTTGCCCCTCCATCCTCGCCGCCCATTCCCGCCGCCGGCAGCGGGCCCCAACACTTTTTTGAAACCCTGAAACGGTTGGATCAAGGGATGTCCCTTGGCATTTCGTCCAATTGTTGACCGGCCGAACTCCAAAGAAACAAAGCCAGCCCTGAGCTCAAGTGTGTTCCAGGCAGGGAAGGTCCCGCCATCGTGACGCCTTGACACCGTACGAGTCAAAGCCCGGTCCTCCCCCAAGACAACCGCATCACTTAAACCCCCCGCACTGTCCGATCCACCTCCGAACACTCCGCCGATCCCGGGTCTCAAAAACCCATACTTCGTGCTCCAGCCTCTTACTCAGTCGAGCGCGCCAACCAGCCTTCTACGGCGAAGCGTGCGGCATCCCACGGCATGATTGGGCAATGGGGCCGGGTCCACCAACCCCCAAATAGCCGGGAGAAGGCGTGCCCACCCAGTGCCACCAGCGACTCCGCGCCGCGGAGAACGTCCTTTGTCACGCATTACGTATCAGAAGTTGCGCGTGCTTGATAAAGCTGATGGGAGAAGAGGTCATGAGACCCAGACCGCAAACCGGTGCCTTTTTATTCTGCCAGTATACTCGAACCATCCCCGACCACGGGATGTGTATGTAGTGTAGATAAACCATGTGAATGTGCAGCCGAACCAGCCCGCCGTTTTCCGATTCCGGTTTCCGAACCCCCGCCCCGAACGCGCTTTTTACGATGCGAGATATACTCCCCTGGGCCACGAACGCCCTGCCATTTAGTCTTCGGTGATATCGCCGTACTCCCAGATACCCCGACGACCCTCCTTTGCCTCGGCCTCGGCCTCCCGCAGGCTCTTGAGCACGGGCTCAAAGACCTTGCTGCGCTCCCACGCCTTCAGCTTCCGCGCGACTAGGGCGTGGCCGTCCAGGACAACTTGGCGGTTGATCGACTCGGTGCTAGCGCCTTCGGGCTTGCGGTCGTACAGGGTGACGTAGGTCACGCCCTCCTTGCTGTCGACGTAGTCGAAGCAGGCCACCAGCTGCTTGCCCTCGGTGAGCTCGTAGAGGTAGTTGATGGCGTCGCTGAGGTAGTCGGGGGACGCCGGGAGCTGCGCGAACGACAGCTGGGTGTCGACGGCCTGCGGCTTCAGCTTTTGGACCGTGAACTGGGCCTGGCTGAGCGGCCGGAGCTTCGACCACGGCTGCTTCTCTGAGTTGCCGTAGTCGATGTACACGACCTCGGCCACCTTAGCGGCGCGGTCGTTGGAGCGGATGCGCGCTCTGTACCACTCGCCGTCCTCTGTAAACTGGGCGGCTACGTAGTCACCAGCCTTCGGGGCGTCCTTGATGGTGGCGCTATTTGTGGGGTTGATGTGGAACTGCCGGAACTGGTCCATCAAGGACTCCAACGCGTCTGTGCCTTTCCCGATCTCCTGGACCTTGATCCGGCCGTTCGCATCAATGTTTGTGATGATGACATTTCGGTAATCCTCTGGCTTCTTCTCGATAGTGACCGAAACATCTGCCGCAGGTTCGCCAGCTGCGGCCTCCGCTTCTTGCTCGGCGTCTTGCGACGGGTCCCAATCCTGCCATAGCCCCTTTCTCGCCTCCTTTGCACGATCTTGCGCGGCCAGAAGCTCGGGGGCGTTACCCGACTTCTCAGCCGAGTACTTGTGAACAGAAGCCAGGCCCTCTTCGACAAGAATCTTGGCGAAACTTTCCCGGTTCACAAATAGGTCACCAATGAAGCCGCCAACCTTGTCAATGTCATGGACGTCAATCTCACAATCCCTTTGGTTGCAGCGCTTGTTGGCCAGGTCCAAAGCCTCCTGCCCAAAAGGCTCCCCCTTATCCTGAGGGGTCCGCCCGGAGCGAGGAGCACGAATGCCAGCGAGTACTAGTGTGAGCTTAGCTTCCTCACGGGGCACCAGGATAGTGAAGCGAGATCCAGATTTGCAGAAATCGACGATACCCGCGACCTTGCGCTGCCTGGAGAGGGTAGAAAGCTGAATCTTCGCCTTCTGGACGCTCTCCGACATGTCGACGTATTGCTTGACTTTGGGTGCTTTGCCAGACCACATCCCCTTCTTCTCCTCCTTAGCCGTCTCCTGAGCTGCAAGCAGCTCGTCATAGTTAGACGCCCTATCGGTGTCGTCTTTCCGGTGCCTGATTACGGAGCAGTAGCCTTCCTGGACGAGTTGCAGCCCGATGTTTTTACCATTTTGGGTAATGGTAGCGACCTCGCGGGCCTCGAAGTCGTCGCTGGCCGGCTTGGTGCCATCGACTGAGATGCGGACGTGTTTTCCAATAAGCTTCTTCCGCAGGAACTCCTTCGCCTCGTCCCTGAACGGCGCCTCAGAGGACTCTCCGGCACGGGGCCCGCGGACACTGCTCAAGCTGATCCTCTTCTCGGCACCGGCCTTATTGCGGACGATGATGGTATCGGCGCCAATGATTTTGGTGACGGTCGCATCATGTTCCTTGCTATCGGTAGTCTTGGCGACAAAGCCCTTGTGCAAACGACGACGAGCACCTTGAGCATCCTTCTCGGCGGCACGGAGGGAAGCCATGTCGGCGCCGAGCATGGTGGAGTGGAAGTCATTGCACCGAGCGAGACCCTCCTTTAGAAGGAACTCGGCAATGTTTCCGCGAGGGTGAATAACGGCGCCAACGAGCTGGCCCTGAGGGCTGGCGCCCACGATCTTGATCTGGACCGGGCGTTGGAGAAGGCGTTGCTCGACAAAGTTGCGGGCCTCATTACCAAATTCTTCTGCGGGCTGTGTCTGCCCGTTCGACTGGTTGACACGCTCGGTCGAGGGGGTACGGATACCAGCCATGAGTGTCATGACCTGCCAGTGCTTCTTCTCTTCAAGGAGCAAGCGGACGAGAAGCCTGTCGCCGCTAATGACACGCTCGACGATGCCGTCTACTGTCTTGCCCTTCCATTTGTTCATAAACTCGGGGCCACCCAGGTCGTTCTGGACCTCGATAAAACCGCCGGAACCAGCATGCAGCCCCTTGGATTCATCCTTAGCTGCTGTCTCGAGACTCCGTAGGTTGTCGATCTTGGCGAGAACGTCCTCGGACTCTTCTTTCCGTCCAGCATCTTCTCTGACCTTGAGCCAACCAGCACTGACTGCTGCCTCTGGAAGCTCAGTGCCATCCTGGAGCAAGGCAGTTCCGTATTCCCGACCAGAGTTGGGGATGGTGTCTGGAGCGTGGGTAAGCATTAGATGTCTAGGCGAAACAGCAAACATTCAATGAGCTTGTACTGTGCATCGCGGCGTGTCGAGAGCAAGCAAGCGTGATGGGAGTATAACTTACACGAAACGCTGAACTTGACTGGTTTCCCAACGGCCAGGGCCCTCAAGAACTCGCGTGACTGAAAAGCATACGGCTCATCGCCGTCCTTGCTCAGGCGAGGGGCGGAGACATAAGCAAGCGAGAGTGTCCGTTCGGCCGCAGGGTTGTTGGGGCTAGTGAGCACGAGGGTGTCTCCGCTGAGCACCGACTTGACGTTGGCAATGAATGATGACATGGTGGTAATCGGTGGTGGTTGAAAATGGGAAAGAGATGTGCAGCGTCCGGAGACCGCCTCTGTCACAATCGGTTAGCTCAACTCCACACCGCCGTTGTCTTCGTTCCCGCCAGCAGAAGAGATGTGGCTTCTAAGGCTGGGTAGGAAGGCCTTCATGTCGAGAAAAAAAAAGAGGGGGCAAAGTCGAGGCTCAGAACCGGAGGATTCTCTCTCTTCAAACAACACATCACATGCGAAGACCGGGCCTCTCTGATCAGTATTCTCGAGTTCTTGGCTCATAATACCATCGTTGTTCGGTGAAGACACTCCCAAAACCAAGCCCGCACTAGAAAGAACCATATGAACGGTATTCTTACCTGAGTAATGTAGGAGATGGTAACAGAAGGGAGGGTGTAGGAAGATGGTGAAGCTGTTGAGAAGAGTCAAGAGCCCGGGTTCATCTCGTGCGGGTTCAAAAGGAACCTCAGGCGAGCAATTGGCCTTTTTGACAGCTTTCAAGATGAATTTGGATTGGTTCGTAGGGGACTGTGGGGAAGAGCTTCACTCTTGGGGAAACTGTCCAAGGACAACCTAACAGAGGGGTTTTCCCCACTGGGCATCAGGCCAGAACCTGCACTGTGAGTTTCGCCCCACATGAGGTCCGGTTCTCCATCATCGATGGAAGGGCCCAGAGTACCCAGGTCCCTCTCACCAAGCCACGCCCCCCCAGCTAGCGTACTTGATTTCACCAACTAAGCCTAAACCGGCCGACCCCTTGCTCGTGCAATGTTTAGCGTCTCTCCCTTCGTCGTTTCACCATCGATTTGAGGGTATTTCAAACTTCGTTATTTTTCTTTCCCAAAAAGCTAAAAAGATACTTATACAATCTAGCTCGAATCATTCCAAACTAGCTACTCCCGCTAGTTGAGACGATGTATTTTGCGTTGAGGATGGACTTTTGGCACTGAAAAGTAATTTCTTAACTTGATTGTCTGGCCTTTTACACTAACAGATCTTGCTTTAAGCTTTCCTTGGCTGTGGCTATGTTGAGGGGTGAGATGGGGGGTGGGTTTATTGATGAGGGACCTGGAGGCACAGCACCGATGGATTGCCCAACAGTCCTATTTCAGGCGCCAGAGCATAAAACAGACTTTGATCAGTTGGTCATGGTATTTATTGAATTGCAGGTATGTAAGTACGGCCACCGGCTTGTATTTCAAGACGATCTCTGATGCGCAGTCTGATACAAACATAAAGTTTCAAACATGACTCGGCAGGAGTCGGCAATGCCCCGCAATGCGGAAGCTCGCAGAACGAAGCCCAAACACCGTGTGAGATACCTCACTTACCTAGGATAAAAACACCCTTGATTCCGGGGAAAGACATGTAAATATCCTACAAATGAATGGTGCCTGCCATTTTAGCATCTTAACAAGTTACAGATCAACGAGATGATAGTCCTTTTATCGCACTGTGGAGTCCCTTGTCGAGGACAGCTACCCCGCACATTCCGTCATCCACTCCAAATCAGTGGCAAGGTTCTCAACGAGGGATGAACATCGAATTGGAGTCGAGATGGTCCAAAACTTCCATTCGGGAAGTGTAATGTTCTCTTTTTTACTAAATAGTTTGGTTCGGGATATTTGGGAAATGCCATAGGCCGTAAGAGAGCCTCTGCCAAGTTCCCGCATGCTTTTATCTTTTTAGCACACTCGAGCTCTTCCTAGAAATTATTTCTTGGGACTATCAGACGAGAGCTTATATAGCCATCTACTGCGAGATGCCAATGACACCTGATATCGTTAGTTAGCAGCCGGTTTTCAGTATAGGCAAAGGTAACTGGTATCTTACCGCAGGCAGGGCGGGGGCCGGCGTTGCCGGTCTTGAGGGATTCCTCGTTGCCCCCCTTACCGAGGTCGTCAGTGCCAGCGTGGACAACGACAGTGCGCTGGTTGATGTTAGTACTTGATCCTCCGCATGCCACTTTGTTTGGGACATAGGACATACGCCAATGACGCTCTCGGGGCCAATGATCTTGATGTGCTTGTCGGTCACGGTGCCCTTCGAGTTGCCCTGAGCGTCTGTCTCGATGTTGCCGAGGTCACCAACATGACGGTTCTCGTCAACCGGGGCGCCGTGGGTCTTGCCGTGGGGGTTGACTGTGGAAAGGCTTAGCATTAGTCCACGTCCAAACAAAGGAGCCAACAACTTAGGGACTGCTAGGGGAACATACAATGCGGGCCAGCCGAGGTGCAGCCGTTGGTGTTGTCGCCAAAGGTGTGGATGTGCATGCCACGCTTGGCGTTGGCGTCATGGCCAGTGATGTCCCAGGTGACAGTGGTAGGGGAGGACTCGGACTCCTGCTCGAAGATGATGGAGCCAGTGACCTTCGAGTCACCACGGACGACAGCGACTGAAGATGCGCAGGTTAGCATTGGTTTCATTTGGTGACCCAGTGTTCAATCATCTCTGCATTTACATGCAAGGTACCAATGCCTAGCGTGTCCATGTGATGATAAAGTGCCCATCAAGGTTGCAAGTTGAAGCTGATTGAGCTCGCAACCCCTCCCATCCTAGACGCAGCTCTCCCGAGTCCCGGGTGGGTGCCGTGGATGGCGGGGTAATGCAAGAAGCTTTGGACTTACCAGCCTTGACCATTGTAGCGGTATTGTGAGTTGAGATTGGATTTGAATGGGTATAGCCGGGTTGATTTGGTACGAAGAATTGTCGAGATGGCGAGCGAGGTATTTGGCAGAGCGGAGTGGAAATGTTTGGGAAGAGCTGCTGATAAAGCTTCTCCTATGGCCCTCGGAGTCCCGAGGGCCACTCGCTGTTAGGAGGTGGGGCAGGAACTACCTCGTATGAGCGAAAGATTCGCCGGACGGCCGAGCTCGATGACCCCGCACTGGATAATGCCGTCATCGCAACCCCATGCCGTCATGAAGAGCGTGGCATCAGGGACAGAGAAGAAAAAGCGAAACCGCCATGTCTCGCTGGCTCGTATAGCATTCCTTTGACAGGGTTGCGGTGTAAGCTATCAATACCCGTCCGAACGATTTTATATGTTCCTCGGTTAGGATGTCTATCTGAACGACCGGACCCACTCCTCAAGAAACCATCCTGGTATTGATAGGTATGGATATGCTTCCATTCTACTGTGCAGGATGCTGGGTATGATAGGTCATGGGCCGACGATTGGTTTTTGTCGGATAAGATTGTGCCTTATTCTATCGTGGATACCGTTTTCCGGCGTTCCTTGGAGTCTTTCCTGATCGTGACTTTAGTCCTCTTCGCGCAATCATCAATGTCGTAAACCTCTTCCGTAAATCGTGTTCTGTCTCTTCTGGGCTGTAATGGGCAAGTCATGCGGGAGTTCTTGAGCGACCTCGATCATAATCTAGTACAGTGGATTGTTACTGTGTATACACGGTACAGATTACACAAAAACCAACCAACAGACATGAGTGGAAGTTGCTGCAGGTTGCCTGATCCGAGGGCTTCGGGTCGCCAACAACCAGCGCTCGGGCCGTCTCGGAGGACGGAATAAGCCTTCTCATCGAGGACTCTACAACGGAATGGCCTCGGTCTGACGACTTTCGGAGAAAAGTAGGAATCTATCAAACCCTCCGACTTTCTTTTTGTTTGTTGTTTCATCCCGTTTAAAAGGGACAGACCCCACTGACAAGCTCCCCGTGCTCGAGCCGTGCTGCCTTACCGTGCTGCCGTGTCGCCGTGCTGCCCTGTCACCCTGTCGGTCGCCCTGTTCGGTTGGCGCCTTGGCTGTTTCTGCCTTCATGCTGCTGTGTCGTGCTGTTTGGCCAGGGTGGCTCTAGCGCGCGGGGCCCCAGCAGAGCACCCCCAGTTCGCCTTGCCCCAGTCAAGATGTGGCTTGGCCGCCACCACTGAGGTTGGGCTTTCCCACCCGTCGAGTATCGAGGCTCGAAATTGCAGCAAAACCAACAGCAGCCTCGATGATTAATTACCAAGACGAGTCTATCTGGTTTAAATTATAGCTTCGCCTCTTTGGCGCTTTCACGAGCAGCCCAGGTGTCCGATACATTGAAATACGAAATTTGTCCGAGAAGTCCCGTCAAAGAGACATCCATCCTTCAGGTCCTCATAGGGCCTGAAACAAGGCGTTACTTGGGTCCATTCGTGCTCCACCTCGACCCTGCAACAGCAACACCCACACCCATCCTCGCTTCCACTTTCAACGGCGAAAACCGGCCCCATGTCTTGAAAGGCCTTGGAGCAAGCACACAACGTGTTCATTGTATTCATTGTCTCGGCGAAGGGTTGCGCATGAGGCGAGCGATTGATTTTTGTGCTGTCTCGGTCCCACGCGACCCCATCCCCGGCGCGGCGACTTTCCAACTCCCACGGTCCCGGTCTTGATCGACAACTTCAACTACACCCCGCGCGCCCTATCGCAGCCTTCGTGAAGCGCCTCCTGCAGAGCACGGTTCTTTGCACCCCCAACCCCAGCCAGAGCGATATGTCATTTCGTAGCGATGAGTCGCGTCGTTACGGCCATGTGCCGCCAGCGCAATATCCCGTCGCCCCTCCCCCGCAGGAGCCCGCCGGATATCCCGCGCGACGCCCTAGTTTCAACAGTGGCGACGACGCCAACTTCTTCGACCAGCCTGCTGCCCGACCGCAGCAACTCTATACAGCGACAAATTCTGGGAGGGCCGACGAGGAACTCTTCATAACCAGCCCCACCGCCGAGCACCAGTCTGCCGGGAACCGAGCGAGCTACATCCCGCAGAATGCTGCAGCAGCCAGCTATCAACGGCAATACCATGTTCAAGCTCCACCGCCGCCGCCGTCACATTCCACATATAACCCCCAGGCCTTCGCCCGTTCGCAGTCGGCCTCACTGCCATACCACCCCGCCCAGAACTTGAGGCACACGCCGTCGAGCCCGACATATGCCGCGCCTCCAACCAACTACACGCCACAGGCGTACAATCCGGCAGCATATGCGAACACCAACGCGGCACTCCCCCAAAGACATTCCACCGTTGCTGGGTACAACAATTACGGCTACGGCAACTACAACACGCCCCCCGTCCCCCATGTGTCCACGGCCTACGTCGCTCCCCCGTCTTCAACTTACGGCGGGTCGCAACCTTCGTCGGCGACGACCCCTTCGGCTCCGCAACGCTATGAGCCAGCATTGCATAGTCCGCAATATGCGCCATCCGCAGCGCAACCCCCGGTGGCGCCACAATACGAACCGTCTTACTCCACAGGTTATGGCGCCCAACAGTACTCGGGATCGTCATATGCCAGCAATGGTGTCACGGCCGCACCGAGCTCGCATGTGCCGTATCCTGTGCATTCCCAGATTCCCGTTGGCCCTAATTACTCGCCTGACCCGAATTCTTTCTCGAACCGGGTGTCTCGATCTGGTTCGCAGCCATCGCCGATACCATCCCCTCCGAGCCGCACGCAAGCCTCTCCCCAAATTTCCAGACATCCCACGAATGCGCCGCTTCCTAGTCGCCCCATGGACGACTTGCCAGAGGAGCCAGACTGGAGAGTTAACGGTGGCGGCGAAGATGATTTCCAAGTGACGCAAGACAACCTGATCCAAGATATCGTCTCGGATTTGGGGGTGTCCCCGCACAGCCAACGTCCCCAGCCCTCCAACGGCACCGTATCGGATGATATTTTGGGCAAGACCCAGCGGTACAACTCGACCTCATCGAGAACTACCTCCGACACCGGTGTGAACCGGTACCCTTCTAATGCGTCTTCCGCCATGAATAACACCGCAGCTTCGACCAACACCACCTATACTTGGGATTCTGAGGAAAGCGATCCCGAGGGTGCAGCCGGTCTGCTAGCCATGCAGGACGATATGGACGATCGAAGATTCGGCGGGATAACCTTCCCCGCATACATGGAGCCACTCGCTCCGCCACCGCAGCAGCTTCAGCAGCAAGCCCAGCAACCACCGCAGCAACCACCGCAGCAACTACCGCCGCCTCCGCCCCAGCAACCACCTCAGCAGCAACTCCAACAGCACTCTCAAACCCCCTCTCCACTCCCCCCACCCCCGGAGGAGCAGCAAGGCACAGACAGTGATTACGGTGGAACGATGGACCTTGCTATGTACGGAGGTGGGTATGCCGGAAACCTGCATTACGGCAACGAGCTCGGTTCTCCACCCACAACCGCCCACAGTCAAGACGGCCCTCGTCCGCTGCCGACGCCTCAGGGCCAAGGCGCCGAGCATCCTCCATTCTCCGATGTGTCGGTCGATTATGGTGGCACTGGTGGCCTCCTCCCGCCTCAATCTCATCGTCTTAGCTTTGATGACGGCGATGAGCGAGTGTCTCTCCATTCGCGACATAGCGGAAGCGATTCTCCTTCCAAAGAGGACTACCCCTATGACCAAATGTTTTGGCACCCTGGCCTTTCCAACCGCCCATTGCCTGCCATCCCTCCCCAAACCCCAGACGGCAACTCCCATCTGTCCCCCCAACCCTCGGTCAGGTCTAACTATCAACACAACCACTCCCTGAGCGCAGACTCGAGACTCCCATACCCTCCCGATACCCCCGAGACCCACCATGAGCAGATCGTCAGCCAGCAGCAGCAAGTCGAGAGGTCAATATCGCTCTCGAGTCACAGCAACACACCCCCGATTCAGGCACCGGCCCGGTCCCGAACAGACGCTGCTGAGGAGCGCAGGCGAGCGATGAAACACATGTCGCAGCCGCAAGCACAAGCTTACCAGCAGGGAGCAACGGCACCCTACGAGGGTTACGAAACAGGGACACCGTCGTCAATGGCCGCCTACGACATGATCACACTACCCACCGGCAGGAGAAAGAAGTTTGTGCCTTCGAAACTCACAGCTGCGGACATCAAGCGTTGCGCAGAGCCCTGGGCTCTCAGTGGCATTACCTACTGGGTCCGAGAGATGGCAGAGGGTGAACCGGATCTGAAAAGGAAGACGATAGAGGAAGGTGTCCTCAAGCTCTTCTGCGCCAAAGTTCCGACAATGAACGTCGCCGACGCGGAACTGCTGAGCGCCAGGGTGGTTGACTCCATGTTCTCAGCCGGTATCTTGATTCCCGAGGAAGAATGGGTCAAGTTCGGGACGGGGCAGCTTTCAGGTGTGTTGTGGCAGCTCACCGGCTCCGGGTGTTTTGCGCCCAAGTTGCACGAGGATGAGGGTCTCGCGCCCAGGCTGCACGACAACGGCATCCCTGTGAGATGCTACTCGCACCACTGTGGCAGGACGCTCAAGAAGGCGAACCTAGACAACATGATGTCTGAGGAGGACGTCGTGGTTTTGGATTGGGCTACCTTTCATGGCGTCACCAAAGATGACATCAAATCGAAGCATAAGAAGGAAGTCGAACGGCAAAACGTGCTGCACGAGATCGTCACGGGTGAGGAAGACTACATGGGTCAGCTCGATGTGCTCCGACTGCTGTACCGCGACTGGCTTCGGGCTTGGCAACCCCCCATCATTGCGGCGAATCGGATGGATAAATTCCTCGACGCGGTATTTGGCAGGGTGGATGCTGTCCAGCAAATCAACAAGGAGCACCTGCTCGCTCAGCTTAAATATCGGCAACAGGAGCAAGGCCCCTGGATCGTCGGGTTCAGCGACCTGTTCAGAGAGTGGATTCGGAAAGCCAGGCCAATCTACGTCGAGTACTGCTCATCGTTCCCCTATGCCTCGTATCTTGTTAGGAAAGAGGCCTCGCGAAACCTGCTCTTCCGCCAGTTTCTCGATGTTGTCCGCGATCACAAACGGTCTAAGCGTTTGGAATGGACCACGTTCGTGAAGGCACCCATCACCAGGCTTCAGAGATACGGCCTCCTTCTCGAGACGGTTAAGAAGAATATGCTAGAGGAGAGTGAGGAGAAAACTAACCTGGAGAGGGCTTTGGATGAGATCAAGAAGGTCACGCATGAGTGCGATGAGAAGGTGGCCGAGATGACGAGGAAGGTCGAGCTGCTCGAGCTGCAATCTATGCTGGTCCTGCGGCCCGGTTTCCAGTCTGTTCTGAACCTCGATCACCTTGGGCGAGAGCTGCTCAAGCAGGGCGACCTTCAGCGGCAGGGTTCGAAAGGTGTCCGCTGGGTCGACACACATGCCTTACTTTTTGACCACTACTTCATTCTATCCAAGGCCGTTCCCTCGAAGGACGGGAGAAGCGATAAGAAATACGACGTTTCCAAGGAGGTACGTTACCAACACGCGGGTCGGTTTTTCAATGATACTGACTTGGAATCTAGCCAATTCCCATGCCACTGCTCTTCCTCGAGAGTTTAAATGATGACCCTGTTGCAAAACAGAAGAGCCTGACAGCTCCCTTGACAAGGACTACGGCCACGACTGGCTCGGGGACACAACTCAATAAGGTGGCCTCTAACGGGGGCGAGCGGCCCGGACTTGAGCACACGGCAACCGGCTCTTCTATAGCGTCGCTCAACACGGTATCCCGGCTCACATCGGCGGGTGCGGACGACGGAAAGATTATCTATCCATTCAGGATCAAGCATCTCGGTCACGAGATTTATACGCTCTATGCATCGTCGGCTCAAGAACGCGCCACTTGGTGTTCGGCCATCATTGAAGCCAAAACTAGGCATGCCAGAGCGCTCCACGCCCAAAATGCCGAGCCATTCCGCCTGCGCGTTATTTCAGACTGTGCTTTTGCGTACGATTCGGCGTCGCTGCTAGGAAGGCAACCCAGCGTGTCCATCAGAGGTACACCTTTGGACAGAGCGATCCGAGAGATGGAGCAGATTCATGGACCAGGGAGGGGCCCGCCGCCGGTCTCGCGGGCGACGGTGAACTGCGCCTGCGCTTTCACGTCGTTCGGAAAGTCGCTCATCGCCATCGGAACCGACTATGGTGTCTACATATCCGAAGTCTCGAACGCTCGGGGATGGGTGAGGTCCGTCCAGATCAGCAAGGTCACGCAGATTGCCGTCCTGGAGGAATTCTCTGTCTGTCTCCTGATCGCAGACCGGTCGTTGATATCGTACCCGCTCGACGTGATTGCGCCAGTTTCTAACTTCGCTGCACCATCACACGACAATCCGCGCCGGGCGCCACAGCGTCTTGCCAAGGACGTGGCATTTTTCGCTACGGCCCGTATGAAGGACCGGATGCTTTTGTTCTACAAGCGCAAGGAGGGTATGCACAACACCTTCAAAGTGCTCGAGCCGGTGTTCCAGAAGGCGACAGAGAAACGATCCCGCCTCTTCAGTAGCCGCCGAGCCGGTGCTGGGGCGACCGAGTCCTTCCGGGACTACGACGCCTTCTACATCCCGACCGACTGCTTCTCGCTGAACCTCTTCCAGAACTACATCGCGGTGGCGACGTCCAAGGGCTTCGAACTACTCACGCTAGACAAGAAAGTTACGCAGTCGATCCCGCGCGACCTCAACCAACCCGCCATCGCCAACATCGCGTCGCGCATCAAGGAGCCGCACCCGCTCGGCATGTTCAAGCTCAACGACCAAGAGTTTTTGCTCACGTACGACGACTGTGCCGTCTACGTCGACAAGCACGGTGAGATCAGCCGCACCCTCATCATGGAGTACTCGGGCAAGCAGCGCAAGGCCAAGGCCGCCACCATGTTCGGCCAGTACCTGTTGCTCTTCAACGACGACTATGTCGAGGTGCGCAACGCTGAGAACGGCCGCCTCCGCCAGATCATCGCCGGCCGCGACGTCCGCTGCCTGGACTATGGCTTCCGTGGCCCGACCGGCTCGGGGGCCCAGGCGGGGCTGCAGCCCCCAGCTCAGCAGGACTCGAAGGGCACGGTGAAGATCTGCATGAGCCATCCGGAGATTCCGGGCGGGCAGATCGTGCTGGAGATGTTGCTGAATGATGGGCATGCGGAGTAGGTTGGTGGAGGAGGAGGATCGGAGCAAAATAGGGATGGGGTTGGGGTAGGATGGGGCTGGATGAGATGAGATGAGATGGGTGATGGATGATGGTGATGTTATTATGATGACAATGACAATAACGGGTGGCAGAGCGGTTAATTTAGGTTTGGTGGCGGTAGTGCTGTGCTGGTGGCAGTCCTCGTCGATTTGCGGGATTCGGAGAGCTGGGCTGAGCGGATGGAGGTTTTGCTTGGAAAGTCGATTGAAGCAAACGGTGGCTGGTCAACGTGAAGCGGGGCAGCTTGGGTTTTGGTCTTGTCGTATTTCTTTCATATCTTTTTGCCCTGCTTATTCCATGGACTGTCTGTCCGTTCACTCGGGTGGGTGCTGGAGGATAGGGCGCTTGGCTTTTTGATACGGTGATTTTATATTTTCTCTTCTTCGACTTAAACTATCTGGCCCGTTGATGGTGTTTGTTACTTTGGCAAGGCGTTTTGGCTTGCGAGTGGCCAGATGGCCGATATCATGAGATTTGGGGCAGATCATGACCTCTGTCTTCATTCATCACAAACCGAATGTCTTTTTAAGTGAACTTGGTGAAAGATGACTACTCTCTCTCGTGATGTGAGGCAAAAATGTTGCGATTCTTTGGAGGGACCGAGAAAAGATAATGCGTCAGCCGCGAATCGAACGCGGGGCCCATCGATGGCAACGATGGATTTTACCACTAAACCACTGACGCCGTTGTGGTATTTGATGGAAAGGAAGATACCTAAAGAGAGTTTATCTAAGCGAGTTCCGTTCTGGCGCAGCTTTCTTAGTTAATCGGGAAGTCGAAAAGTCGAACACATAACCCCATGTCTTCGTTGACAATGTTCCTACATGTCCGGCCTGGTGGTGGTGTCGTTATTGCATATGAACATTGTGTGGTACGTGTACGAGTGGGAAAATGAGGACGGTTGCCGAGTAGATCGATGGATGACGGAACAACGACAACTCCTAAAACAATGTATGTTTGGTTGGTAAAAGCTTACAATTCACTTCGCTGAGCAGTGAGTACATGGCCCAGCGGTCAACTTCTGTTTTTGGAGACTGCAATGATGCTATATAATTGTCGGGGATAAAAGTTTGGATAAATCTAGGCTGGAAGCTGGAAATCTGAAGCTGGTCGATGAAGTATCCGTTAAAAGTATCCCCAGCAAAGTTGAGTACTCGCCTTTTCTTTTGATGCACACTCATTTCCCTGTACCGTGTTGTCCTCCATGCTGCCTGTTCGAAGTGAAAGAACGGCTGGATGACGTAGCCCTATGTTAAGTGATGCCACTCATGTGTGCCGGCACGACGACGAGAGTAAGTGCAAGGGAAGGAGCTTTCCGGCAGAGCTTAAGGTAGTCATTCACTTGAAACTGATGGGACGAAGAAAACGTGCAGGTCAAACGCCAGACATATCATATCAAAAACGCCACGTTGGCGTCAACTGGCAACAGGTGGTCGGATGGCCTTGGGGCATAAGAGGGACCCGCCATTCCTGTCAATCAATCCCAACTTCTCCTCTTACACAATCCGCATGCGGGGCGTAGCACCCCAAACGTCAACGGTACGGACTCTCATCATCAGCTTGGGGAGGTATCATCAAAATAGGTTAATCCACTTTGCTTCCCTTCCCCGATAAAAGCAAGGAACCGCTCATCCCTTCCTTCGTGGTGCGAGGGACCTCGATGCGGAGCGGGTGTCCATCATCCCCTTCCTTCCTTCCTTCCCAACCCGCCTCTCCAAACAAGATAGAAGAGAACTAATCGATCCCGACAGAGTGCTTATCTTAGGTAGCACGCTCTGACAAGTGGGATGCCGGGGGCATGATATCGAGACTACATGGAAGGTCCAATGACATGAACAAAATGCACTAAAGGATGACGCGACTGCGGGAACCGTGATGATCAGACAGCGTGGTGTAAGCCCAGCGGTAGTCGCTCCCACGGCCCCCAGTGTTTTGGGAGCGCGCGCCCTGTGGTAAAATGATAACCTCGCGTGCTGAGTTCCCTTTCAAAGCTGACAGATTGCGGGCACTGGGGGTTTACAGGCCTCAAGTGGGGAGACTCGACTTGGTTTTGAGTAGCAGAGTTATTGGATTGCCGTGGTTTATGTGCGCCTTGCCCAAGGAGTCATTGGGCAGAGCTGACGATGCCGGGCAACGGAGCCAAGGGGAGAGCCAAGTAGTTACTCCAGGAACAACCTAGCCTGGGAGTGAAGTTATTCAAACTATATATCCCCCAGCCCTAATCATCATCCCAATGCCTCCGACTAATAATAATCGGCCTCGCCGGATCCCACGGCCCATAAATCTCATTCTTATACTTCTGCAGCCCAATCAGCCACCAGCTACACCCGCCCATAGCCAGGGCAGCAATCAGGCAGCCCACCACCATGCCCAACAGGCCTTTCTTCCACGGCCAGCCGCGCTCGTCACCCAGGATCATGCCGACACCCGCGCCCGCGCCCAGCACGAGTAGCACCGTCAGCACCACGTGGTAGCGCCAGCTGCGGCGGCGCGCGTACTGGCGGAAGACGGGGAACAGGCCAAACACCTCGATGCTGAACAGCGTCAGGCTGAACACCTGGCCCGTGCTCGGCAGTCGGCTGGCCAGCACGGTGGACGCCATCAGCGCCGCGTTGGTCGACAGCGACGCTACTGGCATCTGTTTGTTGCTGCCGTGTGTGCTTGTTGTTGTTGTTGTTGTGGTGGTGGTGGTGGTGGTGGCGGCGGGGGCGCTGCCGGCGCGGCCGCCGCCCGAGTAGTCAAAGAAGAAGACGTTGAGGGCGAGCAGCCAGAAGGACATGGCCCAGATGCTGTCGGAGGAGGTGGAGCGTGTGAGGGACTTGAGGATCGGGGACAGGCCGAGCAGCGTGAAGTAGATAAGGATGGCGGATTTGATGGTGCTGAGGCGGACGTAGGCGCGCCCGTTGCGGGCGATTGGGGACGGGGTGGGTTCCCCGTGGTCCGTTCCGTCTGGACCGAAGCGTGTGGTCGTAGCGGTGGTAGTGGGGCTGTTGGCGGCGCTCGCTTGCGAGGCGATTGAGTTGATGGAGCTGGCGGAGCGGGAGTGGGCGTGGGCTGGGACGAGGAGGCCGCTGTTGTAGGTGTTACCGCCTAGCGGGTGGGGGATTCGTTGCATGTGGGCATGGTCTTGGAGGAGGTTCGAGGTCGAGCTCGCGGCGGAGGGGAAGTTCGATGCGCTTGAGATGCTCACGGTACTGGCGTTGAACATCGGTTGGTCCAGCCCCATCGAGTCCTGCCGCCTAGGTGGGCGGAATTCCTTGGACGCTCGCCTATCTCGTATCATCCGCGCCCTGGCATCCTCATCCTCATCCCCAGACCCGCCCGGCGACTACTTGTGTGACCCACCAGTCCCACAGCAGCCAGCCGAGGAAGGTCGCAAAGCTGCTCCACCCGACCACAGACACGGGACTGACGCGCTCCTGAAAGATACCGACGAAGCATACGACAAAGATGATGACGGAGCAGACATGCTGTACGATGACGGTCGAGTCGGCAACTAAGGGCCAAAAATCGTAGGGTCGAACCCGGGGGTTGCGCTGGAGGTTCTCGAGAAAGGTAGCTTGGTCGGTGTAGTTATCGGGGTCTGTTTAGATCACGAAGATAGTTGTATGAGCGTCACGTCCTCGTTAGGGAAGGGCAGGGGAGACTGGGGTAGTGCCTACACGACTGCTTCACCCAGAGCAGCTTCTGGAAACGTTTGCGCCTTCTGCTCCGACTCCGAGCGGTGTCCTTATGCCTAGTGCGCCCGGGTCGTGTATCGGTTCCAGAACCATTTCCCCCGCTGTCGAACCCTCCGAGATGGCGCGGAGGGGAGAAGGAGGCATAGGCGTCTTCGGGAGACAAATGCGACGGGTCGGAACGGTGCAGCTTGGGGCCAGCTGGCACGGTAGAAGATCGGACTAACGGCGGGAATGGCGTCTCGAAATCAGCGGGAATGGCCGACTGATGGAGACCCGACGGAGGGGCCATGGATCAGAGCGGATGGTCCATCTGCATACCGAAGTATGGAAAATGATTTGGAAATGGCGGGCGCACGGATACAGCCGTCCACCTGGGAGACTTGAGGCTTGAAACTGGTGATTTGTGGTGTGTGTGGCTCTCAGCTGCCCCCCCTGAACGTGCATTCCTGGCAAAGAACAAGCTTTGACGAACGCCCGGGCCATCCCTTAGCGTTGTGGAGTCCGTGGGATTCTGCTCCGCCACATGTCAGGGGACCAGGAACTCTGTCTCAAATCGCACCCCAATTCGGAAACAGCCGAGCTTCACATCGGAGGTATTGGAGGCCGCACCGGAGACAGCCCCGAGGTGAGGACGAGCTCCTTCGGTACCTGGTTCGGTGATCAACAGCAGTCGTACGAAAGCAACGGCAATCCAATTAATCCCTCAGCAGGAAGGAAACCATGTTGAGTGGAACAAATGGCCCCAGCCTTGCCCGGCGTGACGCATTCAGCGGGGGGAGAACACCGGTGACACCTCCCCTCAGACCTCCCCATTTGTCGCACAACATCCGATTTTTGTGGAAGAGGAACTCGGCAACACGAAAGATTGTCGGCTTCCCACGTGCTCGCTCGACGTGGGCTATCGGTGACAAACAAATGCTGGTGTTTAAGTTTGGTGCGCATTACTTCACTTCGTATCCGACTCGAAACGTGCTTGGAGCCGAGTAAAACTAGTAGAGCAGTTGGTGCCGGAACCCACCATTCGAGGAAGGTGAAGCAATCCGGGAGTGGGGAAGCTGCGCCTCATGTTCTAGACCCGCCGACACACTTTGGGGGTTTATCGTGATTGATGAGCTTAGCCCAGCCCAGGCACGAGTTGCCGTTTACGCCTATTCTTCCAGGGTTGTTTTGGACTCAGGCACGAGACTATAAGACCCCGTTCCCATCAGCTCCTCGTTTCTTTGTTTCCAACATTGCCTGTGTTACCGACGTTTGACATGCATTTCTTAGACACGCTCAATCAGCAGCACTGCACGAGACTCACTGATCTGGTTCTGAAGCTGTCACGGTGCAATTATCCGTCTGGCGCTTGATTCTCCTGCCACCTCGTTATTCCACATCTCCGCGGCAAACCCCCGCCGCCCCCATTGCCCAACATCCATTTTCCTGGTTCGCTTTCTTCGCCCCCAGATTTTACCTCCTACTGAATTCCGCATTCCCACTGTCACTGCCGGCCTTGCATAGAACAGCGACTACTATTACACTACCTATCATGAAGCCGATAGCGCTCTGCCTCGCGTTCAGCGCTGCGCAATTCGCCGTCTGCGCCCCTGTCCCCAGGGATTCGATGGACAGCAGAGATAGAATCTCGGATAGGGAACATGATGCGACACCCTCTAGTGCCTGGCTGGTCGACAACGACCACCAGGGCGGCGCCCCAGCACCAAACGGAGAGAACCCCCAAATGCTGCCTCGGCCGAAGACCCATCAACTCAGCCTTCTCCGTCCGCTTGCTAGGCACAGGATGCCCAATGGAGAGACACATAGAGATCCAGAGAACGATGTCATGCGTTTGCCCCACCATGTCCATGACGAGCATGAGCATGGCCATGATCATTTCGGACCCCCAGATCTGAATAGTGTTGGTCCGCCTCAACCTGGCATGCCGTGCTACCAAGGCCAGGCTTCCCACGACCGCAATGATATGCTCATCGTCTACCTGGCCGCCGCCTTCATGGTAGTGGTTGTCGTTATGGAAGCGTGGGGGGGTGCCTTTAGGAGGTGAGTTTCCGCCCATCGGCTCTGTCCCAGTCGTCAAACGCCTGAGGTATAGCCACTAACTGACGATTGATTCAATCCCTACAGGCAAGGTGCGATTCGACTCGATGAAGGTACTAGCTGGCCGTCAGCCTCGCTTCGAGCAGACCCAAACGACCACGACAGGTCACTGGACGAAAAACGTTCCGTGTGAAACGGTAAATAAGTGCGGCACTGGACCGACGTGACACAAACTTTTGGCAGAGCAACTCCATCCTGTCCCACTGGGCGAGCCCACATGAGGCGTCTATCACTCCACTGGGGAGTCATCGGGAATGGATTTTCTGATTCAAGGTTCTTTGGTTATGGCTGGGGGTGGTGGCATTCTGCATGCAGCGATACGTGGCAGCTCCGGGGGCATCTTCTGGGATCAGAGCTCAGGAGATGATCAGGCAACTTGGATGGATGGCAATACTGGAGAGTGCGGCCTCGCAGCTCTATCCCGGTTGTCCGCGCATCGGGGAGTTGGACACGACTCAAGTTTCTCTGAACTAATAAATGAATTAACTCGAATATTTTGTACAGCGCTCGCTTCCCACCGGCAGTGGAGCATCAGATGCCAAGATCACTTGAAGATGAGACGAACGGGTTCCCACTGGGCCCTCAAATACGAGCTCGCCGATGGAAGCTCTCGGACCTTTTCCGGGACAAGCCTGCGACTCGATGATGTGGCCCATTGGGGTTCTGCTTACACAGTATTTCTTTTGACAGCCCTGTAGACTTCTTGGGGAAACCAACAAACAGGAAATGTCCAACACGACTTTTTAAGACGAGGCAACTGGGCAACTGAGCAACTGGGCAATGTATGGTGATACCAAACGGCCTTGTCCGACTCCCTCTTTGGCACGGAATGTTTGCAAGATATAACTACCTAGTGACACGGTCCAACCCAAGTCCGGAAATGTCCAAGTCGCTCGCCACCGCAGCAGTCAGGAAGTCCGTGGCTCCTGCAAACAACGGCGAATAGGGCTGACTGGACATCTCATCGGCTCCGCATTCTCGGACACGGGACCGGTAATTTATGGGGTCGTCGCGGGGCGGTAAGTGTGCCAAGCAGAGTCCATCCCATATCGGGATGCCAAGATGAAGAGCTCAGCCTGGCCATCTCGGCCTTCGCGATGTTGGCGGCGGGAAAAAACGTGGCGAGCGTGGGAACGGGGAAAGAGAGTGTGGCTGATGAACGGGTCAAAGCAAAAGGCAACTTTGTTGGGCTTGTCATGGTTGGTTCCCCGGACCAAGCCGATGGGCCAGCCTCGCGGCGTGGACCGTTAACCCCGTTCCTTCCCTGGCAAACCAGAGCAAGCAAGAGCACGAGACAGCCGTCGGCAAGCGCCGCCAGCGTTTTCTCCAAGCAGCTCCAAACATGCAACCCCATCTTGGCCTATGACAGGCAGCAGCGGAAATGTTAGATTGCCCTCGGGCCCACCTTCCACTCACGTTTCATGACACCGCATGAGAACAACGCCTCATGCAGCTCCAGCTTCTCAGCCCCAATCACGGCACAGGAGCAAGCCTTCTACACCGTACTACTATTAGTGGTAGTTCATTTCCAGAGCTTGCTCGACAACCCTTAAAAAGACCACGGGTTTCCTGCTCGAGAGAGCCCTGAGCTCACAAAACTCGTTTTTTCGTGGCCCCTTGCATCGTCTGGATCCCCCACTTTTGTGTGTGCCCTCTTGACTACTGCTTGGCTCTCTTAAGAAATCTCGGTGAGCTCCCGAGCTTGCGTGAAGCCTCACCCCGCAATTGGTCGGCAAAACATCACATCGTCATCAACATCAATACAGGCCACGAACCATAAACCTTGACGCGAAATACTGAATACTCGGATATGTCGCTACAGGTTGATGACGGTGGCCGTCGTGGTCGCTCACGTTCGCCTGGACGGCGCGGGGAAGATGAGGACCGCGACAGGAGCCGTGTCCGCGCCTCGCCTAATGTTGTCGACGTGCCGTACCCGAGCTCCGTTGTCGACGTCCCGCGAGATCCGACATCCACTGCATATGAATATGAACGCTTGTCAAAATGGCCGACGGCTGCCGAGCCTGATGCGGGGTACCACCCGCGACGCGCACCGCCAGTTGATGATCGCGATGATCCCTACGCTCAGGCGCGGCGTGAAGTCGAGTACCGCTACGACTCTGACCGGCGACGTGACCGAGACAGTGGCTCGGACCGCGAAAAGGGGCGCCAGCGCAGCGATTCAAACCGCGACTCTGCCCGCCAGCGGCCGGAGCTCTTCCTCCCTTCCAAGTATGCCGCCCATATCAAGACGGTAGAGCCACCGTCGCCCCGCCAATCACGCGATTCCTTCAGCGGCAGGGAGCGAGAGTCCAGCAAGGAGCGCGAGCGCCGCCGTAAGAAGGAGAAGAAAGAGAAACTGGAGAACGACCTAGCTTACGGCAAACTCCCCGGGCCCCCCAAGTACGAGGCCCCGTCTTCTCCCCGCCCCGACGTCTACGCGCCGCAACAGCCCCCCCCGGAGATCTACACGGCGCAACCTCCCCGCCCGGATAGCTACGCCGGATATGCGCAGCCGAAACCGTGGGAGTATGCCAAACCGCCGGAGGAGCCCCGGTATAGCGCCACGCATCTAGACGTTCTCGGCCCAAGTGGACGTCCCTGCCGTTCCTCGAGCCCGGGCCCGGGCCCGTCGTCGCCGATCAAGTCGGCCATGAAGCGCGACCGGTCGCCCCAACCCCCGACGGCCCGCATGTCGAGCTTGACGGTCAACACCCCTCACCACTCCGCCTCGCTCTCCGTCTCGGCCGCGCCGGCATCTCCGCTCCTAGAAGCCTACCACGGGACGTGGCAATCCATGTCCCCCATGCCCTCACCAATGCTCATGGCCGGTGGGAATCCGCAGATCCTCGACGCGCTCTCCCCCATCGGCTCAGATGACGAGCGCGCGGGCGAGAAGCGGCGCGCCCGTCGCGCCCGGTTTGCGGACCCCGCGGACGATGCGGCACGGCTCGCCAAGGCGCTCAAGGGCGAGCGCCGGGCACCGGAAACGGAGCCCCTGATTGAGATCCTGCCCGGGCTCACGCACGAGCAGATTATGGACCTGCGGGCTGAGTACAAGCGGCTGGTCAAGACGGGCTCGGAGCGCAAGGGCGTCAACATTGCCAAGCACATCCGGGCGCGGCTGAAGGACGAGGACTCGAACTTGATGAAAGCGTGCTACGCGACGGCGCTGGGCCGGTGGGAGTCGGAGGCGTACTGGGCCAACTTCTGGTACCACGGCGACAAGACACGGCGCGAGTTGTTGATCGAATCCCTGACGGGGCGAACCAACGACGAAATCCGACGCATCAAGGAGGGGTTCAGTGACAAGAAGTACAGCAACAGCCTGAGCAAGTGCATGCGCACGGAGCTGAAGGAGGACAAGTTCAAAAAGGCCATCCTGATGGTGTTGGACGAGCAGCGCATGGAGGAGGAAGACGTCTACGGCCACCCGATGCGCATCGACTACGACCTGGTCGACGACGACGTGCGCCAGCTGCACCACGCCGTCCGCAGCGAAAAGGGCGGTGAGACCCTCATGCTCACCATCGCCATCCAGCGCAGCGATTCGCACCTGCGGGAGGTGCTGCGCGAGTACAAGGAGAAGTACAAGGGGGCCAACTTTGCCAAAGACGCGCTGAAGAAGAGCGGGAACCTAGTGGTAAGCACCAGCAACCCCTTTACCAACCTCACCCTTCCCCTCCCAACACCCAAATCTTTCCCCCTCCCAACCCAACAACAACATACTCACACCAACCCCCAACAGGGCGAAGTCCTCGCGCACATCCTCAACGGCGTCATCAACAAGCCCGTGCGCGACGCGATGCTGCTGCACCACGCGCTGACGGCGTCGCGGCGCGACGAGCTGCGGCGCGAGCTGCTCATCTCGCGCCTCGTGCGCTACCACTGGGACGCCGCCCACATGGCCGCCGTCAAGCGCGCCTTCCGCGAGCAGTACGGCCGCGACCTGCAGGACGCCGTCCGCGACGCCACCAAGGGCGAGTGGGGCGAGTTCTGTGTCCAGCTGTGTGTGGCGCGCATGCCCGATGATGTGCGGAGGGTGGAGAGGGTGGATATTCATCGGTAGGGAGTCTGGGGGGTTGTTTCTGGAAGGGGTGAGGGTTCATTTCTTGGAATGGAAATTCCGGTTTGAGTTATCGGGACGAGATTTGGGTTGTTGGGTGATTGGTGGCCAGTGGAGGGCTGGTTGGATTTCTCGTGGTTGGTGGCTCAAGGGGCCGATATTGGGTGGCTGAGCTTCGTTCTTCTCGTTCAATCGTGGGACATGTTGGATGAATGATATATGTGTATGGCTGATATCCAGTTGATGATGGGCACGATACAGATACGATGTCAATAGCAGGGTTTTGGATCTCTTTTGTCGCTGTTAGGTTTGACTGGGTTTTGATGTCCCATCCTCCCTCTCGTGTTACACACGTCGGACTGGCACCAGATTATACTCCGTTTGGCTGTCCTAAAGAGCCGCCCAATCATGGCATGACATCACACACAGTAGAGCTCCGTTGCAGTTGTCTAATCTCCGTTATCAAATCCCTTCCTTTACCCAGGCAAGCCAGGCATACGCTACACCGGTCTCTCCACACAAATTACCTCCAGGTTTTAAAGCTTTTGAAACGCATTGCCAATCGAACGTGCCACAAAAGCCCACCCTCGCCGCTGACTGAGCAGGGAGGGAGCCAGCCCGCCGCCGGCCCGCGCGCGAATCCCCATCATCGGTGCGCGCGGGACGCGTAAAAACCCCAACTCTGTCCTTCGCTCGGAGATGAAACGATGCCCTACGGCTGCGCTGCCACGGCGGAATGCGATCCGCCCGCTCAAACCCTCACCCCGTGTCCCCACCCCGCCTTCCCCCCCGCGGATCTATTGAGCCCGTTTGATAAGGCAGCCAGAAGCCGGGGCAAGGGGGGGGGAGGGGCCGGAAAGGATTGTAAATTGTGTTTGTGTATTATTCATCTCTCTTACGTTATAGAAAATAAATAATATATAGGAATTTGTGTATTGGTTTCTCCGGTCCACGCCTCTGGGTGTCGTCTCGGTTCTCTATCTCTCTTGTTTTTACTTCTTTTTAGTTTATATTAAACTTATAGTTATACTATTGTTCCTTATCTCTTTCGCCCTGACCCTCCCCTACTAGTCTCTATATCATTCGTGCTCACCAC